GGCCAGTGTTGACTTCACTTTTATTTTGATGTTCGCTGAAGTCTCTTCAGCTAACAGAACTGTCATTTTTACATTTAAACACACCCCTTGAAAAAAATAAATTACGAAGCGAGTCGCTACTAGCTTTTTTAAAAGCTAACCTTGTTGATGTATCTAATTTAGGTCAGGCTGTATGGATAAAAGCGTGAGTTTCAAAAAGGATATTGAAATAGTGAAAATAGGAATCCGTAAAGAAAGTTCAAAACGACAAAATTGAAAATGTTGCAGGCACTGTTTGATTGAGCCTGTTCAAAACTGAACTTAAGTTGATAAAGTTGAAGTTGATATTTATGGTGTATCTATGATTGTTGTATTGTGTATGTCTGTTGCATTGTGTGCTGTATCACAAAATTTATTTTTAACAAGTATGAAAGATCTATAATTGTTATTTTGAGGTGCGACAATGGCATTACACAAATGTGGTGTCAGAGATATAGATGGGTAATGGAAAACATGTCCCCCGGGTCCCTTGTGGCTTTAAACATTTCGGCAAATTATTTTAATAATTTCGAAAATTGGTATTACTATATGTGGTTAAAGAAATGAAATAACAATCAAGCATTTTTTTAATTCCTAAACTGGATAACATTTATCATGAAATCTCGAGAAATCTCGTAAAATAGCACCTAATCAAAGGCAATTTATGTATCATTTAGGCATGTCAAGGTCATGGAAATCAAGTGCAATGTCAAGAATGCTGTCATGGAAGTTTCTGTAACAATATCGGATGTGGTGACGACGGTAATGATATTTTGTCTTATTCTACCACTTAAAAAATAATTTATCTGTTTAAATCACTATTCCATTTCAATGTTAACATTTTTTAATCGCATACAGAATTTCCTGTCTGTATTATATTATAGTGCCTGTATAAATCGCTAACACCAAGCCTCTATTTTGAATCGCATTTACAATTTTCACTACAAATGGATAGTTTCTCGCAAGATTAAACGATAAACTTATATATTCAATCAAAGTTTATATTTAAAATAAAAGAGATGCTATTAAGGGATATGAAAGTGTGAGCCGTCCGCTTAGCATACAAAGTAGAGCGTTGGACTGTGAATCAGGCGACCTGGGTTCGACTCACGGCCGTTGCACGTCACTTTCGTTGCGATTGATCATGAAATCTTTTCTACGGTCATTCGCACTGTAGCTCTGCTCTGGCATGTACCGAAGTCTAAGTTCTTTTCAAAAGTGGTGGCAAGTAGTACTGGTAAACTGCATGACAGCCTATCTAGGAACTGATTTGTGCTCTGGTAAATTCAATGTGGCTTACTGTCGTAATCCGGAGTGAAAACTACCTCCAACACCCCACTACCACGGATATGTAAATGACATACAAGTTATTTATCAATACTTAAATTGTTCCATTTCAGGACTGCCCAATTTTGATGCGAGAGGACCATTTTGTTTCGATTGTGAACATCAAGGGGAGGATGGCTGTCAGACAGTTCAGATGTGTCGTTCCGATGAAGTAATTTTAAATGTTTTGTTCGACCCCTGCTGAGAGTTATGCCATAGCTTAGTGTTAGACTTGATACCGAATGCCTCCGTTTCTTGTCTGCTACCAAGATGTTTTACAATCGTTCTTTCTTTTGATTTCGAGGAAAAATTTATAATTTGCAAAAATTAAGCAATTACATGTTAGCAGCCTACAATATTTCAAGCAAGCAAATGCTTTGTAGTTTATTTACATCATAACTATTCGTATAGTTATATAATGGCACTCTACATTCACTGATAGAGAAGGATGAGGATTCTAGATCCCCTTCAAATAATTATTATGGAAAAAATGATTTTCAATGAGAACGCATATGCTTAGGGCCATCGAACTTTTGAATGAAAAATAAAAAACTAATAAACAGAATTCCCCACTTCTGGCAATCAAACTCTCCCCATTGAACTGTATTATACAGCAAAAACACAAATTACAGAATCTCAGTCTTTCCTTATTTATTTTCAGTAGTTTAAAATGTTATTTTTTTACAGGCTTGCAAAATAGAGAAGTACCAGTGGGGAGATGGTTATCACTATATTATGGGATGCATAAAACGCCAGGTAATGTTTCATTTCTTCACTGGAATAAGTTGATCCTGATGCAAATCCAATTTTATAAAGCATCATTTACTGTATTTTGAATGAATCTATTTAGAAACACATTTCATTAATTCTACATGTATTTATATTCAAGGGATGCACTAGCAAAAGAGACATCCATGCTCGTCACTCACCTGTATGTGAACACTGTTGTCATTCGGACTTCTGTAACATGAACTGCACGAGCGCCCATGTTGAACAAATCATTGGTATTTATTTATTCTCTTCTTTTGTTACATCAAAAGTAGAAAAGTATAGTATTATTAATTCTATCCACGACGATTCGATTTTTTAACCTTTCTTTGGATAAGCAAGATGTTTACCTTTTACAAATCACATCTTTAATAGAACTCTATAAAACAATTGTACAATTGACATCAGAAAACGGACAGGTATCAAATATGAATATCGATATATATGTATGACAATTTCCAAACTAGACCAAGGGTGCCAAGCCATTGCTTTATCGACGGTTCCTGGAGTCACAAACCTTCCGAAAAGTTCGGAGAAATAGCTAGTCTATACGATGGATTGTTATTATATTAATGAAAAGTCTGTACATTACGTGCCTGATATATCAATATATAACAAATAAATCACATGACTTTTTGCTTCTACTTTTAATCAGATATTTAACCTAATCATTTTATACTTTTGTAAGATTCTTTCTCCTTTTTTCAGGCTAACAGCTCATAGAAGTTACATCGCACAAAAACTGTAAAGAAATTTAAGAAAAATACAGTTAAATAAAATTGGTGACGGTTGAAATGTTTTGTTACTTATTCTTTACTTGCACTTTTACATTGAAAAGTTTCTCATGCATGTGAATCGTGTTTGTCTCCTATGACTTTTAAGCACCTGACATAATTTTTTAACTATGTGAGGGCTGAGCATAAAATATATGTGAATAAAACGATGATTATAAAAAATCTTTGCCGTTAAATATCGAGATATTTTACTGCAGAGGTGAATAAGACAGCAAACGAATATGACAGAATGAGATGTCGCACAGTCACTCATTTACCTGTATAACCAGTGCTACTATTCATCTGAGTGCATTCAGTGCTTTCAGCGCTTTGATCTAATTTGTAGTGTTAAGGTAGACATTAATTTTTGTTCAAATCTATTAAAGCATCAAATTCTAACACACGATTCTAGTGTGACCAACTTTTGGTTACATTCATTGTGACCGAATATACTAGTCTTCTTTATTTGCTCTCATAGTTTGAAACTGTGATACTCTTGGTTCGTGTGCGTGTGCTTACGATACCATAGTTGCCTTCGAAATTTCTGAAGCTAAACCCCATTTTCCGGAAAACAATCTGCAAAGGCATTTAAAAAGATGACTGCACAAAGGGACAAATACCTGTAAAAGTGGAAAGTCGCCATGATATTGACGTTTACATTGTCAATTGACTTATTAAATCTGCGCAGTATATAAACTTGGAAAATAAACTGACAGATCTAAATATTGTTCGTGCAAAATGTCACAGGTGTTCGTTTCGGTGATTGGTCACTAATTTAACCCCAAACCATCACTAATATCCACAACCTATCACAAACATTCTAAAATGCAGTGGGGTTTTTTTCATGTAAAATACGTTTAAATATTATGTACACGATTGTGATAACATTTCTTTCATTAAAAAAAGATACATTTATATTTAGTACAAAAAAATATATTAAGTACTTAATATTTTTGGATACAGCGTTCCTCTCATCCATTACTATTATAATATTTCGGGTGAGACTTCGGAAATCGAAATTACGAATAATGTTACTATATTTTATGCTTTATTTAAATCAATGGTTTCAGTTGGGCATCAATTGTACTCCTCCAAAAACGGTTTCATTGGGTGAGTCACACGTATGGCTTAGTGAAAACGCCTTGAACGTTTTTTCTTCCACATTACAGCGAGTTTTAATATTTTTGAGGCCGATTTAAGTGCTTGATGTGCTTTAAAGGCATTATAGTCTACTATACGGTACAATTACTAGTATTTGTAGAAATGTTATCTAATTTGTCTATCAATTTTATGATAGCCTATTTAATAAGTGACCTCTTAACAAAGATTATGATTTTTGTATTAAAGGAACTCTAATGATGTCCAAAAGCTTAAAAACATTATAATTGAATTTTTGTATACACTTAAAACAGAAAGATATGCCAAAACTAATTACGAAATATACTTAGAAATAAATTGAAAATCGTATTTGCGCTATGATAAGCCCCGTTTAAGTGAGAATCGTTGTCCTCGCGAGGGGTTTGACGGAACATAAAAAAAACATGAATTAACTTTCGACGATCACAAAATAATGCATCTATTATTGTGTAACATATATAGTGCTTCGTTTTGATAATTGATAGTTCCAAGATAAAAGATAAATCCTCTAAAGGGAGAAAGTCCCAAGAAAACGGTAAGAACATAATTAATAAATGAAAATCACAGACTCCGTTTAATAGAATCTTTTTTTTTCTTTCTTTTTTTCTTTCATACTTCAATTTACTTCTGCAGCGTGCTCGTGATTCATCAGACCCGTGTAGGCCAACTCGGCTTGTAGTTAATTGAAATGCATTTTACAGTACCGTTAATACGTATAATTTTTTTCAAGATGTTCATAAAGGGTTTTTTAACCGGGACTGTAAATATTTTTTTTATATTTGTGTACCATTTGATGTATGTCTACTCATTTAATCACAGAGCTATAAAACTTTAAGATAAGTCTCTGAATTAATTTAACCTAGATTGTTACAAAAATTATTTCGCATTCAGTAAACAGTTTCTTTACAGTTTTGGAATGATCCAAACTTTTCGTATAAACGAACATTTTCGCTATTTAGTTGAACCGCTTCCGGAATGTAAATTAGATACTTCCGGTTTATGCGGCTTCCACGTCAATTTTGATCGAGTTGGCAAACTATTTTTCATTTCTGTTTGACATTAATAACAAACATATTGGATGCTTTTAGTCAGTCAAAGACTACGTTATGTTAACTAAATTTGAAACAAAGTCGGCGCGTGTGAAAGGTATGCATAGTTTTTTCGATAAATTAATGTATCATGCTAATTTTCTGTAGGCAGTGCCGTAGATCATGGAATAATTTGCTCAGGAGCCAAGTGGACAGATCCCATTATAATCATTTTCTGCATTATAAATTTTTTTAATAATTTTATTCTTTTAAAAATAAAGAATAATAATTTTCTGACAAATTAAAGCCATAGTAAGGGCTTTTTCCCATCATTGGCCCTTCCATCAGAGCCCAGAATCATCCTACAGGTATGTTATGAGCAGAGGCTGTCCCTGCCATAAGCTCAGGCCGTCAGGGTGTTCGTTTAAACTGAGACCTTGGGTCTTGACAGTGAAAATTCTGAACAGCACTTGTTTGATCTGTGGCATGTCATTTTTGACCTGTGATAATTTTCATTAATGCATTGTATTGTACAATCTTCTATTTTCCCGCCAGTTGAAACAATGTTTTTGCTCAAAATATTGTGCAAATGTTTTGGTAATTTTCATTGATCAAAATTCTCAGGACCGGTACAAGTCAACCCGGCCCCAAGTCAACCCGGCCTCAAAATTGGTCAACCCGGCCCCAAAATTGGTCAATCCGGCCCCACAGTATTTTTATTTGGTCAACCCGGCCCCAAAATTGGTCAGTGCGGCCCCAAAATTGGTCATTCCTGCCCCAAAATATATATTTGTCGGTAAATTTAATTGCGCCGATTAAGTCTTTAATACGCAATATTGATGATGAATTATTATATAACATCAACAATTATATGTACATCAACATTATTTAATTCAGATGTGATAATCAAACAGTTTAAAGCAATCAATTAACAAAAAAGGTATAGCTGTGAAAACAAATCCTTTTAATAAGTTGGTAGTATCTTTCATGTCTTTATTCGATGTAAATTAAAGATGATTTCGTGAGTGTTAATGCGATAATTAGGAAGAAATGCATAGAATTTCGAGTTAAAAGGTTTGTATAAATATAGTTTCCAACAATATTTTTTCAATTCATTTGAATGTCTTTATTGAATACGTTCATCATTATAATTAATATTTGTTTCGTTTTTTATTAACTTATTTTCAAAGAATATTTACTGTGTAAAAAGGTATTGGAATATTACTAAGTGTTTGGAAAATTGATAGTGTTTTGCGTTTAATCTAATATAATTGATCATATCATTATTGTTGTTAATTAAATTAACACATTAAGGTTTCTTTTCCATGATATGTCAAAAAAAAGTTTAGTTTCCCAAATTTAACATCTTTATCTTTAAACGTGCTATTTTGAATAAAAAACACTGATAAAGTACTATCAGAAGTTTGATCTTTTTACAGTATATCCCTAAATATGTCTAAGCACTACAATGAATATATAAAATAAATAATAAAAGATATCATCATTGAACTTTTGTTTTTGTTGTTAATTCTTATCTTATTTCTTGATAAGTGTTTACATTTTAAAGCAAAATAAATAATAAAAATGTGACAAATTCGAACATTCTAGGTCGTCTGTGTGCTGTTGACTAGCAATTCAATACCGCTCAATTAAAAGCCTGTTTGACTTAGAACTTTCTGACACTAAACAGTTTCTTCTCAAACAAAAGAACATTCAGGGAAACTTGGTAAGAACAATTTAAATGGTTGGAATTGAATGTTGTTGATGGACAATGTAAATTATTTTGTACATATTATCATGAAGCAAATAAGAATGTGTTCACTTCTTATGCAAATCATGGAGGTAGCACAAATTATCAGCATAGTGCAATTGATAGACATCATAACATATAATAAAATGATTTATTTCATGCTTTCCAGTGTTTTATTGTAATATATCAGATGATTATATTCTGATAAACCACTAGTGAAATTTATAAAATATAATTTTCACTGTAGCTGGACTATATCTAAATGCGGATGAAAAGAAAATCATAATTAAATGGAATAACAGGCAGAAATAAACGCTGTCATGCGTAAATATTGCTTCTTTATGAAAAGAAAGTCGATGTCACCATACATCATGTTAAAAATATTACAAAATTAGAGAAATTTAACAGAACTATATTTCAAATTGATGATGTGACGTCATGATGTGATGACGTCACAAAGGAGAATGCACGACGTTACGCGGCAAAATCTGTAAATAATACTTAAAATCACTTAAAAAGCATGAAATAAAAAGAAAATTTATTTGTTTTACATATAAGATTGAAATATATTTCATTCGTGAACACCAGCTATTATATTTTCACTCGTGGCTACGCCACTCGTGAAAATATTGCATCTGGTGTTCACTCAGTGAAATTATATTTCAATCTTACATGCAAAACAAACAAATATCCTCTATATATATTCAGATGACTTGGTGTTAGCAAATGCTAGAATGCTTATCAATTCTTAAATTCAAGAGGCTTTACAAACTGCACAAAGATCAGTCTCAAAGGTCTGACTGTGTGTAATATGTCTTAATTTGTTTAAAAAAGGTTATTACATACTTTTCTTAATGAAATATGTTTTATACATGTGTGTGCTTAATAAGCTGTATAAAATTAGATGATACTCAAAATATGCCAACCTGTGATCCTTAAATATTTTATGTGGTGGATCATTGACCCTTGAGTTTCAGAGTCTACCAAACGCCCTGTATACCACTTCTCCTTTAGTAGGAAAATTCTGTAAAGCTGTGCAGTTTTCCTCTATAATTCAATTAACATCAATATTTTTATCGTTTTTTCTTTCCCCCAAATTAATGGGTCACTTCCTTCACTTGTGAAAAAAACCTGGAAGTTATCTAAGATAATATACACAGATATTCAAGTTGTTATCTCTTTACATGTAGGCAGTACTTTTCATATAGGTCGGCAACAGACACTTTTGGAAAATGAAAGGCTCACTTTGCAAACCCTACCAGCTATATCCTGGAATAGAACCTGGGGTCTAAACCAGCAGTGTATATGTATTTCTAGTATGTTATTACTGAATAAAATATAGACCTGAGGGTCTTTCCAGGAGATTGCCCAAATTAACAGCAATGTGAACATTCAATGTAAACATTTTTAAATTGTTTCAATACAGATACATAATTACATGCATTTCTTTGTTTACAGGTCTATCCTTTCATCCAAAAAGACCATGGGTGTTGACAAGTTTATTCAATGGTGTAATACAGCTATGGGATTATCGTATGTGCACACTCATTGACAAGTTTGATGAACATGATGGTAAGTTTCCTATTTTATGCTTTCAGATTTAGTTTTCTAACCTAAAGGCTATACCTGCTGAATTTATGTAATGGATTTGCCTTGCTTTGAGTTTGAAACAGCTCATTCAAAGTTAAGCGGAACTTAAGGGGAGTTTAGCATTAAAAAAAAAATAGTTTAGCTATCAACCGCATAAAGTTAGGTTATACTGCATAAAAACGCAGGCCGACTTGAAATCAATACTTGCTGCAGAGAATTTTACTTTCTATCCCAGCAGGTGACAGGTTTAATTAAGTTCATACCATCAGTATAAAGAGGCATTATACTGGTTGCCATGGCAGGTTAAAGGTCAAACCCAGGTCTATACTTTTGTACAACATGGAAGAGGACGAGAAAAGCATTTTACATTTAAAAAAAAAACATTCTCCTTACCATTGTTGTTAAAAACCTAAAGAAGTATTGTTAGGAAGGAAATATACTACCTTATGCTATACATGTTCTAATCAAGGTCCTTTCATGTCAATGAAATATTGTATGACCACACATTCATTGTGGGTTTTTTTTTCAATGGGAAAGGTAGAAATTAAAGTTTCAATGACAGTATATTTGGGACTTATTAAACTATAATAATTATGTTGACTCTTTTTTGTCTTTGTTGCATGTGTGTTGTTGTATATACAGTAGATTTATATAAAGTTGTTAATTTGCAGGTCCTGTCAGAGGTATATGTTTCCATTTCCAGCAGCCTCTATTTGTGTCCGGAGGTGATGACTACAAAATTAAGGTTTGTTCGGCTCTTTAAAATAGTGTTCTCCATAAAAATAGTAATAATATGTTTGTCATTGAAGTTGTATTATACATTTGTTTGTATAATTGTATTGACTTGTGATGTTTGTTAGGGCTTATGGGGGAGGGTGATTCAGACGAAAACCTTGCTGTGTTTAATCCAATTTTGCTCTCCCGATATATCAGAGTGAAGTCAAATTCACCTAAAAAAGTTTTCTCGGTGATGTCATGTAGAAAGTTGGTATCCGCCCATATGCGGACTACTTATTAATCAGTCAGAGCAGTGCTATATACTACACTTATACCTGAATTCAAAAGCAAAAGACCACCTAGAAAATGACTTCATCAATCCATGGCATGCATAAATTGTGACAATTTTTTGAGTTTTACATGGTTTTGGAGGTATTTATGCAATGTCCCTGTTTGATTAACTAGACAGATGCTATTTTACATAAGTGATGTAATCAATGCACTTTGATGTCTGTGTTTAACACAAGTAAATTTGAGGTGCCATAGGGTTTCACAGATATTTTTAAAAAAAATTACGGAAGCCAATCATCATTCGTCAATCAGAGTGTCTTGCTCAAGGAAACATTTAACAAGTGCTTGCCACTAACAGGGTTAAAGAAACCCACACAGCTAACAATCCTTAAAATATCTGCTTTGAAGGGTCAGCCAGCTTGGGTGCTTTTTATCTACAACATTATATAACGATGTAACATTTTTTTACACTAGGTTTGGAATTACAAGCAGAGGAGATGTTTATTTACACTACTTGGACACCAGGACTATATCAGAACAACCACATTTCACCATGTAAGTTTTGGTCTCGATGATTTATTATCTCTAACATGAATTAGCAGCCCTACTTTTGTTAAGTTCTTGTATGCAAGTTTGTATCTCCAAAAGCACTGAAGGGATTAGGTTGAAACAATACACACTTATTGGAGAGCATAATAAGAGGTCACTTTTCAAATCTGATCACTCTAACATAATTATACTTTGACAGAAATAAGGCCCTTTTTGAAGTTCAAATTTCTACATTATTCAGGCTCTTGTTTCACTATTATGTACTGGGAACAGTCAAGCACACTGGCCTAGTGACAGCTCTTGTTTTATGTGAGGATCATTGTATCAGTGTCCTGATTCAATGCCCTGATTAAACTTCTGTATATGTTGTAGGAGATGGTTTTACTAACCAGAAAGTATGGTAATGAATTCTTTACCTCAACCATTCTTTTGTAACTCAAAATGTTAACCACAAAATTTATAAAGAAGAATGTTTTAAGTGTATGATGGAAATTTAGTATACCGTTTCAATACTTCAGGAGTACCCATGGATCCTAAGTTCATCTGATGATCAGACAATACGTATTTGGAACTGGCAGTCTAGAAACTGCATCTGGTAGGTTCTTTTACTATATTTTGAATAAAAAATGAATTTTTCAGAACCTCAAGTGAGTTGTTGAGAATCATTCTTTGCATGTTCTCATCACTCTTTAAAATTAGGATGTCTTTTAGCTGGCAGTTGATGTTAACACTAAAAATTATAAAGGAATACTCAATAGACTTTGCAAGCAAGTCAGGCAAGTAATTAAGCAATTTTCACTGTATATTTGAAATTTTAACAAGCCCTAGAGAAAATCTACTGGTTGTCTGGCTAGTGCTAAGTTAGGGACATTTGTAACCCATCCAATTGTAATGAAAACTTATATCAGTGTATTTGTACACACAAATATATATTTATTTAATATAAATTTCATTTTTACAATTTCCTTAGTTTGCCTGGAGGTATGTCATAATGTGTTTTAAGTAGCTTTAATAAAAAAAATTTTAAAAAAAGGGAAAAAATTGTAATACTTTGTAAGAAAATATTCACATGTTGGCATCCTTTGACTTTATTACAGTGTGCTGGCTGGTCACAGTCACTTTGTGATGTGTGCACAATTCCATCCATCAGAGGACCTGATAGTGTCAGCATCACTTGATCAGACTGTAAGAGTATGGGACATCTCGGGGCTTAGGAAGAAAAACGTGTCACCAGGTATGTTACTTCATAATATCATTGTAATAATGAGGGTAGATACATCAAGGACTTGCTTCTTTTCAATGATTTATGGCTGTTTTAATTTTTTCTTCTTTGAAGATTTTCTTAATTTTTTCATTGGTCCATTCTGCTGCTTGTTCTATCAAATTTGCTTTAGATTTTTCTTTGTACTTTGCTCTAGTCCTGAATATTGAGAAGAATTTAAAATATCCTGATTTTGAAGATTGAGAAAAAAATACTAAATTCTGATTTTACATCTTTTCATCTGTCTTGATTTTTTGGGAATCACCTATTTAATTTTATGCTGTTTTGAAGTGATGGACTTTTCATGTTTTGTGTTTTGAAACTATGTGTTGTTAGTTGAGGGTATTTAAGAATAAAATGATACAATTTAAAGATCTGATTAGAAATGGTGACATACAAAGATACAATTTAAAGATCTGATTAGAAATGGTGACGTACAAAGATTTACTTAACTTGAAATTTGCGCGTAACATTGTATCTATTTTCCCCTACCCCCCACTAGGATAAATTGTAAAAGTAACTTTATATGACTTAATCTCACCTTTAATTGAATGTTTAATACTAAACTTAGTATAAAGTATCATTCAAGGAGCTTCAACATCTTATCTTATGTTTGTGCTATTACGAAGTTGGCCAGCAGTGTAAAAGGGCCAGCCAGAGTTGAAAATGGGGGGGGGGGGGGGGATGGAATCTTCAACCATTGTGTGGACTATCAGCATAATTGGTGTGTGTAGCTCCCTTAGTTGATCATCTGTCAAGTTTGCCTGAAGGTATTTTGGTGACCTCTGTCAGGGTCAGGGGACACTGTCTGGAGCAAAACTATTAAATAAAGAACCATCTTTCTGTTAACTGATGCATCACCAAACATGGTGTACACTAAACCTTCATTTCTCACTGGGGGGAAAAAGGGGAAAGATTGTTATTACAAATCTGTACAGCATTTGTGCTGGTGAGAAATGCAGGGCAATTATGGTCCTCTTGTTTAAATCATTTCACTTTAGTTAGATAATTTCCATTTTACAATTCAAGTTGTTTTGACTTTAAAAAACTTTTGTTCTAAATTATTTGTCTGTTGTGACTTGTCAATTTCAAAACTTCAATTAATTAAATTGTACCTTAAAGTTTTTACATTCTATCAGTCTTATCTTTACATCTTTCTTCTTCCAGTATTTATGATTTTTTCCCCGGAAATTTGAGTAGTGAAAAAAGCAAGAATTTCAGCATAATACACTTCTAATATGCTATGAACATTGGAATAATAACCTTTATACAGGTTTTCAATGTGAAGTTGCAAAAATCAATTATAAGGCTGTAATTTGCTATAATACAGGAAAATAATATCATGAATCAATATTTTTTAAATATAACTGTTTTGTTTATTATAAATGCTGAAATTCTTGTATGAAGTGGGATTATGACCTTGGAATGAAAAAGGTCACATTGTGAGATTTATTGCAAGGTATTGTCTGGTGTTTCAGAACAGTCACAGAGTGAGTAAAATCTCCTATTATAAGCATGGCAATCTAAACCCTTACTTAGCTAAAATTTGGTATAATGGACTTGTCCTTGTATTGAAATCTGAATAGTTCATCGTACTGATTGTCAGGTGAATCCATACCATACTGTTAATAGTTTAAGAAACCAAGATGACACATTCTTCTTCTTATGACTTGAGTATGTTTTCAACAGAAATGAAAGTCAACAACATACAAAAAATGACATCTTGTTTTAGTCCGTTAAGGTGGTGACATCAACATGAATTAAGGACTTAGCACTACATGTATATCATAACAATTTGATATGTAGGAAAACAATCTGTTTGAAATCTTTTTGGTTTTCAGAAAAACATAGGTTATACTGTCCATTACAAGTGTGAAAATATCAAGAAATGCTTCATTTGATTGAAATACATGTAATAGTATTACATGTATTTTTTAAAATGTAGATTTCAGTGGCTTGGTGCAACATGTTTGTTACTCGTATGACATAAATGAGTTACAACCATTTTTGCACCAAATCCTCAAATCGTTTTATATCTCTGACCCAAAGTTAGGTACATGTATGATATTTGGTGTTGAATGCGTAAAAACAAACTAGAAGTATTATGGAATAACCAACCCAAAGCTTTCCTGCTAGTTTGTAGTACAGAATATTTAGTTACGAGGTATGCAGCCAATGTTTAAATGTTAGTTTGTTTTGATTTTTTTTTGTTAACAAAAAATTGCACTTATTCAATAATGTCCAAAAAATTGCACATATTCATTCAAGTCAAAAAGAATGCACAAATTCAATAAAAAAGAATGCACAAATTCAATAATGTAAAAAAAAAGTGACTGCCTCAAATTCAATACAGACCCGTCTCAGAATTATTTTAATGACCACGCTGTAAAATTGCTATTAGCATGGATATTTTCTTAGCAATTTCATAAACAGGTAGATGTTTTATGTAAGCAAAGTGTTATTTCTTTAAGTCATGCATCCTTGAAATTTAATTGTAAGTTTCAAAGAATTTAGTTTGTTTGTGTTAAACATAGTTTTTGTGGTGCATGTCAAAGTTAATAAAAAAATGCATGATTTCTTTAAATGTTTTGATGAAAATATGGAAAATATCACCATTGCTCCGAAATGAAAGATTTGAAATCAAAACTTTAGTATTTATGCTGTTAAATAAATTTTTTATCTAAAGATAGTCGCAATTATTAAAATCAACTGTTTCAGATTTTAGAATTGGAAAATGAAATTAATAAATTCAAAAATGATTGAAAGGTCTTTAAATTGTGGCCTTTTATACAAAAAAATATGTTTTTGTTCAAGTAAAAAAACCACACACACATAAAAGGTAATTTGGCAAGGTTATTTCAAGTGCAGTCCAAATCTTGAAAAACTTGTTATGAAATTCAAATTTTTACTCGTTTCAATATACTGAAGATTTTACAACATAGCTTTGATTCCTAGAGTTTCATGTCATAAAAGGAAAAGCGTAATATTAAATGAATGGTTGTGGAAATAGTTGTTACTATGTAGAAGGTATGGTGATGGAAACTGGTACAAGGCATTGGTTGATGTAAATAATTGATTGAAGGAATTTGTTTAAGAAATGGTTTTACTTTTCATGTACATCTTGATTTTCTTCTTCTATAGTCTTTTTCTACTATTTCCACCACTTTGGTTTAAACATATTGTAATTATGTAAATCATTTATAGAGTAATAAGGAAAAGAATCAGTTTTGATATATGTGGTAGCTAAGGGTACTGCTCTCTCCATTAAAATATGGTGTCCATCTGCATACTTTAAACAGTATACTTGAAGAATTATGAGAAATAGTTCCATGTTAAAGAATAGGTGGGACATTAATCAGAAGTTATACTGTACGCTGTGATTTTTCTCACTTAATTGGGAATAGGCCTTAGCCTCATGATTTTGGGAAAATTTATCGCTAAAATTGCTAATTTGGGAAGTAAAAAAGTAGGTGTATGTTCATATTTTTGGGAAAGCTGCATGATTTTAAATAAAATTTCAATTGGGAAGAGGCCTTTTAGTGGGGTCTTTAATATATTTGCAAGAAAATCACTCGTAAAAAATTATGCAAAATATTACTAGGGGAAACAGAGCGTATTGTTTGAATTAAATCCTAATATATTACAGGAGCAACTTCTCTAGAGGACAGACTACGTAGTTCAGGACAGCCTGATCTGTTTGGAATGTCTGATGCGGTGGTTAAGCATGTATTAGAAGGTCATGACAGGGGAGTTAACTGGTGTGCGTTCCATCCTAACCTGCCCCTGATTGTGTCGGGAGCTGATGATCGCCAAGTTAAATTGTGGAGAATGAATGGTGAGTTATGGTTTTAGCACATCTCTTGGCAACTTTAATTTTAATTTTTTGTGAGTAGGGGGATTGTCACTTATAGCCTGTACATAACCCATACTTTAATATCTGGGTGAAAAAAAAAAAAAATTTAAATCTTTTTTTTTCCCTCATATTAATATACTAACTTTTCTTCTTGAATTTAAAATATTACAATATGGAGTAAAGAAGACCAGTAGACATAGAAAATTCAATACATCATATTTGTTTTGTTAATTAGAACATATTTCTTCATGTGTGGTAGCCATTTTATTTTAGATTTCAAATTGAAGTGTTTTTCCCCTGCCATCTTGCATGTTAACACAGTACAAATTAAATTATTAAATTGCAAGATAATAATTGAGCCACTTCACAACAAAACCAACATAATGTGTTTGCGACCAGCATGGATCCAGACCAGCCTGCGCAGTCTGATCAGGATCCATGCTGTTCACTTACAAACTCTATTACAAGTAGAGAAACTGATAGCGAACAGCATGGATCCTGATCAGACTGCGCGGATGCATAGGCTGGTCTGGATCCATGCTGTTCGCAAATGCACTATATTTGTTTTGTTGTGACGCAGCTCATTTAAATGTCTATCTGAAGTATTAAACAAACAATATTTTATAGTAGGTCTATGCAAAGGCATTTCTTCAATTAAGCCCATAGAAATTTCTATTGCCTACACAAAAATGTTAATAAAACAAAACAATCATTGTATTACATTGTATTAATTTTTGTTTATTAACCATAAAGAATAATTTTGTTGAACATCTACAAGTGAGGCTAAGATAGCAAAAATGCCCATTTATTTTTTTCCAAAATTACCTTTTGGGTCATGAACCATTAAAAATCTGTATTAGGACTTCCATTTACAAAAACAATGTTCCACTTCAAGGTTCTATGGTTAAAAACAAAAGTTCCTTAACTTAAAAAAAAAACAGAATTTCTTAAACTTTCACATGTACATGCACACCGGTATTTTAAGGAAAAATGCATACTTGGTCACAGTCTGAAATTTCAACAATTTTGGTTACAGTCTGAAATTTCAACAATTTTACTGATTTTATGGGGGGAAAAACACACACAAAAAAACCAAAGCACAGGAAACAAACTATTCATTATTGTAATGGTCTCCTCTGTTATGATAAAGGAGAGAGAAAAAACACAAGCGTTTTTGTTCACCGACATCTTAGATTTCACAGTTATGTGATGAAAATATATGATATTATATTACATTAATATTGGTAATTATCAGATGAATTTCATGATTACAGTAGAAATTTGCTGATAGAAAAACTGATTCTTTTTCTTGTTTTGCACTTTTTTAACACTAGACTGTGATCAGCCTTTCCCAGCAGTATAGGGATTGGCCAGCCTGAACATAACATGCTGAGCAAAATCAATATTCTTAATGATCAGATGAACAGTTCCATATTGAAAGCTGTGCAAAATGAATATTCTAAATGATCAAATTGGCAGTTCCTTATTGAAAGCAACTGTTTGGAAAAGTCGTAAAATGAAACAAATGAACAAACAAAACATATTGCAAGCTGGGCAAAATCAATATTCTAAATGATAAAATGGACTGTTCCATATTGAAAGCTGTGCAAAATCGTAATGATCAAATGGACTGTTCCATATTGAAAGCTGTGCAAAATAAATATTCTTAATGATCAAATGGACTGTTCCATATTGAAAGCTGTGCAAAATCAATATTCTTAATGATCAAACGGACTGTTCCATATTGAAAGCTGTGCAAAATCAATATTCTTAATGATCAAATGGACTGTTCCATATTGAAAGCTGGGCAAAATCAATATTCTTAATGATCAAAATGACAGTTTCATATTGATAGCTGGGCAAAATCAATATTCTTAATGATCAAATGGAATGTTCCATATTGAAAGCTGTGCAAAATCAATATTCTTAATGATCAAATGGACTGTTCCATATTGAAAGCTGGGCAAAATCAATATTCTAAATGATCAAATGGACTGTTCCATATTGAAAGCTGAGCAAAATCAATATTCTAAATGATCAAATGGACTGTTCCATATTAAAAGCTAGGCAAAATCAATATTCTTAATGATAAAATGGACTGTTCCATATTGAAAGCTGGGCAAAATCAATTACTTTGAATTTATTTAATTTCATGTGCATGAAATTTCATGGTTTTTATTGATTCTTAAACTTTTGGATTGTTTATTTTTGTAAAAAAAAAGTTTAATGCGAAGAATGTAATTAAAAATAATCGTACAGCAGACAAAAAACATTTATGTTGGACTTTTAATATTTGAGGAAAAAAACAGGAAAAAGAACATAAAAATTTATGTCTCATAAATAATAATGATTTTGTAGTATATAATTTCAGCAGGTTAAGAAAAAATTAAGGCACTTTTATTAACTGTCCATAATGTAAATTAATTGTGCTTGCTCTTTAAATAATCTGAAAAAAAAGTATGATGATGTAAAATTGGAAAATTTAGCGCAATTTTATACAAAACATGTAAATTAACTATATAGTTGACACATGGGTTGTAATGAAGTCAATATTTTCGAAACTCGTAAATTGTTTTTATAAGGTATCTTGAAAAGAATACTTTTTTTCTGGGTGTCTTTCAGCTCTAAAGCATATTAGCATCATTAATTAAGTTCTTCAGGTGATTCTCTTATAAATCACTTTTCTGCTTCAAAAGCTTTTGTTAAAAAAACAAAACAAATAAACTGTTGGTCTCGATATTTGTGGTTTTTCAAAATGATAATTCTTGGATACCAACTAGCAAATGTCTCATTGTTAAGAGTCAGTTTCTTATTTCTGATGTAGCATTTTTTTTCGTGACCAACTTAGGGTCGTCATGTGTCTCTTGTTTTGTGACTACCAGTAGTCGTCATTTCTTATTAGTGCATTAGTACCAGAACTGTACTTAATACTTAAAATCTGTACTGGCATGTATTCCTATAAAAAAAAAGAAAAAATGTCACTCACACACATTTCACAGGGGGCGGGGTTAATGTTAAACCTTACACATACTAAGTTTATCACTATCACAATGGTGTCAGGTGAGAAAGTACAACATTTTTAGACATAAAGTTTTAACATTATATATACAGTCTTGTTTGTTGTCATTAAATCGGCATTAATACTGTAGTTTAAAATGCTGGTATCCTTCATTAACACTGGTACTATATAAAATCCATTTTGTTGGTAAGATGACATTGCCTGTAAGCCTTTACAAAACACTGGTTACTCGAGTTCTTGTCACAAAATTTTCACTTGATTGATTCCTGCATCGAAACACGGCAATTACCTGCTTCCTGAACTTTTTACCACTTAGAAAATACAGAATAAAGTTGACGGCATGGTTTGTGTAGAACATAAGGTTGAATATTGCCCAGATAATCTCCTGTGTCTCGGTCATGCCCTTTTTTTCATCGACCCAATCAGACCGTTTTACCAGGAAAATGAGAACTGGCATTGTACAGATGACGAATACGATGTTGACCAACAGTAACGTCAGTGTTATCTGTCTCGAATTTGAGTCGGCTTGATAGTTGTGCTGGTTTCCGTTTGGTTCCAACTGATTGGACGCTACACGTCGTCGAGCTGTCATCAGTTTTCTGACAATAATGATCCCACCAATCAGAAAAACACACTCTGGTATTATATTTAAGAGTAAAATTGTTACTATTTGAAATGAGCTATTGTAGAATTTCACATAGCCTGAGTTTTGAAGCCAGCATATTTTTACCAGTTGAGTACGAAACTCTTTGTCTTCGTTCAATACAGTAGAATTTAAAGCGGCTTGCCTGGAACAGTTTGAGATTTCATTTACACCAGAGATATTGCAGTTTCTTTGATTTGTTTCCGTAAAAGAAGTATTTTCTGTCAAGTTTGCTGTCATATCTGTAGCATTTGTACCATTGCTTGAGTTGTTGTTGTTGTTTGTAATGCTAATTTCTGTATGAAACAATGAGAAGCCGTACAAAACATGCGAGTGAAGTAACAGCATGACGACAATAATGATGCTGGATATTGTAGCGGCGCTTGCGACCGTGCACAGTTTCTTCATTTGATAAGGCTTCACGGTGCTGATGATTCTCTCTATGGTCACCGCAACAAGGATACTGACCGAGAGTGCGCTGTCAAAGTAGGTCATGAACCAATGAAGTTTACACATACCGTTACTCAAGTGCCGAATATCAACTCCAAATGTATATATCATCCACCATCTTGGTAACGATATCGTCATGACGAGCAGATCTGTGACCGCTAGCACTGTGAGGTAAACAGTTGTTGACGAGCGTTTCTGACGGTTCTTTGTCAGAACAATGATTGTGATAATATTTCCCACAATTCCTACAAAGAATACTATTGGTGTTCCAATTGTCCATATCATTCTGGAAATGTTCGAACCATTTTGTTGTCCACTATCCATTCTTTATATGAATTGTAATTGACAATGTGGTTGCTCAGTATGGAAAAAAATCCAGTTTTTTTTATATTTCCAGAAAACTGTTTCTCCTAAATCTCTTAATAGTTGAAGAAAATCATCATGTTTATGTCACTTGTTAAGTTGTATAGTTTGAACATGTGAAATATATTGATACTTTCCATGCAACTGTGCCAGTATTCAAGAAATTATTCTCGGTTATTTTTCCTCACAATTTCCTAGTCCAAGTGCTGTTTGACAATTAATAGGAAACTTGAAAGACTGGTGAAATTCTCTCATTCAATAAATTCTACTGTTGCTTTGCTTGGTTGAAAGCTTGATGAAAATGATCTGCTCACTAATGTTTCAGTTTATGAAAATAAAACCCTTTTTCCCCAGGAGATACAATTGCAGTGACAAACAAATCATAGCTTGTGAAAATGTAATTACAAGTAATAAAATCTGTACCTTTTGAAATATGATTACTGCTTAATTTTTTTCATCAGAAACTTGCCTTTATGGTGTAATCATATTAGTAGGTTTCACAATATTTCTGATGATACAATTTATTTATGTATGTAAATAGTATCAGTGTGATATTAACAATGCGAATGCTGTTAAAATTAATTATCAGGGAAAAGTAATTTGTTTCTCAGAATATATGGAGACTGTGATATTTAACAAGTTGTATTATTACTGTTATGCTTAGGTGGTGATTGTTATTTTGTAATGTTATACACGATTGGTAGGGAAAAGGTAAAAAAAATAAAACATGGGTTTAGTGTGATTATCAAGTTGATATACCATAGTTAACTTGATTTTTTATCAGCACGGAAGGTTGCAGGAATTTTCACAACAGCATGATTTTGTGATATTCACACATTAAATTGAAGAAAGAAAAAAAAAGCACTGTTTTCAAGTTAGTGAAAGAAAAAATTTGATTACCAGTTTACTCAAATTATCATTCATGCTACTCAAATTCTCATTCATGCTATTTAATTTTTGGGTTTATTCATTTTCTGCAAGAATTTTTCCAATAGCATTTTTTGTGATATTCATGCATTAGAATTGAAAATGCCATTCACTTATTGTGGCTTGAAACCTTCCCTTAGGATATCATGACAGCTAAGATTGGAAGTTAAAGGGTATTTGGATTTTTTCTTGTGGGGAAACTCTTCAAATAGCTGCTGCAAGCTCAGTGATTCCACTCAGATGCCTGCTTGTCTATGAAATAATAGGCTGAAGAGTTCTTCCTCCACCAGCAAAGCTGGTAAATTGCTATATGACCTTAACAGTGCTACTAAGTGCAACTTTAAAATTGACAAAAACACACACACAAATAAATTAAGTGGCTGCTCATATGCCTGAAATAATGCAGATGTTCCCAACATGTGCCTCTGCCAGTAAATGGTAAAGAAATTGTGAATGTGACTAACCCAAAAAATATTAAAGATGAATAGCTTATAGGCTGAAGAGTCTGCAGCTTAATATAGTATATTTATATCTTTTATTTAGATTCCAAAGCTTGGGAGGTAGATACATGCAGGGGACATTATAATAATGTGTCATGTTGCCTGTTCCACCCAAGACAAGAACTGATCCTTAGTAACTCCGAAGATAAGAGCATACGTGTATGGGATATGAGCAAAAGGTAAAATTTTGTCATCTGTTTTATTATGTTCTTGAGTTATGGTTACCGTAGCACTGGGGGTGATTTTCAACTTCTGGCATTAATGGTGCTTTAAATAAAAAATAGTTGGCAAAATAGATGAGAAATTCAAGCTTTAAAAAAATGTATTTCAAAATTTTCAATCTTTTATACACATTTAAAAAAAAAAGCATGACAAGGCCCTCAAAATGAATCAGTCTTCAATACAATGTTTAATCATGTGTCATCTCTAACATGTCCAATTACCTGATTTTTTTATGTTTTTTTATTATTTTTTTCAAAAAAAAAATGTGATTTAAAAAACAATAATATTTACCAACTGATATTTCAATATCGTTTCGTAAAGGTTTGTTTCCATAGTGATCTGATGATACACATTCATAGGTTACATGCTTGTTAAAGGGAACACTAACATACTATACCATTCGGCTGTCTTGTTTTGTTCAGTATCAAATTTCGAATTTTCAGACATTCCTGACATAGTTAACTTCTAGGTTAGTTTTATGAACATCGTTTGCTTCTTTATTATAGATTCCAAAGTTGATTGATACTGAACTTAACATTAAGATTTATTTGTTTGTAGAACTGGCGTTCAGACGTTCCGCAGGGAGAATGATAGGTTTTGGATAATGACAGCCCACCCTTCACTGAACCTGTTTGCCGCAGGTCACGACAGCGGAATGATCATCTTTAAACTGGAGAGAGAGCGACCGGCATACGCTGTCTCCGGTCATGTACTGTACTATGTGAAGGAGAAGAACCTCAGAAAACTGGACTTTACAACAAACAAAGATGTCCCTGTCATGCAACTTAGAGGGTAAGAAATGAAAAAAAAGTCTCATGTTTCTGTTTCATAATTATAAATACTCAGATATATTATTATATAAATAGCATAGCAAATATACTGTGTTATTAATGAAGAGTGGAGACCTAGTGGTTTGGTTGTCTACCTCTCAACCCAAGGATCGTATGTTCAAGATCAAGATGATAGAAAGTATATATCGATAAAGCAAAAGTCTATAGGGAGAGCATCTGGTTGGAAATCGGGGGTTTGCTGGTTCAATCCTATGTTGAAGTAAAAAAATTTCTGTTTCATTCTCATTTGATCTCTGACATTGGGTCTAATTGTGATTGCTCATTCACCACTGAGTCAGAGGTCTGGGATTTGCAGTCTGTCAATTGCAGAGAAATTGATAATAACTGAATAGTTAACCAAGCAGAAAATCCTGTTGGGTGGACCAACTACCAAAATATCACCAAAAATGTCATAAATCTGTGTAAATATTTTTGTGCTACTGTAGTATAAAATTAAATGCATTTCTGATTTCAGTGGATCTAGGTCACCTGTATTCAGCATGTCATACAACCCTGCAGAGAATGCTGTGCTCCTTGTTACAGTAAGTTACGTTTGAATATTACATTCTTAAAGCTGAATAGGGGAGGTTATGGTAAGATTTGGTTTAGACCGGTTTTTAGCTCGACTTTTTTTTTTGAAAAAAAAATAGAGGTATTGCTACAGTCAGGTCGGCGTTGCCGTTGCCGTCCGAAAACTTGTACCTGGATCATAACTTTTTTATTTCTTTGTGTATTGTCTTCATACTTGGCCACAACAACCCTTGGGACAAGACCTTTCAGTAGACCACACTAACCTTGACCTTCATCCATAAATGACCTTGACCTTCAAGGTTAAAAGTCCAATTTTTGCTTGTTCATGCTGTTATTGGCTGTAACTTTGTTATTTTTGAATGGATTGTCTTCAAACTTGAACCATAATAATCTTTAAGGATATCCCTTAAAAATAACCAGCCAGACCTTGACCTTCACTCATAAATGACCTTGACTTTGAAGGTCAAATTATTGAAATTTTCATTTTTTTTGGCTTTTATTGGCTGTAAGTTTGTTATTTTTGAATGGATTGTCCTGAAACTTGAACATAATAATCTTCAAAGATTACTGTTAAAGATATACTGAAAGACCTTGACCTTCACACATTAATGACATTGTCTTTGAAGGTCAAATTATTGAAATTTTCATTGTTTTGGCGGTCACTGACTGTAACTTTGCTATTATTGAAGGGATCAACTTCATATTATAAGAAAACATTCTTAAGGACCAGACCTTGTTTGTTTATCAAACCCAACTTTGCTTGGGCTCTTAAATGACCTTGACCTTGAAGGTTAAATTACTGAATTTTCTCAGATTTGTGCATTAAATGACCATATTTAAATATTTATTGGTGTGTGTGTGTCTATATATATATATTTACAACAACAACAACAATAACTAAAATTGTGTCATTGTTTCTATTTATAGAATTGCGTCATTGTTTCTATTTATAGAATTGCGTCATTGTTTCTATTTATAGAATTGCGTCATTGTTTCTATTTAGAGAAATTGGGTCATTGTTTTTTTTTTTATAGAAATGCGTCATTCTTTCTATTTTTAGAGATTGCATCATTTTTTCTATTTTTAGAAATTGCGTCATAATTTCTATTTTTAGAAATTGCATCATTTCTTCTATTTAAGATATTGCGTCATAATTTCTATTTTTAGTATTTTTAGAGATTGCGTCATTGTTGCTATTTATAGAAATTGCGTCATTGTTTCTAATTTTAAAGATTGTGTCATTTTTTCTATTTTTAGAAATTGCGTCATAATTTCTATTTTTAGAAATTGCGTCATTGGTGCTATTTTTAGATATTGCGTCATTTTTTCAATTTTTAGAAATTGCATCATAATTTCTGTTTTTAGTATTTTTAGAGATTGCATCATTTTTTCTATTTTTAGAAATTGCGTGATAATTTCTATTTTTAGAAATTGCATCATTGGTGCTATTTTTAGAAATTGCGTCATTGTTGCTATTTTTAGAAAATGCGTCATTGTTTCTAATTTTAGAGATTGTGTCATTTTTTCTATTTTTAGAAATTGCGTCATAATTTCTATTTTTAGAAATTGCGTCATAATTTCTATTTTTAGAAATTGCGTCATTTTTTCTATTTTTAGAAATTGCGTCATTTTTTCTATTTTTAGAAATTGCGTCATAATTTCTATTTTTAGAAATTGCGTCATTGGTGCTATTTTTAGAAATTGCGTCATTTTTTCTATTTTTAGAAATTGCGTCATAATTTCTATTTTTAGAGATTGCGTCATTTTTTCTATTTTTAGAAATTGCGTCATAATTTCTATTTTTAGAAATTGCATCATTGGTGCTATTTTTAGAAATTGTGTCATTGTTGCTATTTTTAGAAAATGCGTCATTGTTTCTAATTTAAGAGATTGTGTCATTTTTTTCTATATTTAGAAATTGCGTCATAAGTTCTATTTTTAGAAATTGTGTCATTTTTTTCTATATTTAGAAATTGCGTCATAAGTTCTATTTTTAGAAATTGTGTCATAATTTCTATTTTTAGAAATTGCGTCATTGGTGCTATTTTTAGAAATTGCGTCATTTTTTCTATTTTTAGAAATTGCGTCATAATTTCTATTTTTAGAAATTGCATCATTGGTGCTATTTTTAGAAATTGTGTCATTGTTGCTATTTTTAGAAAATGCGTCATTGTTTCTAATTTAAGAGATTGTGTCATTTTTTTCTATATTTAGAAATTGCGTCATAAGTTCTATTTTTAGAAATTGTGTCATAATTTCTATTTTTAGAAATTGCGTCATTGGTGCTATTTTTAGAAATTGCGTCATTTTTTCTATTTTTAGAAATTGCGTCATAATTTCTATTTTTAGAAATTGCATCATTGGTGCTATTTTTAGAAATTGTGTCATTGTTGCTATTTTTAGAAAATGCGTCATTGTTTCTAATTTAAGAGATTGTGTCATTTTTTTCTATATTTAGAAATTGCGTCATAATTTCTATTTTTAGAAATTGCGTCATAATTTCTATTTTTAGAAATTGCGTCGTTGGTGCTATTTTTAGAAATTGCGTCATTTTTTCTATTTTTAGAAATTGCGTCATAATTTCTATTTTTAGAAATTGCGTCATTGGTGCTATTTTTTAGAAATTGCGTCATTTTTTCTATATTGAGAAATTGCGTCATGTTGCTATTTTAAGAAATTGCGTACTGTTGCTATTTTTAGAAATATGCTTAATGTTTCTATTCATATATATACAAAATATATAAAGAAAACTAATGTGACAAGACAGACCAACTAAATTTATAAAAAGGAAACGTTAATATATGTTCAAACCTTTCTATGTTTGCGTTTAGAAAAAGTAAAAAGTCGAGCGTTGCCCCCGCCCGGCGGTGGCTCTTGTTCATGATTTGGATGAGGACAGCATTCTTCACCCTTAGCGTACTAAATTTGTGTAATAGGTTTGCCCAGGTTTGAATTTGGAAGAGTCCTTGAAAATAAAGGCATTTCAATGTCAAATATAAAATTTTAGCTACCAAAGTATAAACAGTATAGGGCCTGGTCAGATTGCACTGATATGAAGGCTGGCCTGGCTCTATACTGGTGGCAAAAGCTTATCTGATTTATAGCAGAATAATGGTAGTTACTGACTCTTTTATAAACTAAAATAACACATGTCATTGACTGGTAGAGTTAAATGATACTGAGCTTTTCATCATGATTGCTCTAGTAAACAACTGCTTATAGTTTATTTTCTGTATTACAGCGTACAAGTAATGTAGAAAACAGCACATACGATCTGTATGCTATACCAAAAGAATCAGACTCCAAGAATCCAGATGGTAAGTTATTTATAGTAACTTTCCTTTATATAATTTCGAATCATTATAAACCAGCAGTACTGATTAAACAAAATTGAGAAATAAATTGACATCTAAAAGAGCCTTTTATTTCTATTTGATTACTTGTTTCCAGCTCCTGAAGGGAAGAGATCATCAGGTCTGACTGCTGTGTGGGTTGCTAGGAACCGATTTGCTGTGTTAGACAGAAGTCACTCTGTAAGTAGTAGATATAAAATAATTATAGATATAACATTTTCCTGCATTATTAATTCTCGTCTTGTACCATAAAATCTATAGGTATATTTTCTCCTTTTTGCTATCTTGATATTGAATGGTCCTGCTAATTTGAAATAAATATTACTGCTAGACCAATTTATATTTCAATTGATTAAAAAAACTCTTTTAACAAAATGTAAGAAAATTTATGTGTAATTTTTTTTTAAAAAAAAGAGAAATAATTATAGATAATTGGAAGAGAAACCAGGAAATTGTCTCATTGTCTGATATAAGTATTTTGGTAAGGCCAAATGGGAAAAAAAGGTTTTGTTTCTGGTCTCGGACTTTATACAGAATTATATACAGAATTAATTTTTGTTTGTGTAGGAAGCTATAAGCTTTTATGTACACTTTCTAATCCAATCCTGGGATCAACCAGTACTGAGCAATGAGTGTAAAGTTTCTTGCTCAAGGAATCAACGACTTGTTCTACCCATCTGCTAGCAATCAATAGATTACTTGTCGATAACACTAGTAACTAAATTACTAGATTTATTCCCTTTCATATTGATCATTGATGCAGATGCGTTTGATTAAATTTTATCTTTTTGCAAGAATAAGTTCTTAAATTTGACTTGTTTATTTCACAGATTGTAATCAAGAACTTGAAGAATGAAATTACCAAGAAAGTTCAAGCCCCCAACTGTGAGGATATATTCTACGCTGGTACAGGCTGCCTTCTACTCAAGGACAATGATAATGTCACATTGTTTGATGTCCAGCAAAAAAGGTTTGTACTTGGGGTTTTTATTTAATGTTTTGTGATCTTTGTGTATGTGATGGTGCTGAAATGGGGTATTTGACGTGAAAGTCTAGTATTTGTCTAGCTTGTCATGTGGGGTGAAACATGACAATTCCTTCCCCTATTCATTGCAAGTAATCTTGGGCTGTGATGCTAGCTTACAGTAGATTATGGTTCTACTTATTTACCTGTTTGTACCTGAAAAGAAATTGCAAGAAAGGGCACCTGGGGCCCTCCTCATCCAGTAATGCTGGAAAGTTGCTTTATGACCTTATTAGAGTCAATGATACCTAAAATCCAATAAAACAAACATTGACTGTGATAGAATTAATGAAGTGGTGCAGTATAAAACAACTTGTGTATGTGTACAACTTTGACTTATAATTTCTTTGATACTACAGGAGTTTAGCAAGTGTGAAGATCTCCAAGGTGAAATCTGTCATCTGGTCTCACGACATGTCTCATGTAGCTCTCATCAGTAAACATGGTAAGATTTTTATCCTTTATGTACCAGTACATAGTAATTAACTTAGATCTAGCATTGTTAATTGTCACTATTTTTCCCCTACAATTTACTACACATGTCCGACTGCATGATTTACTCCAGTCTGCTACACAATGTTTGTTACTTTCGAAATACATCCCCTATAGTAGGCAATTACTGTGCAAGTGATTTCCCAGTTTGTTTGCAAGATACTGTCAACATTATCTTCTTTCTACATACAAAATGGGTGGGCTGCCGTGGCAGAGTGGTCGTGGTTGCTGATCAAATCAATGCTCTTTGCCATGGATTCCAATCCCACCAGGGATACAAGTTGTATATTTTCATGGATGGAAGCTTCTTCGTGTAGCCCAATAAAAATTGATGGTTCTTTTGAATTGACCACTCGTGCCTGAGTGAAATAATGTATGGAGGGCATTACAGGCCCTCAGTCCATATGTACAGCTTGAAAGATCTAATATTAGAACTTATCTTAAAATAATACCAAAAATTTTTTTTAAAAAAATCTTTTGAAAGATGTTATTGGCTGCAATTTTGAGTAAGAGCATAGTCTATTTAAAAAAGATGACTATAAGTCCACAGGGCCACAAATGTGCATGATATCAAGGCTATACTGAAGTCTTTGCTGTTCTTGGTTGTATTTTAAAAGTCTTTTCATTAATTGATTCGAGATATTGAATTTAAATAGGGTCATATTAAACAAAACAAAAATCTGAATACTGTGGTTAATATGTTTGTATTTTCAATGTTTCAGTAATCGCTATCTGCAACAGAAAGTTGGAGAATCTGTGTACAATAAATGAGAATATTCGAGTGAAGAGCGGTGCGTGGGAGGAGAGCGGTGTATTTGTATACACCACTAGTAACCACATCAAATATGCTCTCACTAATGGGTAATTGTCAGCAATTATTTCCTCATCAGTTTAACCCTCGCCATTTTGTGTAATGGACTCCATGTTAATTTGGAGTGGTCCTTTAATTTCAACAATCGTAAAGCTCAATATGTAGAACTGGAGAATGATGTTTTTCAAGGGTTAAAGTTCATTTCAGACTGGTCATTTTGTCCCTCAATTAGTGAACAGTTCTTTACTGTGACATATACTTGTATTCTTATAATGAATAACATTTCAGAGTGAAAGTAAAACATATCTGGTATGTTATTTGAACAATGCATCTGTAAGTACTTAATTATATATTTAAATATCTGGCCCCATATCAAGGGAATAAGGAAATTCTTGTGTCTGAGACAGGTTATTTGTTTGTGCTGAATCATTCAAGAAGGTTGTTGGCATAGCTTTATAAGGATGGCATGGGATCCAGTGATCACATGTTAGATCCTCAGTTAAGGTGAAATTTCTCTGTGACAGGTGATCATTGAGTTCAATAGTTGTTATCTTTTTTTGCTAATTCAAAAATCATGTGAGATAATAAGCCTATTGCTTGTAAAAAAGGTAATTACTGGTTAGTTGTCCAGGAAAGCTAGTTATGTGGACTTACCACCAAGGTATGAACGAAAATCAGTGTTATAACCAGCCAACAAAATATTTTATGTTATTTTAACTTTCAGTGACCATGGTATTATACGAACACTAGACCTGCCTATCTACATTACACGAGTGAAAGGTAACAGTGTTCATTGTCTAGACAGAGAAGGAAGATCTAGGGTGCTCGGTATTGACCCCACAGAGTTCAAGTTTAAATTGGCCCTTGTCAACAGAAAGTATGAGGAGGTAAACATTTGAATTAAATTAAGCAGCTTATCTCCTGAATCTTTTTACCTATACGGTGGTTCTTGGCTCAAATATTTTCAGAACTACAGTAAAAACTCGCTAATGAGACCAATGAAGTGACTTAACAAATCTGGTCTTAATAGCGGGTTGGTCTCATTAATGAGTTTGGTCAAACAGAAAACTAGGCAATATATTAAGGGATACCATGTACTGTACACATGCTTAATTCTGGGCTAACCTATTTCAAATGAGAAGATATAAAGCATACACTATTATTTTTTTATTTTCATTTATTTTCTTTTACTTTTTAACATTATAAAATTTTTAAACTTCTTAAGAGGTACAAAATGTATTATGAATGTCTTTAAACACAAACATATTTTTACATTCTTGTTAAAAGAATGACACGACTTTCTCTATTAAATCACCATTTTACTACAAAGCACACCGAACAATTAACCTTTAATTATTTTCACAGTTTTCATCGCCGATAACAACTTCAAAAACCTAATCGTATTTGTTTAAAATTATGGAACGAAAGAGATAATGATAGCAGCAACACCTCTAAAAACTTATTGAAAGTTTTCTGTTCAATACTTTGTTGTTTTAATCCTCCAGTTATGACATTAAAGGTGTGAAATTAAGAAATTATCGACAATATTATTGATCATTTCCGGGTTTGATACAAAGTAACCTTGACCTCTGCCGTAAACTGGATGTCGTTAAATGTCGTAAAACTAGGACAACTGTTGTTTACATCACGTGTCAAAAATATTTCAGCAATATACACGCATATCAATATCAAGGTGAGAAAGTGCCCGCGGTCGTATTTATGGGTTTCCAAATGTACAGAATTTACGAAATGGGACTGAATTTACTGGTCGCATTACGGAATAACGGGGTGGTCTCAAAATCGGGGTTAGCGGCCATTAAAATAAAGAATAAAAAATTCGGGTCTATAAAAAATCGTTCGTATTAGCGGGTTGGTCTCGAAAACGGGGTGGTCGTAAAGCGGGTTTTTACTGTATTTTATATTCTTTTGGTCTTCTTTCGTAAAAAAGGCAAAAGATCCATTTGTAAATCTTTTTCATTTTCTATGCCAGTGCAATAAAAGTTGTTGTACAGTTTATTTAACATTGATTATAAGGAAATGTAAGAAAGATTTTGAATGGAAGTAAATATACTGTCAAATAAATGAGCTGATTTTAGCAAGAAAAATACAATTTCTATCATTTTTGAATAAACTGTGTAGAATTGAAAGGAAAAACTCAATTCATACTATAATGAAAAAATACAGGATATTTGCTCTGTTGTAGGCACTGTCACATGGTGTTAAGAAGCCATATGATTGGTTTAAATTAAATAGGATAATATATAGAATAATAAATATTATCTTCAATGATTGTATGAATGTATTACAGGTGTTACATATGGTGAGACACGCCAAGTTGGTGGGTCAGTCTATCATCTCCTACCTACAGAAGAAAGGATACCCAGAGGTGGCTCTACATTTCGTCAAGGACGAGAAAACAAGATTTGGACTTGCCCTAGAATGCGGAAATCTCGAGGTATGGTCATGACCTGAACCTTTCTAAATATATTATCTCTTCAATACAAATGCTCATAGCAACAGTATTGACTATTCCAAACGTCTTCAATACAAATGCTCATAGCAACAGTATTCCAAACACTATGATATATTTTTGTGTGTGTCATATTCATTTGCCTCGAACCTTGAGATATAGAAATTCATGGTCTCAATATTGTGTTTCAGTTGCTAGTTTTCATAAATGACTAAGTAATTTATAAAGGCTTATGTATTTAATATAAAATCATAGCTTATATAGGTCATAACAAAAATGATTAAGTAGTTGCAGTATGTTAACAGATGGTTTCTTTTGTTGCCTTGCATAGCAAATATAAGCTATCCTGCTCTCTTGAATGTTCATTATCAGTATTTAATATACCAAAGTTAAATGCAACTCTTGTATTGGCAATTTATTATCTATGCTGAAGCTGACAAATGGTGTAATTTTACTTGTAGATTGCGCTTGAAGCAGCTCGGGCTCTGGATGACCAGGCATGCTGGGAGAAACTGGGCGAGGCAGCCCTCCTGCAGGGTAACCATCAGATTGTAGAGATGTCCTACCAGAGAACAAAGAACTTTGATAAACTCTCATTCCTGTATCTCATCACAGGAAACCTGGAAAAACTCAAGAAAATGACAAAAATAGGTACATAAATTATTCTGTTACCTAATTCAATTGTACAGATTTATGATTGAATGAAATACCTAAAATGCATTAGTAACAACCTGCTTGGCTGAGGGTTTAAACTTTTAAGGTTATAGAGATCGATGATGCTACAATGCTGTTTTAAATGCAGTTCATGAATAACAGAAAAATATATGAAAATAAATATGAATTTACTTCTATGACTTTATTTTCAACCTGTAGCTTAAGTAGATTGAATTTTGAAATGTGCTGCTTTCAGGCTAAAAGTTTAAACACATCTGGTCAATTGTTATTGTTGTATAAAGAAAAATTTAGGACTGTTATGATAAATAATTATGTATATTTCAGCTGAGATTCGCAAGGATACAAGTGGTCATTTCCAGAATGCTCTATTCCTTGGTGATGTGGAGGAGAGAGTTAAAATCCTGAAAAACTGCGGACAAAGTAAGGCATTGGTGTATAATGAGGACATTTTGGGGAAAAAAGCTATGGTGCTTTATTTTAAAATGAAAAAATAGGCATGAAGATTAAGATATAAAAAAGAAATTCAGTTTTATTAAGATATTTGCTATCCAGTTTTCGTGATAAAGTTTGCAAGGCTTTCTTATGGTTATAAATGTATAAGACGGGTTCTTAGATAATTCAATCAACTGTTTCATTAATTTCATAGAATTACAGATATAGTAACATTTTCAAAATATTTCAATCAATTTGATAGAATTACAGTTGAAAATTTATATGAAATTATTGATGTGATCATTATATTTTTACCAGAATCATTGGCGTACCTGACCGCAGCTACCAATGGCCTAGAGGAGGAGGCAGAGTCATTGAAGGATTCATTCGGGGAGAATGAGAGGGTGCCAGACCTGTACCCCAGTGCTTCCCTGCTCCAGCCTCCAGTACCTATCACCCAGCAGGAATCTAACTGGCCACTGTTGACAGTATCTAAGGGATTCTTTGAGGGAGCTATGGCTGCTAAGGGAGGTCATAGCAAGATGGCCGCCGCTGAGGATGTTGATATAGAGGAAGCTGGTGCGGGCTGGGGCGATGATGACCTTGGTTTGGATGATGGTAGGTCATTTTGATCACATTTATTTATAAGTCTCTATAATTTGAAAGGGCCAAATTAGCTTGAAGAGAATAATAAGGAATGCATCTTCCCAAACTTAGTTTGTGCATTCTTTTATTCAAATTAATAAAAAAAATTCAGTAAGAACTTCCTAGATCTCAATTAATTTCTGCAATAAAAGTATTTTACCTTAAGATAGGCATAGTATATCTTTAATATAACGGACATTGGTTTGTTCATTATTTAAGACTTGATGTGTAAGCTATCCAGCTAGCTTACAGAACGTTGGTGGTTTTACTCAGGTGCCCGTTCGTGCCTGAAATAATGCACAGAAGGGCACCTGAGGTTTTCCTCCACCAGTAAAGCTGGAACGTCGCGATATGACCTATACTGTGTCAATGTGTCGTAAAACCCAAAACAAAGCAAACTTGATGTCTATCATTAATTCAGATGAAAATTTCATTTCAATTGACCTCCCATTTTGTATCACTGTTCTTCCTGTTGTTTATGTACAAACTCCATAATAGCAAAATATATGAAATGCAAGAGATGATTTTCCAAAATTTCTGAATTATAGGAGAATTTTCAGGTGAAAAATACATCCAATAAAATAGAAAATTGATAAAAAAAGTACTATGATAATTGTTTATGGCATTGGCATGATCATCTGTTAAAACTTTAAACTCGTTTCAAACTGGTTTATGTAACCTTATTGTATAATATGAGATGTTTTAATGATTTTAGAGGATGAATTTGGTGGAGGAGAGGGCGAGATTGGTGAGAAAGATGAGGAGGGCGGAGGCTGGGATGTTGATGATGACCTTGAACTTCCACCTGACCTTGATGTGCCCTCAACACCAACTGGGGGCGGGGAAGGTTTCTTTGTGCCGCCTACAAAGGGAACAAGTCAGGCCCAGGTTAGTGAGATTTACTGAGAAAAATATGAACGATATAGCTTTTTATGCTCTGAATACAGTGAAATGTATAGTTAAATGCATAGAAAAGTTTAAAGTGATTTATGTGTAGTTTAACATCTACTACTGCAAAATCATAACATATCGTGCACTAATTTTCGTGATTTCATTGATAAGTCAATCCACGAATTTCAGATCCAACAAAATTACATTTTGTTCCCTGTAAGATTATTTTGCATTACATTATTTGTATAAACCATTTTGCAAAAATGAAAAATAGACAATCAACAAATTTAAGAACCCACAAAAAATGTCCTTTGTGACAAAACCATGTAATTTCATTGCCCATTAATTAAATGAATTTACAGTACTATTTAAAGTGACATTTATAAGTTAGATAGTATTGAAACAATAACATTTAGTTTCTAACAAAAATTGTCTCTTTCAGCATTTTGCATTGGGGGAGATTGTCCTCAATTAGATATGATAATAAGTATTGTAAACTCTGTTGTTTTATATCACTATTGTGTAATTACAGGTGTGGTGTAACAACTCCCAGCTACCTGTTGACCATGTGCTGGCAGGATCATATGAGACAGCCATGAGGGTATGTGATATTTATATAATTATACCATATACTTGGTTTACAGAATGTTGCTGTTTGTGTGCACTTAGTTTATGAGTGTCTTATAGAATTTTTATTCTGAAAAAAAGTTCATATGACCTTTATTATGTAAGTTATAACAAATAAACTTGGTTTTTCATAAATCAGGTATATGTCAGTATTGCTTCTATCAAACAAGATTATTTATTGAACTACTGTCAGTTAAAATAATGACCTATCGTAATTTGCTACCAGAGAATGTCAGTTATTATTTGTTATCAGAGTATTTAAGTTAAAGATGACAGGATATTTTTCTTTAAGAGCATCATTTGATGGATTACCGGTATTGTCAGTTAAAATAATGATTTTGAAGCATATTTTCTTACTTAAATACGAGTACAAAAAAAGGTAGAAAAGTTCAGATTTATCATAAACTTGTACTCATGATTTCTGTTTTATTAAAGCTGTTACATGACCAAGTGGGTGTGGTAGACTTCGAGGAGTACAAGCAGCTGTTTCTACAGACTTACAGTAGAAGTAGGACATGTTACCAAGGACTACCATCTTTACAACCTCTCTTTGGATACCCACATAGAAACTGGTACAAACTTGTGTTTTCCAACTCATTTCCCTGCATTACACTTTGATTAGTTCAGTGATCAATAACAATGTTTTTCGTCAGAAGTTCATGCATGATAAAAGGGGAATAGGTGTTACAGTAGCTAGGGTCTATTTTTGTGCCCTCTCTTTGGGGGGGGGGGGGCATTTAGATTTACCCTTGTCCTTCCGTCCATCCATCTGTTTGTTCTCTTTTTGTGTCGCACGTAGCTCAAAAAGTATTTGACCTAGAGTCATGAACCTTTATCGAAATGTTGATCAGCATCTGGGTATTTTTGTGTGGATATATTTAGTATTTTTAGAGTTATTGCCCTTGACTTAGTAAATATTTGCAATTTTCAATTGTGTCGCACATATCTCAAAAAGTATATGACATAGAGTCGTGAAACTTTACAGGAATGTTGATCAGCATGTGTAGTTGTGCACCAGGGTATTTTCATGCGGATATATTTAGTATGATATATTTAGAGTGATTGCCCTTGACTTCGTAAAAATTTACGATTTTCAACTTTTGTTGCACGTAATTCAAAAAGTATTTGATCTAGTGTCATGAAACTTTACAGGAATGTTGCTCAGCATGTGAAGTTGTGCACCTGGGGTTTCACTTGTGGATTTATTCTGTTTTGTCAGATTTATTGCCCTTGACTTAGTGAAAACCGTTCCATTATGTTGTGTTATTTGTTCCTCGAGTGCTTGAGTTAGAATCAACCAACTTTACAGGAATAATGATCAACATCACTGTGAAGCTATGCACCTGGGGTTTTGCATGTGGATTTTTTTCAGTTTTGTTAGAGTTATTGCCCTTGACTTAGTATAAATTTGCAATTTTCAACTTGTTCATGCATAACTCAAAAAATATTTGACCTGTAGGTCTGAAAGTTTACAAGAATGTTGGTCAGCCATGTACTTATGCACCTTGGGGTTTGCTTGTGGATTTATTCAGTATTTGTAAAGTTCTTGCCCTTGACTTAGTAAAAGATTTTTAGTTTTCAACTTGTGGCACATGTAGCCTAAAAAATATTTGACCTAAAGTCATAAGATTGACAAAACATGTGGGGCACCCGTGTTAATGGACACTTTTCTAGTTTAAACAATATTTTTCTGGTACTTTATATAAATAAAGTGACAGAGTTGTTAAAGTGGCTGACAAATCATTTTCCCATGGCTGTTATGGGTTATAATTTTTTCTAGGATTATTTGTGGGATTGCAAAATGTTCCAAGTTTTTAGCTTTGATAAAGATTTTATGTGCAGTGAATTATGTGGCGCAATATACATGACTTATATTTCTCTTCTTTGTTTAAACAGGAAGGAAGCTGGAGGTAGAAATGGCGTACCAGCTGTAGGGCTCAAACTAAACAACTTAGTACAGCAGCTACAGGTTGCCTATAACCTTACCACAGCTGGAAAATTTGGTGATGCAACAGAAAAATTTAGGTCTATTCTTCTCAGTGTACCATTGCTTGTGGTGGATACTAAACAAGAAATTGCTGAGGTAAGAGCCTAGAGGGTTTATTTATTGTCTAATGATAGGATTTGTTTGAGGTCTGGTTGTGTTAACAGTTGGATTTAAAATAAAATTTAAGAGAAGTCTAACCATTTTATGGGCTAAGTTAAAAACATTATGGACTGCTTGTAATGTTCCGTTGACTTCTGGGATTGTCCATTACACAATTTTAGGGATTTGAGGATAAAAACATGGTTTTGAATGTGCAGTAGTATTCACAGGAATAGGACGACCTGACTATTTACTGATTTCATAGGACTATTTGTATTTTTCCACAAAAATATTTATCCCCAAATAAAAGATGAAAAGGACATTGTGTGTTTATCATTATTTATTGTAATATACTTTTCCATAACACATTAAGTACACAAATGTAATAGTACGGTAAATTTTAACACCAGTTTTTCAGTTATATGTTTTAGATGACTGTTAAGAGATATAAACATTTATTTTTCAGGCTCAGCAGTTGATAGAGATATGTAGAGAGTATATTGTAGGTCTAACTATGGAGCAGACCAGGAAAGAATTACCTAAAGCTACATTAGACGATCAGAAAAGATTATGTGAGGTAAACACTACATGTTTCTGAAACTGTTTTATAGAATTAGTAAATTGCACTAGAACTAAGTGGTTCCCGTCACCAACTTAAAAACCCATGCCCGTCAGAACTGTGGTGTTTTAATCTCGCTAGCTACATTGAATTCATTGAATACTTTCATTTTAGGATCCTAACCATCTTTTGTTCTACTTTGGTGATCACTTGTGCCTGAAACAATGATAAACTGAGGCACCTGAGCTCTTCCCTTACCAAAAGGGCTGACAGTGTCTATGTGACATAAACCCAAAGGGTATTTATCTTTTGCAATGGTGCATGCTCTTAGCCTGAAGGCAGAAACATATCATACCCATGCAACCAGTTCAGACCAAGGTCAGCCAGCACATCCATTCTGCCTGATCATGGTCTGCACTATTTACTATTCAATTAGTATATGTTTGATATTTTCTCTTAAAAGATGAATTGGTTTTGTCAAGATTGAAAGACAAACAAGCACATTTAAGATATTTAGCATGGTAAAGGCTAGTTTAGTTATTGTGATACTTTAGATTATGCATACAGTATATTATATATTTCAGATGGCGGCATATTTCACCCATTGCAAGCTACAACCTGTTCACCTTATACTGACTTTGAGAACGGCACAGAATTTGTTCTTTAAATTGAAAAATCTTAAAACAGCAGCTTCATTTGCTAGAAGATTACTGGAGCTAGGGCCAAAACCAGATATTGCCACTACAGTAAGTATATGTCTTTGATGAAAATTTGAAAGCTCTGCCTAGATTCTGTAAGAAAAAGCTTGAGGTGTGCTGACTTTTGATATTTGAAAGATCTGCCTAGATTAGTCCAGTAGGAAATGCCATAAGTCTGCAGACTTTTGCCTTTTGGTGACCAAATTTTTTTCTTGTATGATGCAATTCTTTTCTGTGCTGAAGTTATCTGTGATCAAAAAGGTTTTAACTGCGTAGAGAAAATAAGAATTGTGATTAATTTGGTAGTTCTTCACTGTCTTGAAGTGAAATGTTGGGGCAGCTTAGGTATATGAATTGCACAGTTGACATGTGACTGAAATATTTTGGCAAAATAACACTTGAAAGTATCAGTAGATAATTTCGGATGCTTATTGTTTGCAAATCCCATTTGATCATGTGTATATAGTTTTCATGTATTCACATTTTGCACGTGGGAGATAAGAAATCTGTCGGTACATTTTCAGTGACTGAAGTGGTATGCTTCAGACATATATGATTAGACATACAGGACTTATTTATCAGAAAATTTAACGTTTAGTTGAACATGCTGTATTTAGTGGGGAAAAAAACTTCTCAACCTTGACATTTTCAGTATGTTATTTTAGGAATTTTACTAACTACCTGTACTAAGTAAAGTGTTAGAATTAACCCATCTCAAATTGGTTTTGCATAGTTTCCCATTTGATCCTGTGAGGATTTGTTTGATTTTTGCAGTTTGCACATGGGATAGAACAAAGTTTGTTTATAGTATTTGTAGTGTTGCATTCAAAATGCAGTATTGCTACATGTAAACAAACATTACACAATGTGTTTAGTATATTGATATCTGTTTAATATTCAACACATAATAATTTAAGGGCCTTCAGACTCTGGACAAGTAGTTAGGGTTCCTGACTTTTAACAACTGGCCCCACAAGCGTTGTGGGTTTGAATACTGTGAGGGACTATTAGAGGAAGTTACCTTGCTAGGTGGAAGGTCAGGGGTTCTACTCAGGTGGCCACTTAGGCCAGAAATAATGCACAGAGAAGCACTGGAGGTCTTCTTCCACTAGTAAAGCTGGAAAGTTGCCATATGACCTCAACAGTGTTGGTGTAACATAACAACCAACAAAAATAAATATAATAACATTTTAATTATTATTAAACATTAATTCACAGAAGTGGTTGGAATCACTATTTGTACCTCATCTTGATACAGGTTAAACATGCTGTTGAGACTGATGTTTTCTTCCCATTCGATCATGTGTTGTTTTTATATAAATTTCCACATTTTGCAGATGGGATAAAATAATTTATGTTTCTTCATTTTAACTTTGGGCTGAATACAATATCTGGCCTGTCATGTTGAAACAAACAATGTTACAAATATTAAAAATAAAATCATTATTGAATTAATTATTTTGATTAACTCAATTTAGGATACATTTACATTCTTTAACACTTGACCTGTTGGAATTGAAAGTAATTAGCCTTTCTCACCAGTATAGAGCCAGGCCAGCCTGTACTTTTGTACAGTCTGACCAAGCTCTTTACAGTTGGTTGCTCTATTTTTATATTCCGATATTTAAATCCCTTAAAATTTGAATGGACAGTTCCAAATTCAAAACTGGGCAAATCCATTACACTAATAATTCAGCAGGTTAAGGGTAAAGATATAATACTGAGCCGCGTCATGACAAAACCAACATAATGGGTTTGCGACCAGCATGGATCCAGACCAGCCTGCACATCCGCGCAGTCTGATCAGGATCCATGCTGTTCGCTATCAGTTTCTCTACTTGTAATAGAGTTGGTAAGCGAACAGCATGGATCCTGATCAGACTGCGCGGATGCGCAGGCTGGTCTGGATCCATGCTGGTCGCAAACCCATTATGTTGGTTTTGTCGTGACGCGGCTCATATGTTGAATCCCATCAGATCATGTATATGTTGTCTTTAGACATGTGCATTTTGCAGTTGGGAGAAATCAATCATAGTTTGCAAATTATTTCTTAACATTACATAGGTGTTGTAGAATATGAATTGCACACATACATAACCTCAATTTTATCTTGTATTTATAAGTTTAACCTCAATTTTATCATGTAATAATGTCTTGAACCTCAATTTTGTCACGTAATAATGGCTGTTACAAAAATTTTGATCATGTATTAAAGCAGCATGCCTCCAGATTCATGCTAATTTTTCATGAAAATTTTGAAAATGTATTTAAAAGTAAAATAGTGTGAAGTGAACAAAGAAAGTAATTAAACATTGCAAATGGCACTTACAATCCATGTAAATTACCAAAAAGAGGTCAAAATATGCATAAATACCTCTTACTGTAAAATCAGTCATTAATCGCACAGAAAATGTTAATAATTAGATATTGAATCTTTTTTCTTTTCTTAAGATCTTAAAACATTTTTCTTCAGATTGAATTTCTTGAATTTTTTGGCTCATCTGGAGGCGTGCTGCTTTAATAACTTTAACCTCAATTTTATCATGTAATAATGGCTTTTACCTCGGCTATTTGGAGACATATGTTTTAAATGTTTATAGTTATTTGTATACGTGGTTTTATTATACGAGTTATTTGCGATGTGGATTAAATTAAATCTGCTGCATGCTAAATAAGCAATGTTTTTCACAATAAACATATTTGTGTACTTAATACTTCAATTCATTTTCAGGCTAGAAAGATTTTAGCTTACTTAATACTTCAATTCATTTTCAGGCTAGAAAGATTTTAGCTTACTTAATACTTCAATTCATTTTCAGGCAAGAAAGATTTTAGCTGCATGTGAGAAGAATCCAGTAGATGAACATGATTTAAAATATGATGAACATAATCCATTTGATATATGTGCAGCCTCATACACTCCTATATACAAGTAAGTTCATTTAGTATAAATTATAATCGGTCTTTGTTGCTATTAGGTTTATGTTACTGACCTAGAACATTTTATTAATAAATTTTCTATGTAAAGAAATAAACAGTATTAAATGATTGGGTTTTTATGCCTCTACTAAATGGATTTGATTTTGTTCATCAGTCAGGCTGTAGGTCCATAGACCAAACAGTGGAATATTGGGGGCATCTGTGTCCTATGGACACATTTCAAGTTTTTTCTTAATTTTTGTTTTAAAAGAGTAATGTGTTTACTATCATTTATTAAAGTGTGTTAAAAAAATTATGAAGATTATTTCATTCTATGAAAATCAACTTAATGCCTTGTATATGAATAAGGCTGACAGAATTATATTTATATAACTGTAAAACAATGTTTAATTTTGCGTTTTGTTTCCCGAGATTTATTTAATGTAATTGAAATATTTATGTAATTATGTTACAGAGGTAAACCAGTTGTTAAATGTCCACTTAGTGGAGCCTGTTACCTACCAGAATACAAGGGAGAAGTTTGTAGAGTTACTAAGGTAAAATATAGATTTCTCTGTCCTCTTTGAAGTTTACAACTTGCTCATATATGAAATGTAGTTGTAATGAAGTCTGAATCGAAAAATTGTTTAAATGAGACCAAAATACTAACAAGATTTTTGAAGTACCATTAGTTTATGAAATCGTGGTGGTTTTACCTAAAGTGTGTCAACACCAGAAACTCTGGAATAATAAAACAATAAAGGGGAAGTATAAAAACGAACATTTAGTTTTTAGCTCGACTAAGAATAAGTAGAGCTATTGTAGTCACCCGAGCGTCGGCGTCGTCGTAACCACTTATGTTAAAGTTTTTGTAATAGTTTAAATATTTTCAAAGTCCATTGACATATGGCTTTGAAACTTTGCACACTTGTTCACCATCATGACCCCAACCTGTAGACAGGAGGAGGTAACTGTATCAAGCATTTTGACAGAATTATGCCCCTTTTTCGACTTAGAATTTACGTTAAAGTTTTTGTAATAGTTCAAATATTTTCAAAGTCCATTGACATATGGCTTTGAAACTTTGCACACTTGTTCACCATCATGACCCCGACCTGTAGACAGGAGGAGGTAACTGTATCAAGCATTTTGACAGAATTATGCCCCTTTTTCGACTTAGAATTTACGTTAAAGTTTTTGTAATAGTTCAAATATTTTCAAAGTCCATTGACATATGGCTTTGAAACTTTGCACACTTGTTCACCATCATGACCCCGACCTGTAGACAGGAGGAGGTAACTGTATCAAGCATTTTGACAGAATTATGCCCCTTTTTCGACTTAGAATTTACGTTAAAGTTTTTGTAATAGTTCAAATATTTTCAAAGTCCATTGACATATGGCTTTGAAACTTTGCACACTTGTTCACCATCATGACCCCAACCTGTAAACAGGAGGAGGTAACTGTATCAAGCATTTTTTTTTTTACTATCAAGCACTAAGAATAGTCGAGCGTTGCTGTCCTACCGACAGCTCTTGTTTGTTAAACAAGACATTGTTATATACAGTGTAACCCATTCTGGGAGAAAAAAGATTTGGTTGCTGGTCGTTAGAGGTTATATACATAGTGTAGTTTCACTTTTGGAAGAATTGTTACTGTTATATAGAGAGGTTATTGTCATGCTTAGTTTATTATCGTTTAAATGCTTTATAATTAATAACTCGGCCGGACTAAGTGGTTACATTTACTCTTCATCTGAACTCAAGCCATACATTACTGTACAACAAGGCACTCAAAATTGATACCTATTTTTAATAATGCATATTCTAATCTCTCAGATTCTTGTGGAACCAATTCCATCTGAAAGAACAAAACATTGTCAGTAAATGCAATAGTATGAAGTTATGACTGAAAATTTGATTTCTTTTATTTCAGGTGACGGAGATTGGCAAAGATTCTATTGGATTAAGAATCAGTCAAATACAATTTAGATAAATTATATAGACACCAAATGAACACGCAACAACATTTATTAAATGACATGTGTAGAGAACTATGTTACAAATAGTGTTAAATATGGATAAAATTAAACATTGTTTATTGGACGATGTTTCAAATAGTGTTAAATATGGATAAAATTAAACATTGTTTATTGAATGAAGGAAGGTTTAGATAGAGTTTAAACAAATAAACATCATGTTCTTAAGTCAGAATGGTCTTCAGTTTTAAGTTAGACACTTTATGCCTCAGAAATGAATGCATTTTTACTTGCTAAGAAAATGAGAAGCATGTGTTTTATAATGTTACAATAAAGTTTCAGAGCATGTAAGATACTTATCTGATGAAAGAAGCGCAAGATGTGAACTTATTTGTCATGTAAACAAAAAGCATTTTTGGGGCATAATGGGCCTTTAAACATATATATATATATATGATTTCTGCTTTCTTTCATAACAATGATACATAAAGACATCACAGTATGCATTTCACTGTAAAGTGTAAAATGTGAAAGATTTTTATTATGTATATAGTGACTACTATGTATGTATATATGATGGTTTCTAGTGGAAAGCTTTCTTGTTTGGTGTTTATATAATTAAGAATAAAATTTTCATTTATTAATGGACTATATAGTGCTTTATTTTGCAAGGAAAAATGTTGATGAATAGGACATTATTATATCAATGCTGAAAAAAATGTTAACTAATACATTGTATTTAAACATTGATCTTGATTTGTGCAATTTGATGAGAAATTATTTATTGGTATTTTACATCATTTAAGGTGGAATAAAAGATAAAACAAATATATGTGTTGTTATATACCCAGTATCCCGTAATGAAAGTGTATAATAAAAGTGTTACCATATACCTTTATGAATCTTTATATATTTTGTATCACATGAATAGTCACTTCTGAATTGAAAAGAAATCATATTGAAATATAGTTACTATTATCAGCTGACCTACAATATTTTTTATAACTTATCAGCCAATTGCAACACAAGCCCCGCACCCCCCCCCCCCCTCTCCCCACACACACACGAACTGCCCAGTCCCGACAGTGGGATAAAGTCGTACAAGGGTTCAAAGTTGCAAGAAGGTTAAGAAGATAAAAAAAGTTGTTGAAATATAGTAATAAGGGCTGCCTGTATTGCTCTGGGGTAAGGAGTGTGGGTAGCAATAGTATACAGCATACAAAAGATATAATAGTCTACTTGTGGCGTAATGTTGGTCAATCTTCGTACAGTGATTTCCCCTTCATTCTTCGTCATACTGATCAAGGGAAGTAACCGCTACGATGAGTTCGGATTTTGGTAAGTCTCGGGGGTGAAACCCCATATGAATCAAAATTGATCATCGGTAAAAAATATCACAGATATATTTAGCTCCATGAAAATAAATATGTGAATTTCCGCTGCTCCAGATGTGAAGTATAACGAGAAAAAAGGTCAATCACAGAGTAAGTTTTCAACATTTTAAACATTTATATAAAATTCAAAAGCTTTTTTTTAAGAATTCGAAATGTGATTCTACCCTCCTGGCTTTCCTCATTTACCCATTTTGTTCGGATTTTTATGCAGTCTTCATCGAGTTATTCTTTCCGTCGTGGGTTCTGATGTTCCCAAAATATGCATATATATTTTTTTAAAGTGGGCCGAGTTGACCCGTGCCGAGTTGACCCGTGCCGAGTTGGTATAGGGCCGAGTTGACTCTTTTCCGTTTGAAGAAAATGTCGCTAAACGGACTCCAAATACAGACTTTTCACAAAATATTACCATAAAACGATGCTTAGCATTCAAACAAACCCTTATTTATATATTTATTGAGACTGGTCTCAAAATAAAGGAATTGCCGGTCAAAATTCCATCTGAGCTTCATATGTGCTGAAGAGATCCATAGGTGCATGATAAAGAAATCATCAACATAATAACGGATCAGTTCCATAAAACAATAAATGTTTTATTATTTTGTGTATCATTCTGTAATAAAAAACAAATATTCGATATAGACACATTCTCCCAAGTCGTCCTTGGATAACATTTAGGCGCCGTTATATGTTGCAACTACGCCAAATGTCGCACTTGCCGCTAAATTTCGCACTATTATCGCTAAATGTCGCAACTGCCGCTTAATGTCTCAAAATATTATGCCGTTAAATGTCGCAATGATGATGTTACACGTCCCACCATTTTCCCTTATACAACACTACCGTTAAATGTCGCAATATCTTAATTCATGTTAAACAACTCGTATCATGACAAAACTACAAAATACAAAACTAACGTTATGTAGGTGATCTAGGGACTTGCTATCTACCAGATAGGAAAGGGTTTGTTGTAATGTTCAAAGTAATTGGTTAAAATTAGTCGGTTATACAAATTGACGATCACAAATCATGCCAAGGACCCCCTTAAAGATAAAACACATTTGTATACGTTTTTCATTTAGCAGCCAAGATGTCGTGGATTCGAGCTACATCAGATTGAGATGGATATTTTAAATATTGCCCTGTAGTAAAAGGGAGGACAACTCTTTGTCCATTTCTCGTAAGAGAAGGGGGAATCCTGTGATGCGTGTATTTGGTCGCACGGTCACTTTCCTTACTTGTCCTCAGTGTATGTAAATGGTCGAAAATCTCTAATATATTGACATCGTTTTCAAAAAAGTTTTGTTACGGAACCGTCTGGTGCAAAATCTTAATGTTCTTTAAAAAAAACTGTTGAAATCGTAATAAAAACTTATAAAACCTAATTAGGACTTTGTTACTTCTGTTAAGTAGTTTTAAAAGTCTATAAGTTCAGGACTTTTTCAATGTTTAAAAATATTAAGGACTTTGCATTTTCTTCTTAGAAGTTTTCTTATTTTTCCTCGGTATAAAAAAACCCTATTTGAAGGTAGGTTTCAATTTTATATTTAGTATTTTAAACTTATTAAGATTATATTTCTCGATTCCTAATAATGCTTTTATTTCTCCCAATTATGAGTAAAAACTTCTACTTAATTTACAAATTGTAATAAGGTCTTTTATCTCTCCTGTTTAGGAGAATGAAAGTCCTATTTAGGCTATTTTTAACTTTTAAAACTCCTTATAAGAAGTAAAAAAGTGGTAATGGGGCTTTTAAAATCTTTATTACGATTTTGAGTTAAAACATTTAGATTTTGAATACGCTTCCATACCTTGTTTTTGAGATCTTCGACCATGCGACCACATACATGCATCGATGAAATGTTTTAAGGAAAGTGACCGTGCGACCACATACACGCATCACAGGATTCCCCCCTCCTCTTACGAGAAAAGGACAAAGAGATGTCCGTCCTTTTGATAAAAGGCAGACTTTAAAATTATGCCATTGCCTTATTGTTATATTGATAAGGAGGCTAATTCTAACATATATGTCTTGAATTGGTTTATATAAGACACCAGTTATGCAAATCAAGCGGGGTATCAGTTTAAGTCCGCTTTGAAATTTTAAAAATATCATATCTGATTTCTTGGAAAATTTTGAGTTTTAAGATTTTTCTACTTTTCATTCTCTGTATATGAATTATATAGAATTATTTTAATTTTGCAAAACATGGACGTTTCAAAAACGTTATATATATGCATTAATAAATATTGAAGGTATATTTCACACTTCGTTTTTCAAATACTTACGCATTTTTGCCAAAGTACACATTTCATTTCTATATTCGACTTGTTCTACTTGTGATAAAAAGGTAATGTGATGGGGCTGCAAGATAAAAAACAACAGATTTAACTTAAGCAGCCGTCAATTCTGACACTGGTAAGACTACACATATTTGCAAGTCTTATCTTACCCGCTGAATTTGTAAAATGCACCTTTCAAAGCTCTCATTTTTTTTAGAACTGTCTATCAATCTGGCATATCAAGATAGAAATTTCTAAAGTTACCCATAAGTAGAGAGCTGGTTCACTCTGCAAGGATGATATACTGGTAAAATTATTTCGGTTCATGGAGTGTAAAAGGTGCAGTGTTGGTAATAGTGGTCATATTTACACAATAATTTTTCTTATCTAAGCTCATTCAAAGTTTTAACAAATTCTTTTATACATTTTTCAATCTGCTTTATGCCTATGTAACTGTAGGACATGCCTTTAAAATTGCATTTGTTACATTTTTCAAGATGGAAAAGTTATCAATGCGATAGTACAACACTCTTTAATGACACACAGTAAACTTAATTTCAAATCACAGTCCATCGATTCAATGTCATTTTATATTACCTGAAAATATAACGAATGGCCCTACGTCTATGAACTCAACACTGAGTGACATAACATTTAGGAAAATTTTATCGTACCGAATCTTGTTTTGTCCTGTAACTGCGTGTCAATAAAAGCTTTTTCGATGCATCTTTCATATTAACATTGTTTCTGTCAATAGAAAATTGTAAAAAATAATAGTTTAAAATGCCAATTATTTCTAAAGGTTACAATATGAATAAAATATTTCATGCGCATTGCACATTTTGGGCACACCATAACCCACGAGGGAAAGAACATCTCAATGAAGACTGCATAAAAATCCAATCAAAAATGGGTAAATGTAGAGGAAAGCCATGAGGGTAGAATCACATTTCGATTTTCTTGAGAAAAAAAAAAGCTTTGATTTTTATATAAATGTTTAAAATGTTGAAAACTAACCCTGTCATTGATTCACATATCGAGTTATACTGCACATCTGCAGCACCGGAAATTCACATATATTTTTTACCGATGCCCAATTTTGAGATTCACATAGGGTTCCATAGTATAGAACGCAAAATCTATATACATATATATTAGTGGAAAAATTTTCAATTCGTTTATTGCGCTCTTTAATTTAATTTCTGATAACAATACATGTAATTGAATTAGGAAGCTCTCCAATTCTTTAAAGATCCTGTATGTTGTAATGAAGGTTGTTACCACACTTAAGTGAAATTTTATAATATGAATATAATTGTGCTTCTTAATTAAACAATTTTCAAACATCGAAGAATATGCAAAATATGTAATGCAAATATTTGTCCACATAACAATATTATGTAATCAATAAAATATATGCAGTCATTTCTTATAGAAAAAAATTGACTTACCCTTTATAGAAAATAAATTTCTAATTATCTCCCTTTAATAACATGAAATGTAAATTCGGTAATATCTTTACGAAAAATGCTTTTTGGAACTTAATTACAATATTGATGAATTTCCGTTTCAGCATTAAATTTCTGATATAAAATCATAAAAAAATGTGTTACAGGTTCTTTAAAGACCTCACAATTTTATAATTATTTGGAGATATCTCTAATTGAGATCTTTTAAAAGGCCTCTCAAATATTTGAATATACGCAATATGGCGTTTCAAACCGATGGGGACAGCAACAAGGCCAGACCACCAAGCAACGGTTTATAAACATCGGTGGACGTCTTCTTCTGACGAAATAGTTTTACAAAAAACGCGTAGTTATACATTTCTTACATGTTTATAGTTTGCATTCTCAACACATTTCAACAGGAGTATTTCAGTGGTCATGCATGGTTTACAGTGGTCACCCATAGTTTACAGTGGTCACCCATCGTTTACAGTGGTCATGCATGGTTTACAGTGGTCATGCATGGTTTACAGTGGTCATGCATGGTTTACAGTGGTCACCCATAGTTTACAGTGGTCACCCATAGTTTACAGTGGTCATCCATCGTTTACAGTGGTCATGCATGGTTTACAGTGGTCACCCATAGTTTACAGCGGTCACCCATAGTTTACAGTGGTCATCCATCGTTTACAGTGGTCATCCATCGTTAACAGTGGTCATGCATAGTTTACAGTGGTCACCCATAGTTTACAGTGGTCACCCATAGTTTACAGTGGTCATCCATCGTTTAAAGTGGTCATCCATCGTTTACGGGTCATGCATGGTTTACAGTGGTCACCCATAGTTTACAGTGGTCATCCATCGTTTAAAGTGGTCATCCATCGTTTACAGTGGTCATGCATGGTTTACAGTGGTCACCCATAGTTTACAGTGGTCACCCATCGTTTACAGTGGTCATGCATGGTTTACAGTGGTCACCCATAGTTTACAGTGGTCATCCCATCGTTTGCAGTGGTCATGCATGGTTTACAGTGGTCACCCATAGTTTACAGTGGTCATCCATCGTTTACAGTGGTCATGCATGGTTTACAGTGGTCACCCATAGTTTACAGTGGTCACCCATAGTTTACAGTGGTCATGCATGGTTTACAGTGGTCACCCATAGTTTACAGTGGTCATCCATCGTTTACAGTGGTCATGCATGGTTTACAGTGGTCACCCATAGTTTACAGTGGTCATCCATCGTTTACAGTGGTCATGCATGGTTTACAGTGGTCATCCATCGTTTACAGTGGTCATCCATGGTTTACAGTTTAGAAACAACTGTTCCCCTATTGTTTAGCCAATATTTCTTTTATTTCGCAGATATTACGAAATGTCTTTAATAATAGCATGTATTTTGACGCAAACCGAAAACATATTTGGAAAGTATAAAGCAGTTACTACACTATTTCTTGAATATGTATGATTTATTTAAAGGGTCTCCGCCAATATGACCAAGTATTCAACAACAAGGATAGTTTAGGTTGAAGCTCATACTTTTGATCTTGTCCACATTTGGAGAAATCGTTTGACGGTTAGAACTTTTAAAAAGTAACTTTGACCTGGGGTGGATAAAAAAACTGGACTGGAGAATTATTTCATGCGCTGGTAATCAGTGCAATAGTACATGCAATTTCATCAATCCCTTTGATGATGACTTTAAATTCATTATTTTATATACATGTGTGTATTGTATAAGGACACGATGACAAAAGAAAAATAAGAAAATGTCGATTTAACTTTTTTTTATTTTGCATAAATTTAATTACGACAAATATTTACACAATAAATAATGTTAATTAATGTGCACTAACAGAATTAAATTGAAAACATGCAGGCGAGAAATGAAACGAGCAGCATAAAACCAGAGATGTAGATAAAACAAAGTTAACATGACGATGTCATTAAAGAACCGACATTGTATGTAAGTCCGTCTTATTTTATGCATTCCAATTCTCTTGGAATTAATTGTCAACCGTAACATCAGTCAATTTTCTTTTAAACTCACAAAACCTGAAAAGATGAGCTATCTCTATATTCAATGTCGTCATTTGTTATAGATTCCTGAGAAATCATCTCGGATGACTGTACAGACCCATACTGGTTCCGGTATGAGATTTCTTCATATTCAATTCGGTCATTTCTGCGGACATGTTCTTGTGAAACATCATTCTCAGATGGTAGAGATGCATACTGGTTAGAATAGTTCGGTGTCCCATCAAAATGACTTGGATGACTCGAAGGATAGTTCATTAAGATCTGTAACAAATAATCTGAGTTTCCGTAAAATGCGCCTGGTCCGTAATTTTGTTGAGGATATCCGGGATACAAACTGGTCGCGGGGTAACTTCCGGTAGACTGTACACTACTGTTCTGGTACAGAGGTTGGTTTGTTGACGAAATTGAAGCCGGGTTCCAAATTGATGTCGGCTCGTAAGGATATCCTTGCATCGTTGTGTTTGTAACTGTCGTTGGTTCATTGTAAGTTATTTCTGGAGATTTTAGAGACGGTGATCTTGAACGTTCCTCCCGCTTCGATGTTGGTGATTGTTTTTTATTGTTATTGTTGTTACTATCTTTTTGTTGTTGCCTATACTTGGCGCGTCTGTTTTTGAACCAGACCTGCACTTTGAATTCTGCAAGATTGAGTTTCAGCGCCAATTCTTCGCGCATGTATACATCCGGGTACCTCGTCCTCTCGAAACAAGATTCTAATAAATCAAGTTGCGCGCGTGTAAAAGTAGTTCTTTCTCTTCGCTGTTTCTTCGGAGCGTAAACTGACTGTGAAGACTCGGGATAACTCGCTACTGGTTTTCTAATGACTCCAGGTCGTGAAACGCATGCACCAGATGAATTCATTGAATATCCCGAAGTCGGTTTGCCGTAATCCAATCGGTAGAAGGCAGATTCGTGAGAATTAACCACGTGACTACCATGTCGTTGATGTGACACTTCCGAGTTATCGTCCCTGTTTACTGGTTGATTTTGACCATAAACTAGTCTCATCATATCACTGTTTCTGGAGTTTGTTTCTATGCTCAACATTTTAGATTTACGTTTAAAATGAAGTCAATGAATTGTTTTCTTCGATATTTTTCAAAGTTTTTTTTTTTAGAAAAGATGAAAATTAAGAACGATAACTATGTATTTTTTCGAAACTTGATCAATTATATTTGTTGATTATCTTTGAATTCATCAAACAATTTGTTTAATGACGATTTTAATGCAAAATGTTTATATTTATGTGCATAAATGTTACACTGTTGCGCATGCGCAATAAAGCATAATTTTAGCCCCGCCCACACACACAAGCGTTTGGTAAAAATTGTTTGTCGCGTTAATTAGTATTGTTTGTTATGATGTTACAGTCCCGTTAACGCATTCATTATAAAATTGCAAACTTAGGTCCATCAAGGTGAGACTTTTTCAAACATTTTAACTCTTCAAAGTGAGATAATGTTAGTAACAGTACTTTTTTATGTACCGCAGAATAGTTCAGAAGATAAATTTCGTTGATTTTCTTACTACAGTCAAAGGGACCAATTATTTAATTTCAGCATCAGAAATTAATTTATTTCATATAAAATTCTTTTCGTTCAGATTCTACCGGAACTTCTATAGATTATTTATAATCTTTTATAAATCAATTTATTTAAAAAAATCTAACAAAGGAAATAATAGAATTAAAAAAAATTAACAAAGGAAATAATAAGGTTGATCAAATCACAGATATATAAACAATATTTAGCTCCATGATCAAATACTATTACTAACACAACACATTTAAATTAAAACTTATCTTTGAACTCGTCCTTTAATTTTTAATGAATGGAAATTCATTTCAATTTAAATATTTTAATGTATAAATGTACCTGATAATTATAAGCACAAAATAAAATAATTAAGCAAAATTATAATGTTACTTGTACCTTCAATAGTCATGCCACTATTACCTGGGATTCATTCATTTACTTATATATTTTCTTGTTGGGGTGGGGAACAGATAGATACAGTTGTATCTATTGGTCATTAAAACGATTTTGATAATAATATAGAACTATACTTATTTTTCGTTCAACAAATTTCTTTCGAATATTAGTGTTAAGCTAGCGGAAGTAAGGAAGCCAGAGACCTGAATCTATTTTTCCACTGATTTTATCATAAACCATATACAATTCTTCTCTCCTTTTTTTACATTTTTGAATCGCATTTGTTTGAGACAAGAACCCGTCGATCCGATATCGTAGTATCTTTACAAAAAATGCTTTTTGGACCTTACAATATTGATAAGTCTTCATTTGAACATTAAAATCATAAAAAAAATGTGTTACCGGATCTTTAAATACGCTCTATTGCTATAATTATTTGGAGATATCTCTAATTGAAATTGAGATCTTTTAAAAGGCCTCTCAAATATTGAATATACGCAAATATGGCGTTCCAAACCGATGGGGACAGCAACAGGCCAGGCCACTAAGCAACGGTTTATAAACATCGGCGGACGTCTTCTTCTGACAAAATAGTTTTACAAAAAACGTGTAGTTATACATTTCTTACATGTTTATAGTTTGAATTATCAGCACATTTCAACGGTATTTCAGTGGTCATCCATGGTTTATGGTTTAGAAAAAACGTTCCTCTATTGTTTAGCCGATATTGCTTTGAATACACGGGTATTATATGAAATGTTTTTAAATAATAGCATGTATTTTTACGCACACGGAAAACATGTTAGGATATAGTAAGCAGTTTATACATTATTTCTTGAATATGTATGATTTCTTTAAAGGGCCTCCGCCAGCATGGCCAAGTATGCAACAACAAGGATACTTTTGGTTGGACGCTTTTCAACACAGGTTATTACCTTTGATCTTTGCCCTCAATTGCTTAGAGAAATCGCTTGGCATTTTCTTTAATGTATAATTAAAAAATGATTTTAATATGGGATGGATAAAACAAATGGAACTGGAGAACATAATTAGTTCATGTACTGGTTAGCAGTTTGATACATGCAATTTCATCGGTCATTTGGATGGTTATTTCAAATTCATTATTTTATATATAGACTATTAATTACTAGTATATAATGGCACAAGGACTAAATGATTAAAAATAGGAAAGTGTCGATTTAACTTTTTTATTTTGCATAAATTACAATTATAACAAATATTTACATTAATTATTAATGTTATAATAAATTGAAAACATGCAGGCAAGAAACTACAGTTAACACATAAAACGAGCAGCATAAAACAAAGTTTTCTTGTTGGGGTGGGGGACTACATATACAGTGTATCTATTGGTCATTAAAACGATTTTGATAATAATATAGAACTATTTATTTTTTGTTCAACAAATTTCTTTCGAATATTATTGTTAAGCTAGCGGAAGTAAGGAAGCCAGAGACCTGAATGTATTTTTTTCAACAAATTTTATCATGAACCATATACAATTCTTCTCTTTTTTACATTTTTGAATCGCATTTGTTTGAGAGCCCGTGGACCCGATATCGTAATATCTTTACAAAAATGCTTTTTGGAACTTACAATATTGATAAGTCTTCATTTGAACATTAAATTTATGATATAAAATCATAAAAAAATGTGTTACAGGATCTTTAAAGACCTCTCTATTACTATAATTATTTGGAGATATCTCTGCTTTTAAAAGGCCTCTCAAATATTTGAATATACGCAATTATGGCGTTCTAAACCGATGGGGACAGCAACGAGGCCAGGCCACTAAACAACGGTTTATAAACATCGGTGGACGTCTTCTTCTGACTAAATAGTTTTACAAAAAAAACGTGTAGTTATACATTTCTTACATGTTATAGTTTGTATTCTCAGCACATTTCAACAGGAGTATTTCTGTGGTCATCCATGGTTTAAATACGGTTTAGAAACAACAGTACTTGTACCTCTATTGTTTAGCCAATATTTCTTTGAGTACACGCGTATTATGAAAAGTCTTTAAATAATAGCATGTATTTTTTTACGCAAACGGAAAACATATTGGGATAGTAAGAAGTTTATACATTATTTCTTGAATATGTATGATTTCTTTAAAGGGTTTCCGCCACCATGGCCAAGTATGCAACAACAAGGATACTTTTGGTTGGACGCTTTTCAACACAGGTTATTACCTTTGATCTTTGTCCACATTAGCTTGGAGAAATCGCTTGGCATTTTCTTTAATGTATAATTAAAAATGATTTTGACATGGGATTGATAAAACAAATGGAACTGGAGAACATTATTATTTCTTGTACTGGCAAGTAGTTTTGATACATGCAATTTCATCGGTCCTTTGGATGGTTATTTCAAATGCATTATTTTATATATAGACTAATACTAGTATATTATGACACAAGGACTAAATGATTTAAAATAGCAAAGTGTCGATTTAACTTTTTTATTTTGCATAAATTAAATTATAACAAATATTTACATGCAGGCAAGAAACTACAGTCAAAACATAAAACGAGCAGCATAAAACAAAGTTAACATGATAATGCCATTTTATTTGGAGTTTATTGTCAACCGTAACATCAGTCATTTTTCTTTTAAACTCACAAAACTTGGAAAGATGAGCTGTCTCTATATTCTATGTCGTCATTTCCTGTTACAGATTCCTGAGAAATAACCTCGGTTGACGGTACAGACGCATACTGGTTCCGGTATGAGATTTCTTCATATTCAATGCGGTCATTTGTGCGGACATGTTCTTGTGAAATGTCATTCTCATGCGCCAGGTCTGTAATTCTCAATGCGCCAGGTCTGTAATTTTGTTGAGGATATCCGGTGTACAAGTTTGTCGTCGTGTAACTTCCGATGGACTGTAAACTACTGTTCTGATACAGAGGTTGGCTTGTTGACGAAATTGAAGCCGGATTCCAGATTGATGTCGGCTCGTAAGGGTATCCTTGCATGGTTGTGCTGGAAATTGGCGTTGGTTCATTGTAAGTTATTTCTGGAGATTTTGGAGACGGTGATCTTGAACTTTCCTCCCTCTTATATGTTGGTGATTGTTTTTTATTGTTATTGTTGTTACTATCTTTTTGCTGTTGCCTATACTTGGCGCGTCTGTTTTTGAACCAGACCTGCACTTTGAATCCTGCAAGATTGAGTTTCAGCGCCAATTCTTCGCGCATGTATACATCCGGGTACCTCGTCCTTTCGAAACAAGCTTCTAACAAATCAAGTTGCGCACGTGTAAAAGTAGTTCTTTCTCTTCGCTGTTTCTTCAGAACGTGAGCTGACTGTGAACACTCGGGATAACTCGCTACTGGTTTTCTAATGACTTCAGGTCGTGAAACGAAGTGTGTACCGTTTGACTCGTATGCACCAGATAAATTCATTGAATATCCCAAGTTTGTTTCTATGCTCAACATTTTAGATTTGCGTTTATAATGTAGTCTATGAATTGTTTTCTTCGATATTTTTCAAAGTTTTTTTTTTAGAAAGATGAAAATTCAGAACGATAACTATATATTTTTTTCGAAACTTGATCAATTATATTTGTTGATTATTTTTTGAATTCATCAAACAATTTGTTTTATGACGATTTTAATGCAAAATGTTTATATTTATGTGCATAAATTTTACAATGTTGCGCATGCGCAATAAAGCATAATTTTAGTCCCGCCCACACACAAGCCGGTAAGTTATCAGTTTGGTAAGAATTGTTTGTCGCGTTAATTAGTATTGTTTGTTATGATGTTACAGTCCCGTTAACGCATTCATTATAAAATTGCAAACTTACGTCCATCAAAGTGAGACTTTTTCAAACATTTTAACTCTTCAAAGTGAGATAATGTAAGTTACAGTACTTTTTTATGTACCGCAGAATAGTTCAGAAGATTTTCTTAATGTAGTCAAAGGGACTAATCATTTAATTTCAGCATCAGAAAATAATGTATTTCGTATAATATGATTTTCGTTCAGATTATTTTCTACCGAACTTCAATAGATTATTGATAATCTTTTATAAATCAATTTATTTGGAAAAAAAATCTAACAAAGGAAATAATAAAATTTAAAAAAATCTTACAAAGGAAATAATTCAAATCACAGATATATAAACAATATTTAGCTCCATGATCAAATACTATTACTAACACAACACATTTAAATTAAAACTTATCTTTGAACTCGTCCTTTTCTTATAAATGGAAATTCAATTCAATAATATTTTAATGTATAAATCTACCTGAAAATTATAAGCAAAAAATAAAAAATAAGCAAAATTATAAAATAACCTCTATAGTCATGACGCTATTCATTCATTTATTTATTTATTTATTTCTTTTCTTGTTGGGGTGGGGGACACTACATATACAGTTGTATTTATTAGTCATTGAAAAGATTTTTATAATAAAATATAACTATTTATTTTTCAACAATATTCTATCGAAAATATTAGTGTTAAGCTAGCGAGAGTAAGGAAGCTCGAGACCTGTATCTCATTTATACACTGATTTTATCATGAACCAATATAGAGGATATTTACCGCCACTCATGAAATATTTATTTTCATACCAGTCGATGAAAATAAATCATGTATTTATAGAAAGAACTTGAATTTTCTGTTTATCATATATATTTTTCTCCTTTTTGACATTAAAATTTGAAAGACTTTCCCTGAAATGTTGTGTACTGGCAGAATTTAAAAGAAAGTAGTCCGGCAACACACCAGTGAAAATATGGAAAATATGTTTCACTGTAGTGACAAATAAATTTTACAGTGAAAATACGGAAAATGAAAATACGCATTTTATTTCATCAGTATTTCTCAGTATTTCATTTATAAGTATATAATAAACAATTCTTTTTTTTTACATTTTTGAATCACATTTGTTTGAGACAAGAAGCCTGTCGACCCGATATCGCCAGTTCTCTCCCCGCACTGTATTAATGCTTTCGAAAGATATAAAAAATACATTGTTTAAATGATGATTCTTGTCTGCTTCAATAAAAATGAACAAGAAAAAAAAGGTTCACAATTATGATGCACGTTACTTGGTCTATTTTTTTGAGTTCTTATTCTACTATTTCATTTTTATTGAAGCAAACATAAATAGCAGCGGCTTAAGTTAACATGAACTGGTACAATTTGGAATTTTGAAACATCCGCAAATGTGTTCATATGGCGGTTATCATGGAAGCTTCAATGTGACACGCAAGTGCCATTCCATGAAAAGCGGCATATGGTCCCCAAGTAAAAATGCGAGTTCCATAAACGAGAAAAAAATGGGCGGAACTAAATAAAATGGAATTTTGAAAGGGGATCAGAGGATATGAAGCCTGCATATCACAGATAATACACCTAAAGACAATCTTAAAAGCAGGCCACATATCCTAGGGTGATTCAACAGTATTCAAGTGAGGAACACTGGAACCACCCATAAAGAAAATAGCCGAATAGAAAAAACTAAATTACAAGCACAACAAAAATGTCGTGCTGAACGATCTTTAAGGATCGACAATATAACATCACTGATTGAATGTATGGGGCGACTTTTTACAGCCTCCACACGGCACAAGCAACGTTGATGTGGCACATACATGTATATAACTTTGTTTTAAGATCTGGCTTCTTTTTTATTAAAAGATACTCTAGTGTCAGATATCTATGCTTGGGATCACCAATTTGATATGTGAATTCCGTTAAATGATGATCGATTTATGTACATGTATTTATCTTAAAATTGTGGTTTATGTGCAATCAATACGATTTTCCCTCTGAAGAAAAAGCAACCCCCTGTATTGTAATGTTTTGATTATGGAAAAGGTACTACTATAGAAGCTTATCACGTACAGAAAGTAGCGATAAGTGTAAAATAATTTCCAAAATACAAGATCTGGTTAAACTTCCTTTATTGCCAACAAAATACAGTTTCGGAAACTGTTACAGAAAAAAATGTAAAAAATGAGAATAGAAACGATAGAATTTGGGGCAAAATGAGCGTTTAATAATACGTAAAAAATATTTTAATTCTCGTATTTGTTCAATAAACGTTCTTCGTGCTATTCAGTAATATCAGCAGGGTCGTTTGGCGACTTGGTAGTTGTATAATTCTTATAAAGGTCTGCCTGACCATACTCGGATGACGGTCATGTGTTCTCATCATCCAATTTCAGTTAACCCAGGTAGTGGACTCATGAGGGATCAACTGAAAGTCTTATTCTAAAGTCTGTGTGCTTAGTCCATCCAGTAGGTCATTGTTTTCAATCTCGGGACAGATACTAAAGTTATGTAGAATTTCAGCGTTACATTGAAATTATGAGAACATGGCCACTGAGTCTGCCCGAATCTGATTTAAGCATATATTTTATTGTACCGCATATGAAACACAATTTTTCGCTCAAAGTTCAAGATGGTGGTCTCTCAACATATGTTCAACCCGTGCCCACGTGCCATTATTTGGCATTGGATTAATTCCGGTCACATGACATATCAACTGGTAGACGTCCACTATTGATATACCACTTGTTTTGTATCCTTGCTTGAAATCTGAAATAAAAAGGGCAAATAATGAATAAGAAAAATATTTCAATAATTTTAATAATCAACTAAACTTGAAATTTCAGCTGTAATCAAAAGCATGGTTTCAGCAGATTCATATACATGTCAAAGTCAATGTGCATTTTGTAGTAGGAGTTTTTGATATTTCGTAAATGCATCCCAAAGGTTATACATGTAATATATTTTTTAAAGTAATGGACTATCTTAAAGGCCCATTAGCCTAAAAAATACTATTGTTTTTTATTTCTCCAAACCATTTTACTTTTAGCGGCCTGTTATAGTTTCCAAAAGAATACCCATTGGTCATATAGCAGTGCCTTCATTTTTAAAATTAGTATACATGTACATATAGTGGTTTAGTATTTTGTATTACTTTCAAAATACATGTACCACATTGTTTACATTTTTCTTCCTTTATGAATGTCGAATTCAGCGCTATTTTCTTTCACGTTATCAGCATCTCACGTGTTCTTAATTCATTATTAATATTACAAAAATATAAAACGAAGGTTTGCCCTTGCTACAGAACGAAAAAAATGTATTCATTTCTGAAGCTTTATGTGCCTTTAATATATCACTTATATTCTATGATTAAGAACGTATAAGAGTTAAATGTATTTTGGTATTTGTAATATAGTAATGGGCTTATTATGCTTTTAAGCCATAAAATGATTTTCTGTATAAAGGTCAATGATAAATTTGGTAATACATAATTATTTTGACTAAATGAAATATTTGTTTCATTCTGCAACGAATTTCAGTAAAAGTGGAATTCCGCGGTACATCAAATAACAATATTTAAATTATCTCACTTTGAAGTGTTAAAATGTTTGAAAAAGTCTCACTTTGATGGACGTAAGTTTGCAATTTTATAATGAATGCGTTAACGGGACTGTACCATCATAACAAACAATACTAATTAACGCGACAAACAATTCTTACCAAACTGATAACTTACCGGCTTGTGAGTGGGCGGGACTAAAAGTTGTGCTTTATTGCGCATGCCCTTGAAGTTGACATCATTTTTACATAAATATAGAATTTTGCACCACAAACCATCAAAACACTTGTTTGACTCTTCCTTGGAATCAAATAAAATTAATTCTACGATTTTTGGCAATCTAGTGTACTCCACAGTGTTAACTTTGCAAGACAATTTGTCAAATTAATATAACAAAAAAATCAAAATAATCTAACACAAGATGATAAAATTGGAAAATAACTCGAGAATGGATGATATGATGATGGGAATCGTTTATGGACATAATCAGCCGACGAGCAAGAGCGTTAACTCTGTACAAACGCAACAGCACCATGGTAACCACGAATCTCGCGCTTCAGTATTTTCCAGATTTGATTATGGCAAACCGGATTACGCTCAATCAAGGTACGAACTGAATCCGCCTGCCACACTTTTCTCTTCCCGAACTGGAGACATGATGAAACCAGTGATGAGTTATCCAACTTCTTCACATTCTATTAACGGTCCGCCGAAAAAACAGAGAAGGGAAAGAACTACTTATACACGCGCACAACTTACTGTGTTGGAGTCTTGTTTTGAGAAGACGAGGTACCCAGATGTATTCTTGCGCGAGGAACTTGCAATGAAACTCAACCTAATAGAATCAAAAGTGCAGGTATGGTTCAAAAACAGGCGCGCTAAATGTAGACAACAACAAAAAGATAAGGACAATAATAACAACAAAAAACAATCGCCAACAGCGAAAAGGGAGGAAAGTTCTAGTCCACCGTCTCCAAAATCTCCGCCAAAAATGCATAATGAACCAAATCCGGTTTCCCACACAACGATGCAAGGATACCCTTACGCGCCTACATCAATCTGGAACCCGGCTTCAATTTCGCCAACAAACTATCCTATGTATCAGAACAGTAGTGTACAGTCAACCGGAAGTTATCCGACGACCAACTTGTACCCAGGATATCCTCAACAGAATTACGGACCATCCGCATTTTACGGCAATTCGGATTACATGTTACAAATGAACTATCCCCCGACTCATTCAGCCCACGTGGATGGAATGACAAGCTCTTATTCTAACCAGTATGCGTCTCCAGCGACTGGGAATGATATTTCACAGGAACATGTAAACAGAAATGACGACATAGAATATAAAGAACGCTCATCTTTCCAGGCTTTGTGAAAAGGTGAAAGACTGAGAATAAATTCCTAGTGATTTGCGCTAATCAGAACATAAGGTACGCTGCAATGCGCATTTATGTGACATTTAGTTTAATTGATGTACATTTGTTTCTTACTTTTAATTTATTAAACTTGTAAATTAATAATGTATATATCTAATGCAGCTTGAGATGTGTAAATAAAAATGTTAAAATGTCTCCGTATTTTTACTTTGCTAAACAGTGCATTTGCTGATCGGTTCAACAAAATGGTTAACATCGTGAGCACAATCGTAACTTTTCGATATTCTCCGTCATAGTTCGATCCGATGAAGGGGTCTGTTGAATTTCGAAAACATAGCCGATTACCCATAATCCACTCTAAGACAACAGGGATCGAAAGGTAGATTGTGTACGAGATCCCTCACTAAAATGTGACGGAAAACACCGAAAAGTTGCGATTGGCACGTGATGACATTTGAAATGTTAGTCAAGACTGTACAACAAACCTGGTCCAGAAGCCAGAAATATTCCTCTCATATCTTGACCGCTGTTGTCAAAACCATGGTTCCCATTGAATGTGTGAATGGTACGAGTACCTTTATGGTCCCCAGATCTTGGCTACAAACACAACCAGTTCTTTCAGTAAAAAGGACGCAGATATAATTTTTAAGCAAACATATAAATCATAGTTGTTTATTCAAAACAAGTTTATAGTGAAATACAGTAAAACAATGGTGATGATACCTACCGAGTAAAGCTTTATGTTAATGCCTGTCATGACAGGACATTATTTCATCAGAAAAATTCTGGTGCAACATCTTGTACTTATTGTTGCAAAAATGTTGGATGAAAATAGATGTCTTTTAAAAAAATCTGATATTTAGTAAGGAACTTAATAAATGTTATAAAGAAATTTCTTGTTATCTAGTAAGAAACGACATACATGTAATTAAATGTTCTAAAAAAGTTACAAAAAAAGTTATTAACCAATAAGAGTTATGACCCTTTTGACGTAATAAAACAAGTGCTTACATGAACAATACACCAGTCTGAGTCCGCCATGATAAATATAGGTGGTATAAATTTGTGTTGTTTGAAAAACCATCTATCTAGAATGTCCTTCCTGTTGTATACTCGAAGGTGTTCGTGAAAATCTTTCAGTGATTTATACACCTTAAAAAAACAACAGATATATACAGTCATGTTCCGATCATTAGACCACTTCGATTTGATTCATCAATCATGTAAACTTAAGCTACTTTTAAGGCCTTAAGTCTGAAATATGGAGCAAAAGAGTACGCCATTTCTGTGGCCTTACAACCGGAACTTTACTTTATTTAATTATTATTCAAACATCAATTATTACATGCAATAACCATAACTATAATTCTTTACAATTTAAAATACCAATTTCGAGTTTTGATGCGTTTGAATTATTGATTAGAACAAGATAAATGTATTAATAATTCCAAAGTCTAATAAACGACTTATGCTTAACCAAAATATATCACCGAACAAAAGTGGGCACTGCATGTACACTGCTACAACAGCCGACATGCAAACTGATCTGGAGCTAAACGCTTTATATTGGCCAATATTCTTAGAATGGGAACTTTTATCTTAAAACTAAATAAGAATTATCATTTTCGTACTTTCATTTCCCGCCCAGGCTTTGGCCATATTTGTGCAACTGATCCACTTTCCAACAACTCGTCAATATCATTCATATCGACCACGTGACTGATGTCAATAATGTTTGTATCATTAACGCTGGCCATTCCATGGTCAGATACAACCATAATGTTTACGTCAGTCACATGATTCGTGTCCAAATACTGGAAAACGCTTGAAATCAGCTCGTCCGTATCTTTAACCGCTTGTTTTAGCTGTGGGGAACCAGGTCCAAACGAATGCCCAATTGTGTCAACATCAGCGTGTAATATATCTTTGAAACAACATGCAGAGTAAAACTCCAATTACTGTAATTTTTTTCAACGTCATATAAAATGTAATCAACATCCTTCAGCGTAAGAACACGTTATGTTCCAATAGAAAGCATTATTTGACTCCAATGTTATCAATTAAGCCTAATTTCAAATTACATAACCCTCTTTGCTTCTGACCAGCCAGCCCAACAATGTCTTTAGAGGACAGGGTGGGGCGCTGAGATATTTAAATGTTGTCTGAAAAAAAAAACAGCGTTCATCAGACGTTTTCAAGTAAATTCTGTCAGCTTTCGGTGACTTGATCTACATAATGTATATTTAACCAAAATGCATTTGATTTTCCAGCTGTATTTATTTTATGTCCACATTAACACATTATTTAAAGTGGCTTTAATAGTAAAAACAAAATGAATAAAACTGTGATTCATACAAAGTGAAACAGCAAGTTGATATTTATGCGGATGAATATTAATAAACTTACAAGCGATTTCAATTTTTCCACTGTGGATACGACGGACCGCATCTAGAACTTCATTCTGGGAATCTTTGAAAGAACTAGAATCGTGATACGGCCAGCAATACGACACGTTTATACCGTCAAACTCCAGATAACAACCACCCATATTGTACAGGCCAGTCCGTATGCCCTGAAAGTATACCAGTAATAACTATTTAGTGTACCATTCAATCAAGATACAAGTAAAATGGTTTCCTGCGGTGAACATTTTAATGATATAAAGATATTCCATTTAACATATATTTGGGGGGGGGGGGTAAATAAACTTTTGTATCAGAAATATAGTTGACAATAATCGATCAATATAGAAGAAGGTCTTTGGAAACAGGTGACCGTTCAAGACCGGTGAAGGTCGAACATAGAACAATTATTTCTTTTTACGAAAATGATTAAATAGGCAAAAACTAAATAAAGTAAACACACAAGTTTACGCAGAAAATATCTCTATTTATTATGACAGATGCCACTACGAATATATTAATTTTGTAGATTTTCAGTTTATAGAATTTATTGTTTGTAAAATTTTAGATAGATATAAAAGAAACATTGATAATTTTCAAACACATCATTCAAGTTTTTCCACCTTAAACGGTAAAATAACTTTAGAAAATAAGAAATATCACGTAATAGTTTTTTGTTATCAATTAGGTATAATTCGGACTTATTCCCTACAGATAAATCCGTAACGTACCGGCAAACGGTATTTAGCTGAGTTTTCGAAAAGGTCAATTAACCAATCATATACGGTTTACAGATCACATGCTCCTCCATGTACCGAAAACAGGTCACGTGCTCCTTCATGCCTCAAAAGTTAAACGCGTACCAATACCCTGCGGTCTCCAGACCGCAGGGAATAAAATATATACAGTAAAACCGCAAAAAAGGTCATCTAATTACGTCGCTTAAAGCATGAAGTGGAACCCCAGGAAAACCAATGGAAAATAATTCAAAGTCTCTTAGAAATGGAATCCAATGTATGAGAAGCAAGTCAGTTGAAGTCAATTTTTTGGAAAATTTCAGAAGTGAAAAAAGGAAAATGTGTACATGTCGTTAAGCAATTGGCGTATTTTCTGTAGTCAATGGTTAACTACATAATTGAAAAAATCGATTATTTGTCAAATCCATTTTGCATCGTAAGTATTTCATTTCAGCAGTAAGAACAGATAACGATATTTGTCCATTTAACTGATCATTTTTAGCAGTTACATAGAGCAACTGTTTCTCTGTCCATTATTTACAGTTATCTGTTTTTCAACAGTTGCTGAAAATGACTTTATCAGATTCCCTGCTTTTCAACAGTGACATGTAACGCGTGTTTGCTGTATGTAGCGTTTTTTCAGCAGTTACAATGTTCAGTTATTCTTTTGACAGTACCTGTTTTTCAGCAGTGACAAAGAATGAGGGTTTCTCTGTCCACCATTTTGCATCATCGCTGAGCATATATTCTAGTTTATCCCCATGTTTACTATCATAAATGAAATTTCCAACAACGCCATGACTTTCGACATACAGACCTGGAAAAAAATTGCAAGCATACATATATTCATCAATTTTTACTTTTTTACACGTAATTAAAAATTTGGTAAAGTGTAAAGTTGAAAATACGATTTGATTCTCAATTTTATCTGCGTATGTCTGCTTTAAACAGCTTGTTTTTAAGAAATTGCAACGGTATTGTAAAAAAAAACATCCGATATAGCGTACAAAGATTCATAATCCATAAACGTCCACTATATCAGTGTTTTACTGTACTGTATACTCGTACATTTAAGTCAAATGCTGTTTCAAATGTTGTTTGAAATGCGTATATTCACACTTATTCAACCATGTATACATGTAATGTAGTTATAAGTTATAGTTTCCGGAAGAGACCTCCTATATGTGTATATATGTATCAAAAATCGTCTGCTTGAGTAATTTGTTACGATTCCAAAAAAAATTAAGAAATTTTAGGTTTTTAACACAAGAACATTTAATAACAAAAAAATCGTGAAATAACGCCTTATATCAAGACATAATACATTTTTCCCATTCTGACATCTTATATGTTTTTATAAATGTGCAAGCATGTACAAAGTCAGTAGTACATGAACCGGGTACTTAACTTAATGATATTCTTTTGTGTAAATTTTATGTTTCGCTTTGCTTTACACGATAAACACCTAGAATAGATGTTCATGCATGCATGCATACTGAAAAAAAAAACAGTTTAAACTGCAGGCATATGCAAAGATGCTGAATATCCTGATATCGGATTTGTTAACACGAGTTTCCAGTGGAAATATGTGCATTCGTAATTAATGCATTCGTATTAATGGAGAAAGAGAATGTCCTTGAGGGTCTCTTAAAACTGTTAAGTATATAAATGATTTATTAAGTTCGAACCCTTCACCTGTTTCTAGCGATTTATAGTTGGGTAGAGAATTGGTCGGGAAAGCAGGTACCATCCATTCAGCCCTGGCTCCTTTGTCGACTAACCTAGAAAATCCTCTCAGTTGTAAATCATGATAAGATTCTATATAATCCCAACGGAATCCGTCTACAAGCAGAATGATTAACTTGGATGCATTAACAAACGTAAGTTTGTAATCCAATCCGATAATAAAACTAAACAAGAAAGTCACTCTACACAACATGATTGTTAATATCCGATAAACAGGCATACTATACATGTATATAGTTAAAATACATTGTAGAATTCTATTGGACGAGTACACAGCTTTAAAAATACACTAGTAATAGTAGTATTTGATTTGACGTGCACTACCCACAAAATCAATATTAAACAAATCTCAATCAAATCAGATTTTCGATTATTGTACTGATCATAGGCACTACTGTTAACTAATCAGTTCCTGTCAAATTTATCCGAATAACGATTTTTAACGTGTTTAAGGTGACAACAGACACTTTCCGTGGTACTCACATAAATGTCATTTAAACCAAGTTATTTTAGTTATAATTGTTATTTATTTAATCTTTGTGCATTAAATGTCGTAGATCATCATAAAAAATAACATATTTGAAAAAAAATGCCTTTGTAAATGATTGATTTTGAATAAAAATCCTAAAATTTTAAATCGTCATATCAAAGTCATTTTTTATTTTTTTGTCATCAAACTTTTGGAAAATAACCTTACTTATATTATCTAGGGAACCGTGTCTCAAATTTTTTCTATCTTTTCTCAAAAAAATATTACATAACGTTAAACATTTTATGCGACTTTTTTCACCATACATATTACGTAATTAAAGATAATTTAGTCGCTGATTGAGCAAACAGAAATCCCTGACACGGTTCCCTCCGTAAATGAATTTCCTTTCACGTGCTTTAAACCGCATGTTAATTGCTTGATTATTAAAAAAGTTATGCCGATTCAAAGTTAGTCCGACCCGCATCAAACGAAGTGTCATAAATCGGCTGTTCTCTCTCGGACCCCTACGTTTCACGCTAAATAATTGCATAATACACAAATATCGCACCAGAGAGGGTCACAAGTTGCGATAACATACTCTAACAACATTTTATGACCCAGTGACATCTGACCAATTAAAAAGCTGCTGATTAATATCAGTTTATAGCCGAATTTCTTCAATTCTTAACGTGATTTACTGTTCGTCTGGTATCTGTCGCACATGTCACGTGACTATCGATAAAATTTGAGGCACTCAGTGGGGGGAAATGTAACGCATTTGCGCACCGCTAGCGGGGTATTTAATTGTTTCCTTTTTGAAGTATATTATTATTATTATCAGCATTATTATTGTATTATACCAGTGTCACTCTGCCTGTGTATTCGTGTATGAAATTCCGTTAAAATATAAAATAAAATAACAAAAAACTGAGCTTCTGACAGTCTTTTAAAGTCCATGGTAGATGTACAAATAAGAACGGGATATTATATATTTTTTCCACCAAATTGATAATGCTTCACATATTTTAATAGAAATAAAAGGTATTACTCGATCATTATGATCTGGCCTTCTTGACTTCTATTATCATGAATATCATCTATGCACGGCATAGAGATCCAGTTTCTACCGGCGAACCATTTATTTTCACTGAGAATATATTTTAATATCTTTTTTTTTATTCATAGAGAAATAATCATCCTTAGACAATCTAAAATGGTTTAGAAATTTGTCAGGGACACCTTACCACAAGTCATATATAGGCGTTCACATAAAAATGTTGTCTGTTTTTGTTGTTGTTTTACTTGACATTGTTAGAAAACGAGGTGGAATGTAAAGTAAGCCCTTGAATCCGTACAAAAGTCTATCAACTCAATGTAATATCTATCAGATTAACGGGACAGACAAATTATTTTCACACATTATGGATATTTTAGCAACTACATTTTTAATCAACCCCGTGGTCGTGCGATTTGCCGCTATGCTTAATTATTTATGTTTCATACATTATGTTACGTACATTGGCCGACAATTTCTTAATTTATAAAAAAGGCATAATGTTGAGATATTCATAAAAGATGTACGGTAGTTGTACGATACATGTATTACGAGAAGTATGGACCAGTATGGACCTGTAATTCACGGATATATGAAACTACCGATTTCCCTCTTTGATGCCTCAACAGGGGGCGGAGCGTTATCGATAATCGACAGGTTACGCGAAAAGCAGATACAAATTGTATAGGTACCGTTTTAAAACGTTTAAAAACACATTTTTTGGACTAACTGCTTCCAAAATTAAATCACGAATGTGTTCAGAAAAGGTTAATAAATCTACTTAGCAAAAAATCTCATTTTAGGTATTTTCAGTGATAATTGACTCCGTTGTCACCTTAAGAAGTAAGAAGTGAAAAAAACTGCGGGAATTAAAAAAAACGAACTTTATGTTAAAAATTGTTGCCTTAATTCGGATAAATTTGACAGCTACATATTAGTAAAAGGGGTATTTGTCCCGAAACCAAGTGACTATGGTTCCAGTTGCCTACTTATAGTAAATGTATTAAGTTCTGTCTTCCTCTGTAGCGTCAATATATGGATATTATTCTAACACGAAACAAGTTTATTCAAGTTCCTGATTTCAGTGACATTTAATTTATCATACATTTAAAAACGCATGTTGAAGTGATCTACTTCATTTTTACTATCGGAAGAATAACCTTATAGTTTAAACACATTTTCTTCATAATCGTACACAGTATAATTATTATATACATTCATTCAATATATAAAATGTTGAAATGGATTAGAACGAAATATATGAATCTTATAAAGTTCTTCTCCTATCGGAAGAACCTTACTCACCGAGTCCAATCGTTTACTATGTTTCCCAGGCGGAGAACGGATGAAGAGATAAATTTTACAGGTGGAAAACCGATACTGTGGTAAGAAAATTGTCTTCAATTTCTTTGAAAATGCATATTTCACAACTTTATAGCCTATTCTGATCTCGTATGATTACTTTATCCGACAGGCATCTCAAACTCGCAAAATCTTTGTTAACTTATTAGATCATTATCGACAACTGCACAAGAAAAGTCACAAAATTGGTAAAATCGCTCTTTGATAGCCAATAACTTGACATCCAAGCACACGTCTAAACATTTGTATCGCTCTAAAGGTTCTTTATTAACATATCCTCATCCACCAAAAGCCTGTTCTATTTCTATTCCGTATTTTTGGAGTATAATATCGTTTAAGCGAATTGTCAAAATGAACGCATGAGCCGAACTTTTCATGTGGTTTCATCAGATTGCAAAATGAACGCATGAGCAGGCGGACTTTTTGGTTACTCCAGCTTTCATAGATATCTGACATGTTTTCGATCACGGAACCTTTAAATTCCAAAATTTTTGTTCCAAATGTTTGAGCAAACAGAAGGCCCTATTTTCATAACCTATGACGAATTGCTTATAAGCAATAGGTGAGGTCTGTTCGGTTCTGTGAAAATATAATAAATTGTCATTGCTAAAACTTTGAGTAAAATATTTGCAAAATACAACATTATTGGTTGATGGGACTTAAATTTCCTGTATGTTATAATTAAAGATGCATCATACACTTAAAGATCCTGTGACTCAAAATTTTATGTTCTTATATGAAAAATCTTTGGCTTAAATAAAGAATTAACAATGTTAAAAGTTACAGAAAACCTTTTTGATAAGGACATTGCCAAAATTTAAAATTTCCGATAATAAAAGGACATAACTAGAAATCTGTTTTTGGTAAAAAAAAAATCAGTTTTGCGTTCAACTAAAATGTCACAACCTTTTTTCCTCAAGAAATATCATATAATGTGTTTAATAAAGTCAACTTCTTAAGTATATGTTTTTCATAGAACTGATTTTATATACAACTTTCGCAAGGATATTACATCCTTAATTATAACATACAAGATCTTTAAGCAAGAATATATATATATCACCTTCCTTACAACAAAATGAGCATACAACAAAATGTTGAAATAACACATAATTTTTAGGTTCATTATAAGTTTTTCTTTTAGAAATAATACACTTTTTTTTATTTTAATGAAGAAAATCAAAAAGTGTTTCTAATTACCTCCCTTTATTTACAGAACTTGTTAAATTCGATAATATCTATGTAAGATTTGTAATATTGGTAATTCTTTATTTGAGTATCAGGTTTATCATATGGCGTCATATTCTTCCATATTCTGTAATATTGATAAAAAATACATTTCATTCTAAGTGATAAATTTTGTGTTCTTAGGTGAAATGGATCAGCTCTCTTCTACGCAAATTTTTTATCTTTTTAACAAGTACAACAGCAATTCCGTATATATTATGTACAAGACAATTTGCACAGTGCAATTATTATTTCTAAACAAATCATAAGCATGTCGACATGCTACATAAATTTCGCATTAAAATGGCTTTAATTTAGTTATCAATGATTTGTACCTTTACCAATTGCTTTGCATTGGACGGCATATAGAACTATACACTACCAAGATTTACTGGGCTTACATAAACATATTCTATAAACTTGTAATTCGTCGTTTAAAAAAGGAAATTTATATCGAAATGTTGAATATTTAAACGTGATTCGTGTATAATATATTTTCATATGCTCATGTACTATAAAAACAGGGAATAAATAATTGTACAAAATAACATGTATTGGAGAAATTCATGAAATTACATCAATGCTACAACCGTTTACAAGTTTTCGAGGAACTATTATGTTTTTCTTTGTCGTCTTAACCACTGCTTTTGCAAATATTACAAACGAGGAATTACTTCAATTGTACACGATCTTTCCCAACAGACCTCGTAATATATATATATATATATATATATATATATATATATATATATATATATATATATATATATATATATATATATATATATGTATATATATATATATATATATATATATATATATATATATATATATATAGCATACAAAGTATATGCATGTTAGTGCCTGCAACTGCCATCCTTTTATTATATTATCAGCATAATATTAAGAGGTTAACTAGATACGTAACTAAAGCTGATAATAAGGGATGGTAGTTGCAGGCAGTAACATGCATTTATTTCGCGTTATGATCTTTTATTTATTGAAAAAATTAACTATAGTTACGTAACTAGTTAACCTGATAACTAACGTTAACTAGTTACGTAACTTGTTAACCTCTTAATTAACTAGTTAGTTATCAGGTTTTTTGGTGGCAGAAATATGCCACCATACTCATTTATTTGGAATAAAATTTGAAATTTTTAAAGTTTGAATATGTAAAATTTGTTAGATAATTAGGAAAAACTTGAGTTTTAAAATTACCACCTGCTCATGCGTTCACTTTGCAAACCTATGAAACCACATGAAAAGTTCGGCCCATGCGTTCATTTTGAAAATTCGCTTAAACGATATTATACTCCAAAAATACGGAATAGAAATAGAACAGGCTTTTGGTGGATGAGGATATGTTAATAAAGAACCTTTAGAGCGATACAAATGTTTAGACGTGTGCTTGGATGACAAGTTATTGGCTATCAAAGAGCGATTTTACCAATTTTGTGACTTTTCTTGTGCAGTTGTCGATAATGATCTAATAAGTTAACAAAGATTTGGCGAGTTTGAGATGCCTCTCGGATAAAGTAATCATACGAGATCAGAATAGGCTTTAAAGTTTTGTGAAATATGCATTTTCAAAGAAATTGAAGACAATTTTCTTACCACAGTATCGGTTTTCCACCTGTAAAATTTATCTCTTCATGCGTTCTCCGCCTGGGAAACATAGTGAACGATTGGACTCGGTGTTACTATGGTGGCTGATTTACGTCATGTCGTATATATTTTCTCTTCTTCGCCTCAAAATGCGAAAATGCGAAAACATGGAGGGACGACAAAGTTGGACTTTTGTCATCTCTTCGTGTTTTCGCTTTTTCGCATTGCGAAAATACGACAGAAAGAGGGCGAAAATACGACTATCTAATCATCTATCTTAATTGAAATACTAGTAAATTTAAATAAATGCAAATGTCATTTAAGGCTTTATTATCTTTCACTTTAGAAAAAATGACTCGTATACAGCGGTTTTGTTGTTGAACCATTAACAGCCTATGGACTTGTTAAAGCGTATACGTCTTATATTTTGGACTAGAACAAGGGCTGCAGTAAAAGGAAAAAATAAAGGGACTTTTGACATAAAACTAGATTTTGGTTTACTTTCGGGATTCTTGTCGCAATCATTTATTGACTTACCATTAACCAGTCAGTTAATAGACCACGTAATGTTATAGTATCATCTGTAAGTTGACGTATTATGGAAGCAATGTGATAGATAGTGTTTTCTTTCATTTCATTTACTTTGTGTGTTAACCATAAGTGTGGTAATAAAATCAAGTCAACGAAGAAATTTTGGTTATAAATCTTTAAAGATTTATGTTCTTATTACAAAAAAAAAAAGAAAAAAAAAACATGAATAAAACTATCCTTTTTGGTTGGGTAAAAGTCACCGTTTAACGTCGCACCAACACAGATATGGTCACATGGCGACTTTCCAGGTTTAATTGTGCGAGAAGAAAGACCTCATTTGGCCGTGCCAATCTGTGCATTATTTCAGACATAAATCGGCATCTGAAAAGAACCACTGACGTTTGATGATGGCTGAATCCAAAGTCCCTGGTGAGATAAGAATCCATAGCGGTGAGGGACAAGTAGTTTGAACTTCTTGAAGTCAACGACTCGGTCAACGACTGCAACAACTCGGTCATGGATGCCCGTAATATTCATATAATAGTACTAGTACTATATTCGTACATATTGAAAAAGCGATAACGAATATATATTTTACTTGCGACCATTAATAAGAAAATTACTAAGAAAGTTACCGGTTTAAAACTATCCTAACAAAATATATAATATGAGCCGCGTCATGACAAAACCAACACAATGGGTTTGTGACCAGCATGGATCCAGACCAGCCTGCGCATCCGCGCAGTCTGATCAGGATCTATGCTGTTCGCTTACAAAGTCTATAACCAGCCGTGAAACTAATAGCGCAGGCTGGTCTAGATCCATGCTGGTCGCAAACCCATTATGTTGGTTTTGTCATGACGCGGCTCAATTATATATGTTCTTTAAGAACCAATACACTGTCAAATGTTGATTTAACAAAGTTAAAGACAAAAGGTTGGCAATGATAAAAAAGATTTATTTTACCAGGGTTTTCCAGAATTATGAACAATTTAAATAAAACATGTATTCCACAAAATATACAATTAAAGTTATAAGATAACGTTGTTTTTGCTTATCGGTGAATGCAAAATAAGTTTAATAATGATTAAACGTGAAGTTTTGGCTATAAAAATACATGGAGCTAAATATATTGTTTATATATCTGTGAAAAATGCTGTTTTTACACACAAATATATAAAGGCAAGTTGGACACACTAAAGAATCACGTGCTTACGGTTGTTGCACGTGGGAAGTGTTATCAAAAGGAAGGATATTCCTCTCTCCTAATGACCTGTAATTGGATTAATCTGATAACCATCAGTAAATACCTTCGATATATATCTTTTTAAAAATCGACGTTACATGTAACAAGTTATCGATCTTTAAGATAGAATAGGGTCAAAAATTAAAATTTGAGGTTACTGCAGAATGCCTATTCCACGTGAACCGAATTTTACACGGCCTTTAATCTTGAATAAATGTGAAAATATTGTCTTCTTACTCATGCTTATCAACCTTATTGTTCATGTTCTTACCCTTTATCATACGTTATAGCCTAACCTAAAGTCCACTATTTGTATATATTTCATTTATGGCCAGTTTCTTTAATTTTCCGGCTTTTCTGTATTTAACATTCTTTTTGTGTAATATTTTCGTTTCGGGTAATAAACGTGCGACGTCACTTCCGGGTATTTTACAATTTCCGGGGATTTCCACGACGAAAAACAGCAAAATAGTCAAAATGTTGGATTTCTTTACTATTTTCAGTAAAGGCGGCATTGTTCTTTGGTATTTTCAAGGAACGTCGCAGATATTCACACAGTCGGTTAATTCTCTTATCAAATCTGTGATTTTGCAGGTAAATATTGATAATTTAACACTGTTTCTGATGTGACATATGGCATGTATCCTGATAGCAAATCGTATGATACATTGTAGTTGTATGTAGAATAATAATTTGTAGAATTATTTTAAATTTCACGATTTGTTTCGATTTATTGGCCCGGATTTGAAATCACGCATTTGTTCTAGTGTGAACTACGCCACATTTTCTTTAAATCGAACAAAATTATAATCATTTCACGTTAGTTTTTAAAACTTCCTAAACAAACTAATGAATACCCAACTATTGCCAAAATATAGATTTACTGATAGAAAATAAATGTTTTAAACTAAGAAAGTGCTGTTTTAATTATGAATTTGATATTTTTTCGTTTGAGTGAAATATAGAATTATGTACTTTCACGAAACATGTTAAAATGCCACATATTTTCATGTTGAGTGAAAATATATAACATATTTCATGAAAAACGAAAAAATAACCTTTTTACTTAATTTCATTACCAAAGGAATGGATACAAATCCCCTTGCTTGCTACGCAACTGCAATTGTACAGCGCGCAGTAATATATTTATTATTTATAGAAGGGTCTTGTTTTGCACACAATGTTTGGCGCTACATTGTGACGTCACGTTAACAACTCTTTAAACGTTTGAACAGCATTAATGACTGAATTAAAGATATTGGTGTTCAGATTTATTTTCTTAGTTAGACCATTTTCTATCATTCTAGACAGTTTTCAAAATAAAATTCAACAAAAATTTGTTTTTTTATTAAACAAAATGGCAGAAGAAGTCCCTTAAAATAAATATGAGTTTTGACTCCGCTCACTTTCATACTTCTATTTCATATTTATTTTTTACAAATATGAAATATATTTGACTGATATATCACCATATTTCATGGGTAAAATTAAATGTAATAAACACTTTCTTTAAGATACAATCAAAGTCAAACATAGATGATAGCCAAATATACATTTTCCTATCATAATTTGTTTAAAACCAAAATATTCCCAAATAAAGTATACTCCATTAAAGCTATGAATTTAAAAAAAAGAATATTTTGGACACTTGTATGAAATTTCAACAAAATTATATCCTAAAAATTTAAATGTAGATAACAAATATTATCATATCTTTATCATAAATTTCAAGTTTATTCATTATTAAATGAACATAGATACGCAAATGTCACAAGTTTATTTTCTTACAACACAGGGATCGAAAAACTTTTTTAGAGCCGCTCGCCCTACAGGACGAGTAGCATCAAATTTCTACTCGTCCTGCATGTCAGGCCTGATTTTTAGAATAAATCCCCCAATGCAATAGACCCTTGCTGATGCAATCAATTGCTAGAAATTTTCATAAATAGTTTGTATAAACCAAAACTGGAAACAAAGCTTGTGTTTTAGGTAATGTATAAAATGCGCACTTTCTAGAGTATTGTTTGGCATGTTCCAGTTACTCCCGTATACAATACACAAAGCGTAAAAACCAACTTATACATAACCTAAAACACAAGCTTTGTTTCCAGTTTTCTATTGTTAAAAGTAAACAAACTGATCATGAGAATTCTTAGTAATTTCCTATTACATCGGCAAATTTCCGCTTGTCATTCTACCATTTTGTACTCATCCTGCATCAATATCTTCTTGTAAATACAAGTTTCGATGCCTGCAACATCTGAACTGCCCTTTCATAGGAATTAATGAAAGTTATAGTGGGCGATGTCATATTATTAAAATTTATTTCATAAAGATGAATTCATTTTCTCATCATAATGTATAGTTTATACAAACAAAAATGAATATTGCTATATTTGGGTATATTTTGGTGTATTTGGGTATGTTTGGGTATTTTGTGCCATCTGTTTCTATTATTGATTAAAAGATTTAACAGTACATGAAATAAATAAAGTCATTGAATTTGTGATTTGATTTCAATCTTTCTGGGTTACAGTAAAAAAGTATTTGTAAAGTATTGTTTAATTTTCAGGAAAGAACTGGTAGCAATCAGTTCACACATGAAGCACTCACTCTGAAATACAAACTGGATAATGAGTTTGAGCTGATTTATGTTGTAAGTTGAAATTTTATCAGAACAATACAGTTACAACTTGTATCTGGCATGGTATATTATACTCAATAAAATCTCACTTGAATTGCCATAATTATATTTGTAGTATACAATTTTTTTTTACCCTGGCAGTTCAAAAGTTGTAATACTGGTCTCTTGTGAGCTTTATAATATTTTGATAAAAGAGATCAATGAAAATTTTATATCTTATGAAAAACAAATAAGAGAATCTTTTTATAACATGTCATAATATATTTTTACAACATCCTCTCAATACAAAATGTATTTGGCAAAAATGACGTCACAACAGTGTTATATAATATGTTACACATGTGTTAAATAAAGAATTATGCAAATTGTTATATTTAATAATATCAAATGAAAAACAAGCAAGGCCATGTGATAATAAAGATACATGAGCTTTTGAAATAGGCTGTTTTATGGCTTTTGCAGTTTTTATGCTTTTGAATGGAGATTTAGATGTTTTTTAATATTATTATTATGTATGTTTGATTGATAGTATTCCATTTTCAGTAATGAGTAAGATTTATTGATCTGTCAGATTGAACTGAAATAGACACTTCTGTGATGTTCGATTTATTCTTAAGGCACACACATATTTGTGGTATTGTAATTTGTATGTCCATGTATTGTTACTGTTGTTATAATTGTAAAATATGATCATTATTCATTAATTTATCATATAAACAGGTTGCTTATCAGAAGATACTGCAGTTATCGTATGTAGATAAATTTCTTGATGCCATTCAACTTGAGTTTAGAAACAAGTACAAAGATGATTTACAGAATTCTGCCCTGTCCAGTAACTTTGATTTTAGACAAGATTTTGACCGAATTTTGTTTGAAGTTGAACATGCAGCCAAAAAGCAAATACAGAAGGGAAAGTAAGTTATTTTTGAGTTAGCCAACTTAAAGTTTTATACATTATATAATATTATCATCATTTATGATAAATTTAATATTTCTTCTTCATAATTCAGTGGTGTATAATTATATATCCTTACCTGATTTAAGGATCATTACATACCCTAATGGAAATTCTAAATTTAGAATCATTTGGTTTGCTTCTGAGCATTTTTTTTCTGAAAACTACATATATATTGGAAGAATGTGGTCAAGTGTTAGTTGTTTGGTTAGGATGTGAGTGGTATAGTGTTTGAATCTCGATCCAAGAAACCAAAAATATTAGTTTTCCTTTTATAGTGATGTGACCATTTTTTGTCAAGAAATTAGCCAAGATTTACAAAGAAAAAAATGATGTGTTTAAAAATATATAAATATTTTATTGCAACTCTGGCTAAGCAGAATTCCATATCTATCAACTTCAAGCTGTTATACATTGTAGCCGAAAATCTAGACTATAAAAGTGTTATATATTTTTACATATTGTTTATGTATCTTTGAAGATGTTTTTATGATTTAAGGCTTATTTAATGCCCTACACATTGAAACAGGGTTTAGTTGTTAGAAGAGATGTGTCATTCTTGAAAAGTCAAAAGGGGAGTTTATCGTATGCATGTGCATTTATCTGATCACTTGTTATTTTAAGTCACTTCACCTCTTGAGTAGGTCCAAAATGAAAACAAAACAGAACTAAAAAATTAGTGATTGAAATTATGGGAAAATATCTTTGAAGATTTAAAGTGAAATAGTGTTTATATTGATAAACCAGGAAAAAAACTTTATTTCCTATTACCAGAAAGCTATGTATAGATATTGGAAAAACAGGAAGTGTAATTGCTATTTAAAGTAACAAAGGAATCATGTAGAATCTTCTGGGCTGAAATTTCTCTCTATATATTAAAGGACATATTTTTACAAGTTACTTTACTTTTAAAGTAAAATACAAACTGACAGGAATAGTTTACACTGAAGCATTTATTATTATATTATGTATGGACTTCTCAAAAAACTTAACTATTTATATTAAATTGACTTGCATAAAGTTAAAACTTGTGAGTTAATAGTATATTAAATATTTTTTGTATTTTAAGTATGAAGTAGATTGCTTTGAATTTGAATAAGTTATAATGTGTTAAAATTATAGAAGGTTTCTGATTTTTTTCCTCCCGTGTCAAAAGTGGCAGCCACAATTTTGGTGGCCATTAATCTGAAACTAAACTTAACAACAAAAATTAAAAAATCATCACAGATTTTAAAAGTGCTGTGTGGTATCTATAAATTGTGTAGTTACAATTGTCTGATTTTCAAAATATAGAGTGATGAAGAGTTTTGAAGAGTCCGAGAAAAGCAAGAAGTCTGTGAAATCTATGATAGAAAACAAGAAGGAAGAACCACCAAAGAAATCTGGCAAGGGAAAAGAGAACAAACCAGTTAAAAGTGAGTTGTTTTAACCATTTTTAATGTCTCAATTATAGTTTGATACTTAGACTCATAATATTCATTTACAATGTAAAAGTCTGCAGCAAGTAGTTACCTTACAGGCCCTCAGGTACGAGAATTTTACATCATTTTGAATAAAAAACAGAATTTTGTCAACAAAAATATTCATATTGCTAAAGTTTAAGATATTCTGTAATTTTTGTTTTATAAAAGGAAATTTCAATATGATGTTGTCACGGGTCAACTGCTTAAGGCAGGTGAAACTATATTAAAGAAAGGCAAGGAGTCCAAGACATGGGGAAATAAAAAAAAAATTAAGAAAATAACTGAACAAGTTCAACATGATGAACTTCTTATACATATAATGAGAGTTACGGTAGTCACTGACTATTCAGTGTTTTTTTTTCCTTATATAACTGATACCGAAAAACGGCACCGTTCCCAATAGAAAATAGACAACAAATTTCCAAATTCATGACTGATAAATTCCCAAAATAACACTGAAAATTTCCTCAAAAATCAGCAAAATTAAAGGTAAACAAAAACAGTGATAAGGGAAATGCAATAAAAATCAAGTATAACCACATGACTCATGAGTGATATTCGTCCTACTTTTAGTGTTTCACACCTTAACATGATTTATGTACAATTGTTATGATTATCAATTTTTTTTTTCAACCTCAAGAAGCAAAAATAATCATTAAAGTTAATAATGCATGGTTTTAAAGTGTTTATTATGTATAATTTTCATGTCGTCTTGGATAAAAGAAATTCACAAAGAACATTTTGCATCTTATGTAAAATTCCCAATTTGAGTCAAACCGATGGATTTTTTTTCCCAATCTGTCCGGTACCGGCACCAATCTCAAAGTAGGGGAAAAAAACACTGCTATTGGTACACTGTGTCTCACTTAAATAAAGTTTATTTTTGAACAGTGAAAAGTAATGGTATTCATATATAGTTTGATAACATCACTAGCAATACTGATTTTAGTTTAAAGCTGCATGCCACCAGATCAATGAATAAGGTTTAAACGGGAAAAAAACAACTTGTAAAATATACATGTAATAATAGTAGTTTTATAGATTGGCATGTTTCCTTATTGGTATACTTTGACCTTAACGTGCCAAATTTGTGTAAAATCCCATTCTCTAGCTACATGTATATATGAGCCGCGTCACGACAAAACCAACTTAATGGGTTTGCTGCCAGCATGGATCCAGACCAGCCTGCGCATCCATGCAGTCTAATCAGGATTCATGCTGTTTGCTATCAGTTTCTCTACTGTTATAGGGTTTGTAAGCGAAACAGCATGGATCCTGATCAGATTGCGCGGATGCGCAGGCTGGTCTGGATCCATGCTGGTGGCAAACCAATTATGTTGGTTTTGTCATGACGCGGCTCATATATCTCTGTGATTTCAGAGACCCCAGTTAAAGAACAAGAAGTTAAGAAGACCTCCTCGGTACCTATGGCAACCAGTAACACAAGTAACGGGGAGCTTGATGAGGAGACCATTAGGAAAAACAGAGAAAGGTTGTTTGGTCCTGCAAAGAAAAAGAAGTCTGCTGCAGATGTGAGGTCAGTATAAATTTGTATTAATGCAATGTTTGTTTATGTTATTTGTATGTTTTTGTTGTAAGCTCACCTGTCACAAAGTGACAGGGTGAGCTTTTGTGATCGCTTTTCGTCCGGCGTCCGGCCGTACATCGTCTGTCCGTCCGTAAACTTTTACTTTAAATGACATCTCATAAACCGCTGAGCCAATTTCATCCAAACTTCACAGGAATGTTCCTTTGGTGGTCACCTTTAAAAATTGTTCAAAGAATTTAATTCCATGCAGAACTCTGGTTGCCATGGCAACCGATAGAAAAAACTTAAAATATCTTCTTTTAAAGAACCCAAAGAGGTAGAGCTTAGATATTTGGCATAAAACATCTTCTAGTGAATGTCTATCAAGTTTGTTCAAATAAAAGCCCTGGGGTCAAAATTGGCCCCGCCCCAGGAAGTCATTGATTTTCCCTATATGCATATAGTAAAAACTTATAAAATCTTCTTTTAAAGAACCCAAAGAGCTAGAGCATGAAACAGGGCTCACACTGGCTCAAATAAAATAATAGCCAATATTTTTAACTTAAAAAAATAATAGCCAAAAGTTCAGCGGACTATTCACGATTTAGCGATTAACAACATAAGCAGTTGATTAAATAAACATTCCATTTAAAACTTTTTCAGTTTTATAAGGATTCTCAAATAAACTGATACATTTGTGTATATTGATAACTACCTTTTTTTACATAGAACCACAACTTTGATTGCTATTATAGAACATGTTATATAGTATAATTACCGTATAACAATAATATTAAAGATTCATTATAACTTTACATAATCCTGTTATCAGACAATTTCTTTAGTTTATTCTAATCAAATTTTGTCAGCTATAACCACTGTCACACAGAACTGGAGTAGATCTAGGTCATATTGGCCTATAGAAATAACACTTGCAAACTCATTCACAGAATGCAGCCTTTTTTTCTGAATAACTTACAGAAAAATGTCATCATCACCAATGTTATACAAATTTTCTGTCATAATAGTTAAGATTTTTAAACAGAACATAGCTTATTTTACCTTTAAATAAATATCAGAATTATCGGCGTCGCGAAAATATGTGACAATCGGTTTTTTCCCTGTTTTCTGAAGAAATATTCACGATTTTGGTTGTTGTGCAAATAGTTATTTGGAAGTTAATACTTTTTTAATATTTTAACATAATTTTCCACTGGCGATTTAGTCAAGCAGCTTAAAACAAAAAAAATCAAAATTTGCAATTACTGCAATTTACGGTAAATTTTGGGTTGGTCAATATCCAGTTTATCAATTTTAAGACAATTTTTGTGGCTAATTGACGGACATTTGATAGCTATTATAATGCTGGACAATATCTTTAAAGTACCTATACTATTTTACATCTTGCATGTATTTTTATCACCTCGGGCAATATAGTAAGCAGCGCGTGACCGATTAAAAGACATTCAATTAAATCCACACCGCTGGTGTTAATTGGGTCTACTGCATTCTTTATTGATTTTTACACCTTATATAAACACTGTTGGAAGTAAAAAATAATCGCCAGATTTTGTAGCCAAAATGCAAAAATAATCGCCAATCTTATAAAATAATCGCAAATGGCGACTCTGGCGACCGACAGCGTGAGCCCTGATGAAACATCTTCTAATGAGTGTCTACCAAGTTTGTTCAAATAAAAGCCCTAGGGTCAAAATTGGCCCGGCCCGGGGGTCATTGATTTTCCCTATATGCATATCGTAAAAACTTATAAAATCTTCTTTTAAAGAACTCAAAGAGCTAGAGCTAAGATATTTAGCATGAAACGTCTTCTAATAGGTGTCTATCAAGTTTGTTCAAATAAAAGCCCTAGGGTCAAAATTGGCCCTGCCCCAGGGGGTCATTGATTTTCCCTTTATGCATATAGTAAAAACTTATAAAATTTTCTTTTAAAGAACCCAGAGGTAGAGCTAAGATATTTTGCATAAAACATCTTCTAGTGAGTGTCTATCAAGTTTGTTCAAATAAAAGCCCTGGGGTCAAAATTGGCCCCGCCCCAGGGGGTCATTGATTTTCCATATATGCATATAGTAAAAACTTATAAAATCTTCTATTAAAGAACCCAAAGAGGTAGAGCTTAGATATTTGGCATAAAACATCTTCTGGTGAGTGTCTATCAAGTTTGTTCAAATAAAAGCTCTGGGGTCAAAATTGGCCCCGCCCCAGGGGGTCATTGATTTTCCCTATATGCATATAGTAAAAACTTATAAAATCTTCTTTTAAAGAACTCAAAGAGCTAGAGCTAAGATATTTAGCATAAAACATCTTCTAATAGGTGTTTATCAAGTTTGTTCAAATAAAAGCCCTGGGGTCAAAATTGGCCCCGCCCCAGGGGGTCATTGATTTTCCCTATATGCATATAGTAAAAACTTATAAAATTTTCTTTTAAATAACCCAAAGAGCTAGAGCTAAGATATTTAGCATGAACCATGTTCTAATGGGTGTCTACCAAATTTGTTCAAATAAGAGCCCTGGGGTCAAAATTGGCCCCGCCCCGGGGGTCATTGATTTTCAATATATGTGTTAAGCAAAAACTTTCAATTAAAAATTCTTTGAAAAAAAACCAAATAGCTAGAGTTTAATACTAAGCATGAAACATCTTTTATTGAGTGTCTACAAAGTTTTTTCAAATAAAAGCTCTTGGGTCAAAATTGGCCCTGCCCTGGGGGTCATTAATTTTATTTATGTGTATAGCAAAAATCTTCTTTGAAAAAACCCAAATAGCTAGAGTTTAGATATCAAGCATGAAACATCTTCTAGTGAGTGTCTCTAAAGTTTGTTCAAATAAAAGCCCTGGGGTCAAAACTGGCCCCGCCCTAGGGGTGTCATTGCTTTTTACTATATGTGTATAGTTAAAACTTAAAAAATCTTTTTTTTTTTTAAAAACTCAAGGAGCTAGTCCTTAGATGTTTGGCGTGAAATGCTTCTAATTGGTGTCTACCTAGTTTGTTCAAATAAAAGCCCTGGGGTTTAAACTGGCCCCGCCCTGAGGGCCTATATACAGGTGAGCGACTTCAGGGCCATCATGGCTCTCTTGTTTTTTTATTGTCGACGAAAGAAAATGGTTCAAAATTATGTAAAACAATAGCTTTCCTTAATGTACGATTTTACTGTAATGATAAGCTGTAAGCATGAGTCAAGTCTTAAACTAACTTCCGTTCTGCAGTGGTCGTTGAAAGAATTGTATTAGTTCTATAAAATTATAATCATTCAAATCTACATTTTCAGATTTTATTTATTTAATTTAAAATTGTGCAGGAAACTAAGAGTACTGTATAAGTAGTTAAGTTAGCAATGCAGAAAAATAGGCGAATTTACAAATCAACGAAAAATCAATAAAAATTCATCTAGTGTAAATATCAACCAACCTGTCATTATTTTGACTCTTTTAATTGCTAATCCTCATGCAAAATATCTGGAATTTAAATGGCCAACTTTTCATCACATGGAAATATCCACTCACACAGTATTGATAATGCAGTTGTGCACTGGTCAGCAACATATTTGAATGAAATAAGTTTAATCACATTAGTTTAGGCATTACGTAAAACAGGTCAGTAATTGTTTTACATATTTACATTTACCAATAGTAAAAGCCCGAAAAGTCCGGACAATAACAAGAAGCGGGTAAAGGTTGGTACCAAATGGGTCCTGGGTGGTACATCAGAGGATGCTAAAGAACTTGACTATACCGACGGCACAGCTGACAACCTCGATGTGAACGGTGTTGGCGTGTCCCTCAAGGATGAAGAGGTTGGTCATTTAGACTTATTTGGTCATTTACACGTCATTTACACTTATGATTTTCTTTGTATGTAGTTAATATCATGTGTCATATTTTATGCACTTTGTACATAAAATAGGGATTTTTTATTAGCCAGATTTATACTTGTTTCAAAATTAGACTCTGTGTGCTAGAAGAATGATATGTTAGTTCAAGTTTGTATATTTTTTTTTCATCATATACAATGTTCTAAACCAATTTGAAAAGAAACCCATTCAGTAACTGAATACCTTGTATATGTATATTTACACAGCTTGACTATGTTGGTAGAATGAAAGGAGAGTTGAGGGATGTTGAAACAGAGTCAGAGAGTGAAGAAGAGGAGGAAGAAGAAACTGTCACACAGAAAACTTCTAGGTAAATATTGTCATATCTTATATAGATCAAATAAACACTGATAGTTATTCTAAATAGCTATTCCTCATACAGTCTCTGATTATTACCTTAATTTATCACTTGAAATTTAATTTGGAATCTGCCTAATGGCCTGTTTTCAAAATAACATATTCCAAGAAGAATAACAACATGTTTTCCTCTTCAACATCAGCCTGAATGTTTACAAATTTTAAGTCATATTATGAGATTTCCCGCTTATTCAATGCACCAGTCAATTGTTATTACAGCATATCCACTCCTGAAGGAAGTGGGGAAATGAGACAAGGTGTTACCTGTCTTCCGGCCCCCTGTGCTGGACATTTCATTGGTTTTGTTTTTGCGCCAAAATGGCTGGGGATATTTTAAGAGTTTAACTATTTGCTTGTCCCAGCAGGGTGTGAATTTTAAAAAAAAAAAATTTTGAGGGACTTGTATATTTTAAAAGACCCACTATTTCTCAAGAGTTGGAGGACCATAGTCACGATTGACTTTTGTATACAGGCATATGATATTGTCATATAGATTTGAAGGTATGTATATTCGAGTACTAGGAAAATAATGTAAAGGTTATATTTGAATGTTTGCAGTAAGAAGAGCAGTGGAGGAATGTTCAGTATGTTTAAAAATCTTGTTGGCTCAAAAATGTTGACAGAGGAAGATGTTGCCCCTGTCCTGGACAAGTTTAGGGAACATCTTGTGTGTAAGTGTAAATTGGGACTTTTATAAATATCTCATGATTGTTTTTTGTTTCCATATATACTTGTAGAATTACTATATTGAATGCCTTGTGTCAAATATAGACTTTTGTTGGTATTTTTCTTCAAGTTTTTAGTTGCATTATCAATTAACTTTTTCAAAAGCATTAAGATGTGCTAGTTTATGTGTTTATTTGTAAAAATACCTGGAAACAAAGTGATCCCTCCGAAGCATTAATCACAACAAAATTACATGAAAATTGAAGATTCGGAGTCTGTACAATGTTGTCTGAATAGATTTGTAATGTAAACCATTTATTTTTGGAAGGCCTACGTTTTACTAAATGTTCTTATTTTTCAAAATAACCTTTTGTCATCAATACTAGAACAAGTTTTACATAAATTTTATTACATAAATTGATAATACATTTTCATGTAGTTAAACATAATAAAACTTATTTTTTTCTCTGTATAAATCAGAATCAGTCTAGTGTATTATTTTATATGAGCATGTTTTTTTTCCATAGCTAAGAATGTTGCTGCCGATATTGCCCTCAAGCTTTGTGAATCTGTCTCAGCTAAATTGGAGGGAAAAGTTCTCGGAACATTTAGCAGTAAGTAACAAGTATTATAACAGACTTTCATTTTACTGATCAATTTTTTTTTTTGTGCATCTGTGAAAAGTGTTTTTATTAAGATCTTCATATTCAGTATGTTTGTTATAAATTTGAATAGTAAGTGATAGTGAAAGTCAATACCAATGTTAAAGGGTAAGAAGATTTTTTGTGGAGTTAAAAATATCTTTTGAGGTGTTCATTTGAACATTACAGGCTATCCATGATTGAGTTGTTAAGATCAATGACTTCAAACCACTTGCCTCTTACTACTTAAGGTTTGAATCCTGCTAGGGACGTTGGATTCTTACTTGTAAGGAAGCTTTCCATCTGGCTTATTGAATGTTAGTGATTCTAATCAGGTGCCCCCCTAGTGTCTGAAATAATGTACAGAGGGGCATTTGAGGTCCTCACCAATAAAACTGGAAAGTCACCATATGACATTTACTGTGTTGGTGCGCCATAAGACCTGACAACAGCAATAATAACCGAAATATTATTATTTATGATTGAAAGGAATAATTCACAATAAAATGCTGGTAAACGTAATTGTGAACAGCTTTGATAGATGAGAATATTTCATAAATCATGTAATGTGATCTGTGTTTCAGGTATCAACAGTACTGTGAAAACAGCTCTAACCGAGTCACTGGTACAAATCTTGTCTCCAAGACGTCGTGTTGACATCCTCCGTGACGCAATGGACTCTAAACAGAAAAAACAACCCTACTGTATTACATTCTGTGGGGTGAATGGTGTCGGAAAAAGCACAAATCTTGCCAAGGTATTTTACAATAATTATAATAAATACTTGTCCAAGTATAAAAGGGGACCTTCGTAAAGGAGAAATTAAGGTTATCACTTACCTTTAACTTCTTTTGGTTTGAATTCCATCAAGAACTTCAGATTCTTTCATGTGTCATAGTTACCCAGTTTGCTCGAGGGTTCTCTTTCAACGTTCTTTATTGCCTTAGACACCTGAGACACCCTAGTATGAGAAATCAACATATAACCTTTACAGTTTGGGTGTTCTTTAAGACCCAATTAAAAATATTTTCTGGAAAAAAAAAACAATAATGCGAAACAATTATTTTACTCAAAGATGAGCATACATTTAATGGTTATTTTATGATATGGTATTGTTTAAGATTTTGTATTCTATTGTTGGTGTTTTCTTTTATCAGATTTGTTTTTGGCTGATAGAGAATGGATTTCGTGTTCTGATAGCAGCATGTGACACGTTTAGGGCGGGAGCTGTTGAGCAGCTTCGTACCCACACACGTAAACTGAACGCGCTACATCCGGCCGAGAGACATGGTGGGCAACAGATGGTACAGTTGTACGAGAAAGGTTATGGTAAAGATGCTGCTGGGATTGCAATGGAAGCAATAAATTTTGGTAAATTTTATGAAACATAATTTAAATATATTTAACAAAATAGGAAAGTTTGGATGTGCTTTTAGGCTTGACTTTTGTAAAATTCTGAACGTTTTAAAGCAATTGTATGTAAGCACAAAAATGCACATGTATTATTATTAATATTCTGTTGAATATCTGCAGCTGGGGATAGCCCTACTGTATAGGTGGCTAAGTTAGCAACGTGGAAATATTGGCAAATTTCGCAAATTTGATAAAAATTGCTATAATTTCCTGTACCATAAATATCGACTAGCATAAATTCTACCCTTCATGATTCGCGAATATTTCCTCACAAGAAATGTTTGGAATTGTAAATTTGCTAACTTTTTCGACAAGCGAAAATATTCAATAGTATTACAACTTTTCATTTATACAGAAATATCTCATATTACATAATTATTTTGTATAAAACTCTTAGATATATTGATATAATCTCTTGTATTATTCAGTTATATTGCATATTGATAAATCTTTTGTATATTTGCAGATCTTGATTGCCATATCTTGATAAAATCTCTTGTATGTTTACAGCTCTATATTGCAATGTATTGACGAAATGTTTTGTATATTAACAGCTCGAGATTGCCATATTGATATTGTCCTTGTTGATACCGCTGGACGGATGCAGGACAATGAACCTCTTATGAGAGCACTTGCTAAGGTATACATGAATCCTTTAATAGATAACAAATATAAGAATAAATTAAGAGAAAGAGAGAAAATTAAGTAAAAGAAAAAGAACTAAGGAAAAAAACAAGTAAAAAGGATAAGAAATATGTGCAAAATTGAGATTTTTTTGCTAGGAACAGCACATCAGTAAATTAGTATTGATGTTAATTATCCTCCAGCGTGCCATACGACCAAATCTTGGCTATGACCGGCATACGACAAATTATAAAACGGCACCCAGCTGGCTTGTGGAATGTTGTGAGTTCTCTTTTAAGTGCACAGTCAAATTTGAAATAATGTATTGTGGCATATCTTGGGCTTCCCTCTGCTGGTGAAGGCTGAAAAGTTTCAGTATGATCTTACTGTTGCAGATGTGACCGTCAATTGGATCAAATTAATTTGTTCTTAAACATTTGAAAAAGAGGTGTGGAGATTCATGCTTTGTTATATATTTACACAAAGTATCACACTTGTATTTCAGTTAATCAAAGTGAATCAGCCAGATTTGGTGCTGTTTGTTGGCGAGGCCCTGGTAGGTAACGAGGCCGTTGATCAGCTGACAAAGTTTAACCAGGCTCTCGCTGATCACTCCAACATGACCAATCCAAGACTGATAGATGGCATTATACTGACCAAGTTTGACACTATTGATGATAAGGTATTATTCATGTTTTTATTTTTTTTCCTAAAAGAGTAAATTGTATGTGTTATCAGTATATGTTCCGATATAAACAATTGTATGCTAGTATAATACAAGGTGTTTGGCAAGGGTTACATAGGAAAGGAAAGTTTACTGGCAATCCTACAATAATCTTGTTAACAAATTTATGATAATGCATAAATTATAAAAAAAATATTGCTGTAGCCATGAATACAGATGATAGAAAGTCATGATTATCCAATGAAAATCATTGTTACAAACATGCAATGAAAATCATTGTTACAAACATGCAATTTTATATTTGTAGGTTGGAGCTGCTATCTCCATGACTTATACCACAGGTCAACCAATTGTATTTGTTGGTACGGGACAGACGTACACAGATTTGAGAAACCTCAACGCTAAAGCTGTTGTTCATGCCCTTCTCAAGTAACATTTCTACCTCCATTGTAGAGAGTAGATAAAAAGGGGAGAGTACTTATCTCTCTGTGAGAATTGGTATACCTGTGACATGACATTTGTTTGACTTGCAGTAACTTTTATCTTTCAAATATATTCAAGCTTTCCAGGAAGCGTGCGTCTGCTCTTGTCGGCTGTTAATGTCCTTTTGACACAATTTGTAACCTGAAAAAGAGCAAATGAGAGTATTAATAAATTGACAGTTTTCTAAAATAGATAAATCTTTTGAAGTATCAAATTCATCTGCTTCAATGAAAGTGCTTATTATTTAGTGTGTCCATAATTTCTGACTCTGGAATATAAATTGTCATTTCTGAAAATGCTATGTGAATCTTTTAATGGTTTGGTCAGTTGGATTTTAAAGTCTAAATTCCACTAGTCATTTAAAATGTGTATTTTATCTTTTTGCTACCTTGACTCGTGGGGAGGGGTGGGGAGGGGGACGTGCGAATAAGTCTAGAATTGGTATTGTTTTCATGCTTTATTATATAAACTGTGCAATCATGTTACATACAGTGTATATTTATTCAGATATTGATATTTCTAAAGTTCATTAACTTTTATATTTGAGATTTTTGTTGATACGTTTCCTAAAAAAAAATTTAGGCCTATCAGTGTTCTGGTTATTACTTTTAAGAAAAGGTGTTTTTTTTTCCTTTTGAGTAAATGGTTCAGGGTCAACATGTGATTTTTAAGATTACTTTTATTGTTTCATTGTGCTTATCTTGAAATAAAATATTGTCATGGCGATATATTTGTCATTAAAGTATCATACATGTATCATTTCTTTTACGAGGTTCATCATGTCTTATATTAAAAGAGATACTAACTCTTGCCACACTAAAGATCTTAAATAGACTTGTCCATCTTTCCATTTATCATTTTTAGGGGAGAATTTCAAAATGTATACTGATTGAATAAGGAATAATGTAGACTATGATCAGACTGCATGTCTGTGCCCTTTGATCTTGGTCTGCACTAATTGTATGGTTAGAATTTGTTTTCAACAGCTGGCTAAAGGCTATAAGCTTGTTATTTGTTAGCAGAAAAAAACACAAGGTAATTGTTTCTATAAATCAAGAAAATTGTCTTTTTTGTCAAACATTTACTTTCTTGCTGAACTTGCAGTATTTACAGCTTTAACATTTAACCTTAATTAAGAACTCCTTAGGTAAAAGTAGTGTTTTAGGCAATAGTAGTGATATTGACTCACCTATGCCACCACTATATTAGTGCAGGCTACTCTATTCTTGTGGCAGCTCAATTTTATTATTAATATTGGGATAGTTAAATCCTTGAAGTAACTTGGAAAGTTCCAAACTTAATTTTGGATTAATCCATTTCAAATGTTTAGCGATTTTGTACTCAAAGAGATGATTATTACATAAAAGTGTGAAGCAGAAAACCAGTAAAACTTTCAAAATGATTAAAGGTGTAATTTTGCAATTACCTTCTTTTAGATCATAAACTGTGTTTAAGTACTATATAGACTTGGTAGAATGTTAATCATTTATTTTGCTTGTAAATATCTGAAATCTCATTATTTATTGTAAATTCTATGTTAATATGTTGATTTTAAATGTTATATTTTATGCTTTTTTTCCATAAATGATGTATGATCATAGTAGTTACATTATGTTATCAGATCAGATATATGTTACAGGCTTTTCCTGCATAAAACAGGGCCAGTTATTAATATAAACACTTCTAGTGACGACAATGTTAATGATGTGCCTTTCGTCGGCATTCACATTGATGCCAACTTACTTGACTTTAATACTGTCCTTTGCTCATTCTTTTACTACTTTCAAAGTTTCATAATAAAAATCCCTCTATGGTTAATAGGGCATTCCCCAAATTCACTAAAGGTGGAGTCCATTTAATAAATTTAGGGGTTGAAGGTTAATGTATGACCTCATTGGGCTATTATTCTCATTGAGACAGTCACTTAACATTTTGAGTAGTTGTGTACACTTGAAATGATAAAAAGGCCTATGTCACTGGTGTACAATCTGGTGAGCCTCACCCACTAATTTTTGCAATCTTACCAGATCTTTTATTGTTGGCTGTTTCATTTATTTATTATTGTAATAGTATGATATTGACATACCTGAAGCTACTAATGGACCGTTCTGAATTCAAGTCCGGGCACATTTTGCAGTGATTCTGTTTATTGCTCAGTATATCGTGTTATGTTTTCACATTAAAATACCTGAAATTTTAATGGACTGTTCCAAAGTCAAAGTAGTGTGGACAAGTTGATTACACAAATTCTGTTTTAAGGGTTTTAATTGTTGTATAGGTTTAATCCACATTTTTTCACATCTGTGCTGTATATTGATATATATCTATATTGTCTAAACTATGGAAGGTCACATTTGTAATATTTTAACAGAGACTTTTGTAACATAAAGCTTCTTGACTTTATTATTGATTGTATGGAAGTTCACATTTATAATACTTTATTATTATTGATTGTATGTATAAGATGAAGATGTTTTTCATGTCACAGGTTGTTATTTAAATGCCAAGAGGTTCTGGAGATTTTAATGTTTAAATAAATCATATTTTATACATATTCTGGTCTTTGTTGTTTTTTTACTAGTATTATGAAATTTCAGCAAGTAGTGCAATGCATATACGATGCAAATGCTTTCAAATGCATCCATCTTGAATGTCAAATTATGAAAAGAAGGTAGTTCTAGTGCTGTCACACCCGGTATAAAAGAAATGATCATGTAGATGTAGCATGCCCTTGTATAAACCAAACAAAGTTAGCTATATTTTTATCTAGACGGAAAAGGGAAAAATAGTAACAATATTCAAAATAAAAAAAAAGATAAAAAAATCGAGAAATGCAAGTCGACTGCGATAAGCATGACCTAATTGGTTATTATCCCTGCTTACAGTAATTTACTTTATCCTGTCACTTGTATCAATTTCGGCCCGATAACAAGGTGCCGTATATTTTTACTGATCTACGGCACTTGATCACGTGGTATGCATGGTTTGCCGGACTACTTTTCAAAAAAAAATAAAATTTTATTATTATAAGGGTTGGCTTTAATTTTTGGGGGTTTTTAAATTTTTGTTTTCCCCCTCATTTTTCCCAATAAAACTTTTCTTTACGGGCCGTTTGAAAGTGAAATAAATGTAAAATTTAAATTTCGTTTGCGACTTTTAAAAATAGCGTACTTGTTTTTGATTTTTTTTGCACGTGCTTTTTTGGCGCAAACTTTTGTGACGTCACGTAAAAAATTACTTTTAAACGTCTTTTACACCCTTTTAAAACGACTGAATATAATATTTTTGGTGTTCTTTTTTTAATTTCTTAGTTGCCCATTTTTTTTTCTTCAGATATTTTTCACACAAAATTCGAAAAAAAATTTTTTTTTATTTATCACTTTTTTTCAAAAAAAAAGGCCCCCCTCAATTTTGAAATACACGGGGGGAGAAAGGGGAGAAGGGCCCGGGGCATTGTTGTAGAATAATGCACGCTTCGGACCTTCTTTGTTTATATAGAAACATTTCCGATAGTGAAAGTAGTCTGCCTAATAAAATTCTTTAAAAAAAAAAAAAACGGTGACAGGATAAATAGAATAATAGATTGGTGCCGTGGATGGAGAAAGTTTATCTGGCGAGGCGGAGGAATTTATTGGGTGAGCCTTCGCCAGATAAACTTTCTCCATCCACGGCACCAACCTATTATTCTCTATGTAGCTCGTAATAAAATGTCCTTAGCAATGCACAGCTCTTATTCAAATGATCGTGTATATTTCAACTGGGAATGACCGGTCATTTTTGTTTTCTCATAGAATACTCAATGACTCAAACGGAAACAATGATAAATCATTTTTTAAAAAAAACTAGTCTGCATCTACCTTGAATCGCGGCCGGTGTTCAAAAGAGGAGGCCGGACATTTTTCTAAAATAAAATAATGTAGATTCTAGAATACATAATCTCACTAAAGTTGTCTGTGATAACTGATTTATTTCAATACTTAAGAGTAATTTTGTTTTTCAAATATGTAAAAGAATTTCAATTTAGACGAAATTAAGTATTTGCTATCTACATGTATATTGAAATCAATGCGGCGCGTTTAAGAACACGTGACTTGTCATACGACCAAAGTAAGCTAACAACAAAGTCTGAAAAATGCTACAAACAACAATGATGCCATGTGTCTCATTTAAAAAAAATACAACTGAAATCTAGATATTTTGACGCCAGTCTTTTTCATTCACTATGCCCATGAGACGCGTGAAAAGTTATGGCTTTAATAATCTTATGGCACTGACCATACTCGTGTCTCCGTATAGTAACTATATAGTGCTACTTGTGATAGAAAAAAATATGCCGAGACACATGTTTATTTGTGAAACGCAAATTTTGTTAATCAACTTTCAATAAACTCAGTATTGAACATACACTCATTCAATGTAAGGCCCATTATGCATATTTAGATTTCTCAAAAGTTGTTTTTGTGTTCTTTTATAGTTTGCAAAAAAGCGATTATTCTAAGCATAGAAGCATACTCGATCATTGGCCAAATACCTAAACGAATTTTTCTTCTTTTTTTTTCTTTGCATTTAATAGTTATAGTAATTTAGTATTTTGCATGGAAGTCAAAATACTGCTTTATTACATTTTACTTCTTTTATGACAAATTATTTCACATTCATAAGATAACAAGTAGATCTATCTATATGTCGTATAACGTAGGAAGAACTCACGGATGTTACATACTTTTAATATACAAATACAAACACACAAGTGAACGAGTGGAATACCAAAGCTGAACTCCCACTCTGACATTTGAGAATAGTATATATAATATCAACCTGTCCTAAGGACATTTTATAATGTATATAAATACACACGTTTTAGAGTTACATATATAAATCATTTTGACATAAGCTAGTCCGCATGCATCCTGAACTATAATACTCATAAATCATGTCATGTTCCATAGTGCACATTATGAAATAAAAACCTTATTATATGTATATACATGTTGACTTGTCATTCTTTTTGAATATAACGTGTATGACTCATTAGCCTGTGTAACCAGCTATACGACAATTCCTCCATTACTTATAAAAAAAAATATTTAAAAAAAAAGTATTGAACAAGTTATTATTTAATATCAAACATTTCAAACTCGTTCTAACAAATTATAAAAATCTAAAATCTAAAATCAACTTGACATCTGTTTTACCCCTAAGGTAAGGATGTTTTACATCAACCTTTTGTTACTTTATTCTCAAAGAAAAATCGCCGAAGGTAATATCCGGTCAGAGATGTCCGGTCAGAGATGTTATCTAATGACTTTTTATTAGTTTATTTTTAAAGAAAAAAAACGCCTTAGGAAACAATATTCGGAAATATTCGCTCAATATATTTTCTTGTCACTTTTTAAAAAGTTTTCGGATACTGCAGTCGGGTAAGTTATAATTTACTTCAACAATTTTGTAATGTTTTTAATAAGTAAAAAAAAATAATTATTGTTAAATGTAAAGATAATCTTTTCGAAATTTTTAATCAGTTAATATAACTGTTATTCTACAAATAATATTAAAGTGACATAAGGTAAATATTATAGCTTTATAAGTTTTTCAATAAATATTAAATTTCCTTTATTTCATCATAAAAAAAAAGAAAAAAAAAATAATTTCTAGAGATCAAAAAAACATAAAAAACAAACAAATAAGTTAACAATATTCAAAGAAAAAATTATTTTAAGAATATTAATTAGAAAAACTTTAAGGTATAAAATTTAACAGAATTATAGGTATGATAAGAGTAGAAAAGATATTTATATACGAAAAAGTTAAAAAAAATATTATAAACAATTGATAATTGATAAAATGTCCAGGTGTTTCATTTCCTGTAAAACGTGTATTGTGCATGCGCATTGAACACTTCCTGTGACAGGTATGTTTTTTTGTAACAGGTACTTGCTGACATCAGTATGGCTTGGTCTTCGTGACGTGTCGGGAATTTCAAATCGTTGGTATGTAGCTTTCTTAAGTATAATTTTAAATTGACACTCATAATTGTTCATAAATGTTTGATGTTCTTGAAGATTCTTTTAAATTAATATATATGTATTTGATATGTGTAAACGTAGACTTTATACACACGTTGATAAAGTTATATTCGAATATTTATTGGCACATCTGTAAACGCTGTTCTTGTTTCGTCGTTGTAAAAAGGATGTCTTGTATTGAACAATACAACAAAGTGATGATAGATCTATAATTCTTCATTTATGTAGCAATGTTTTTTGAGTAAAAGATAATTAAATTAACAGTTTGCTGTTGCATGATCCTCGCAAATGTTTATGTGATATTTATTTTGGATATCTCTGTCGCGCACAAATAATTATTTTGATAAGAAGTTGTCATCAGTATTTCTCTGGGTTTTTGTTTTTAAGTTTATATAACACATAGAAAAACACATTCTATTGATAAACGGAAGTTTTCGGCTTCTCTGGTTGAAGACAGGAACAAAAGTTTATTTGATTCCACAATTTTGTTGTTGTTGTTGTTGTTGACGGCTGTGTCAGCATAATTATATATTTTAAACATCGTAGACGCTTATTTCATATAATTTTACATCGAAGAAGGTGTTTATGGTTATATCTGCATGGTTTTACATCGAAGAAGGTGTTTATGGTTATATCTGCATGGTTGTACATCGAAGATGGTGTTTATGGTTATATCTGCATGGTTTTACATCGAAGAAGGTGTTTATGGTTATATATGCATGGTTTTACATCGAAGAAGGTGTTTATGGTTATATCTGCTTGGTTGTACATCGAAGAAGGTGTTTATGGTTATATATGCATGGTTTTACATCGAAGAAGGTGTTTATGGTTATATCTGCATGGTTTTACATCGAAGAAGGTGTTTATGGTTATATCTGCATGGTTTTAGTTGTACATAGTTTGACATCGTAGAGGCTGACTGTAATATTTCTAGTCAGGCGGTGTTTGACTGTACCGGCGAATTCGCTCGCACCTCTCTGTCTTGGCTGGACGACAAGTGATCGTTAGACCAATATTTTGCATTTTCGTCCGTTGTCAGATCGGTTAATAGATATTATATACAATAAACATATTTTTTTTTTTTTTTCAGATATATGAACAACAAGACAACTGTCATAAAATGCATAGGATAAGAATTCCAATGAAAGATGTTCTCTAGTGTAAGTATCTTATTTATGTAATACTTGATATTTAAAAATTTTTTTACTTTTCTAGACATATTTTGTTACTTTTTTAACTAAGCTATTAACTTTAGTTTTATTTCGACAATAAGACTTATCCCAATTTAAACTTTATTTAATGATTGTGCGTTGACAGTTGAAACATGTATGTATACACATGTTATTCTAATATGAAATAAAGTAAATAATCAATTTGAAACTCATGATTAAGTGCTGTCATTTACTTTGAAATGCATTTTAATTAACCGATCTATTTATAAACATATAGCGAATAACGATCATTTTAAGCAATAATAAAAAATCAAAGATATATTTCTAATAAAAGCAAGTTGAAAATTGATATAAATGAATACAACCACCAAAATATAAAGATATATGATTAAATAATGTAATTTTCTGTTTTGTTTTATTATCGTTTCTTGTAACATATATATTTTCTTCTTTCCATAATTACTATTTACAATGCCTGAGGTCAATTTACCGAAAATTAGTATAGCATATAACACGGAATATAACGTTCTATAGCATACTGGCTAATCCTTGTAAAAACATTTTAACATTTGGTTTCAAGCGTTTATTATTACTATGTACCTTTGTGTTTACCTTACCAGATACTTTATATCGTGGTTTTACAATACTTTTCTTTTTGCTAGAAATAGAGTTTATAAACATTTCATTATCCGAATCATTATCATCAGCCATTGAATCTGACTGCATAGCATTATATGCTGCTTGTGACTGAGGATTGCTATTTACTTGTATGGAATTTGAGTCTGATAATTCTGAATCAGTCTGCGATTGCATTTCGTCTGAATGTGCATTACTTTGAGTATTGTCATTATTTGAAATTTGTTGTTGTTGTCGAAGATGTTTCTGTAATTCGGCTAATGGAATATCATCTTCGCTATCAGAATTTGACCTTTCTTTTCTAACATTTTTAGCAACTTGGGGTAATACTGATTCTGGTATTTCTGAAGCATCATCAGTATCGCTATTTTCAGGTGTTACTACAAATGTGGCATTTCTTTTTGGTCGGCCAGTATCATCTGCTTTTGGTATTGACCAGTCATTAATATTTGCGAGCCTAATTTGTTCTGCATGGACTTTAACTGTTGAATTGTCAAACTGATTTTTTATTATATAAGTTAATGGTGACCTTTTCTCCATAATTCTATAAAATGGCTTCCAATTCACATCTAGTTTGCTTCTCTTACGAAAATTTTTATAAAATACGGGATCGCCTATTTCAAATTTGATATCTTTTGCGGTCTTATCTGCATAGCTAGCTTGTTCTCGTTTTGCTTTTTTAAGGTTCTTCTTATAAACAGATAGAAAAGTATTATGTTGTTCTTGTAATGCAATTTTGTGATACTCTTCGCCATGATAGCGCTGCCTTGGTTGTAGCAACAGGTCAACCGGGAGCGTGGGATCACGGCTATATAACAAATAAAATGGACTATATTTTTAAGTCCTAGAGACATTGAATCTAAGTGCGGCTAGTGTCATGATAAGATGAATATCCCATTGTTTGAGAATTCCCTGGATTCTTTTAGCTAAGATATCATGTATGACAAGGTGAGAAGGTTCATTTTTTCGCCTTACCGGCAGCATGATAGGTAGTTGTACGCACGTGATCAATTTTTAACTCTTTAAGTGTTTCTTTAAAAGCATTACTTGTAAAGTCTGATCCATTGTCAGTGACAATTTGTAATGGACATGCGTATCTAGGGTAAATTTCTTCTAAAAGTAAATGTATAATTGTATCAGTACTTTGTCAGCAGTAGGGAAACACTCGGGATAACCACTGTAAAGGTCAATAAAACAAATAATGTAGCGGTTACCACTCATTGTTTTTTCATATGGCCCAATAACGTCGATACTCATGGTCTGGAATGAATACATTGGTACTCTTGTTTCGCCCATAGGTGCTTTTATTTTTGTAAGATTACGTGACTGACAATCAACACATTTAGAAACATATTCATACAATTCTTTGAACATATTTGGCCAAAAATATTTTTGTTTCATTGTTGTAAATAACCTCTGTGTTCCTGGGTGACCATTATTTAAATGATATTGAGTAATGACAAGGTGTTTTAAGTGTTGCGGAACAAACAATCTAAGATTAGGATTATCATCTACATTAGACAGATAATAAAGAACTTGGTCAATTTCTAAATATTTGCTCTGCACTGATTTAGTTGGCTGTCCGTGACGTAGTAACATTTTCAGTTCAAGAATAGTTTGATCTTTATCTTGCTCTGAGGCCATATTTAATTTTTCGAATTGTTTAATATCTTCTACAATTGGCTCTTGAAATTGGTATTCTTTGTTTGCTATTTCTTTGGCATTAAAGTGCGTAGAATCAAAAGCATTTACTTCATGGCTTTCATCAGTTTTCACAGCATGTGTATTATCATTATTTGAATTATTACTTGAATTTGAGACTGTTATTTCGAAGGCATTGTCATTTATATCAGGCTCATAAAGTTCAATATCGGACTTGTTAGCATTTTTATCATCAGCTGGAGGTCTAGAAAAGAAATCGGCAATTAAATTTAATTTTCCTGGCAAATATTCAATTTTACAGTTATAGGCAGAAATATTTAAAGCCCAAAGCTGAATTCTTTTGTTTTGCATAGATGCTTCTAGAAGATATTTTAAAAGTTTATGGTCTGTAAATATAGTAAACTCTGCATTATGTAAATAAACATCTAATTTTTGTAACGCATAATGAATACTGAATGCTTCTTTTTCTATGGTACTATACTTTCTTTGAGATTCACTTAATTTATGAGATAAGAAGTATATAGGTTTTTCAATACCAGATTTGTCACATTTCTGACTTAAACATGCTCCGACCACTAAATCTGAGGAGTCCGTGTATAGAATATAAGGCTTATTTGGGTCTGGGAATGCTAAAAGTGGAATACGTGTTAACATTTTCTTTAATTGTTCAAAACTTTATTGACATTCTTTTGTCCATTTAAACAAAACACGTTTTCTTGTAAGATTGATTAGAGGTTCAACAATTTTAGAATATTTAGGGCAAAATCTTCTATAAAAACCAGCAGCACCAAGTAAAGATCTGACATCTTTAACACATTTTGGTACCGGAAGTGACCTAATAGCTTTTACTTTTTCTGGGTCTGGTTTTATACCTTCATGATCAATTATAAAACCAAGGTACTTTGTTTGTTGCTGAATAAAACTGCACTTTTTCAGTTTAAGATTTAATTTATGCTCTTTAAGCTTTGAAAATACTGTCTGTATATGTGATAAATGTTCATTTAATGACTTCGAAAATATTAGAATGTCGTCAAGATAACTGACAGCAAATGCCTCTAAACCTTGTAAGACATGTGACATGAGTTCTTGGAAAACTCCAGGGGCAGAAACTAGGCCAAAAGGGGTTCGGTTGAACTCAAACAAGCCTCGGAATGTCGTAAAAGCCGTTTTTTCCTTGTCTGATTCATGCACGGGTATTTGCCAAAACCCTGAGCGCATGTCTAGTGTTGTAAAATATTTTGAAGACCCTAGTAGTGTTAAAATATCGTCAATTAATGGAAGAGGATATGATGTTGGCTTTGTAATTTTATTCAATTGCCTAAAATCAACACAAAACCGTTTACTGCCGTCACGTTTTCCGACAATAACAACAGGAAATGAATAAGGGCTATGACTTCTTCTTATAATATTAGCATCTAACATCTCATCGATTGCGTCACTCATAAATTTTCTATTGTTTAAAGGTGTGCGATATGGGCGTAACTTGATTGGAGGATGATTACCTGTTGGTATTTTCATGGTTACAGTATCTGTCTGTGATAATTCAGAATCTTTATTTGCGAAAATATTTTTATTTTTCCTTAATAAGTCTCTAACAATATTAAAATGCTCTGAAGGTGTATGAATATCACGTTCGAAATCGTTGTTAAGAGGGGAAGTTGTTTGAAGAGCCTCTGTGACCGAGTTAATGCTCTCAACTTCTGAAACTTTAGCAACTACTGAATCTCGTTTCAATCTTTATAGTTTTATGTGTATTATTGACAATCATAATAGGAAATCTTCTATCAGCCGAAAGTTTCATAACAGAATTTGTTATCATAAGACCTGGTTCAGAAGCAATCATTCCAGTTTCTATACTTTTTAAATTCATATAATTTATCATTTCCCAAGCCTGGATTTTGTTTTAATTTAGCAGTGCACACATTAACTGTTTGAGGTTTCAGAATAACATCCTGTTTTAATCTAACAATTGATGCAATATGAATATCTTCTTCGAGGGGTACATATGTATTATTAACTCTTAAGCAGCCTAAATCAAAATATAATCTAACGCCATTTTGTGTTAACCAATCACGGCCTAAAATAATATTTCTATTCATTTTAGAAACAACATAGAATTTTTGAGTTGTTTCTGTTTTCCCTATTTGAAAATTAAGATTTATATAACCATCTATATGTAAATAATTTCCGTCAACTGAACATAAATTTATTTCTGTTTTATAAGTTGAGGGGGATTCTTTAATTTTCTATATATTCTGCGATGCAGAAGACAAACTTCAGCACCTGATCTACTAACGATCTGTATTTATAGTTTTCTATTTTAATCAAACACGAATTAGGGCTTCCAGCTAATGCTATACTAAATTTTGGTATTTTATCGTTCCTGTCAATGACCCCGTTGTGACAGGAACTTGCTAGTTTTCCTGAAAATTTATTTTGCTTCTGTCATAAAAATTTTGTTTACGACATTCTCGCATAATATGCCCAAAATTATTACATTTCCAGCACTTAATCTTTGATTTCAAACTATTATTGCTATTATTTTTCCTAAATCGTGAAAAATTTTGTCGGTGAAATACAGAATATTTTTCATTTTTCCTAAATCTACAATTACGCACATGGTGACCTGGTCTCTTACAGTACACGCAAAAATTTCTTGTATAATAATGATTAAAATTATTTGCTTTGTAATTCATGTATTTTGCGTGATTTTGAGAATTAAAAAAATTTTTACTCTGGCAGAAAATCTAGCTCTGAAATTCTGTTCATTCATTGCGCAAGTAATTGCTTCTTGTAAAGTTTTTGGCTTTTCTCTCATAAGTTTAAGTTTTAAATAATTATGCGCTAAATTATCCGTAAACAATTCTACTAACTGAAGTTCAATTAAACTATTATCTCCTAGTTTATAATTTTCATAAGCGGTTTCAGCATAATTAATAAATTTTTCCCCAAAAATTTGAACACTTTCTCCCAAATCTTGTTTTAAATTTCTCAAAAGATAAAATTCATGATGTAAATCTTTAATTTCCCCAAATCTAGTACTTATTTCTTCTTTTAATTGTTCCCACGAATTACGAGGATTTTCACGCAAATATCTACATATAAAATCGCTTACAGTCCCTTTACTTGATTTAAATGCGACTAATTTTATTTTATTATCATCCAAACCTTTTAAAATAACATATTTTTCTATAGATTTTATCCAGTCATTAAAATATTTAGAATTTCCATCAAAATTTTGTACTATTTCTGATAAACCCTGTGTACCTATGATAGTTGAAATATTTTTCAATTTATCTGACAAATTTTCAAAAATTGTAGCTATATCTTGATCTGACATCTTCAAAATTAGCAAATTACAGGTATATAAACGATCACTCACCTTTAATTTTCTGTTTCAGGTACTTCGTTGTGTCCCGCTGTCCAAAATCGTCGCTTCGACATCCTGGTCACGGCACCAAATCAACCGTTGTCGTATAACGTAGGAAGAACTCACGGATGTTACATACTTTTAATATACAAATACAAACACACAAGTGAACGAGTGGAATACCAAAGCTGAACTCCCACTTTGACATTTGAGAATAGTATATATAATATCAACCTGTCCTAAGGACATTTTATAATGTATATAAATACACACGTTTTAGAGTTACATATATAAATCATTTTGACATAAGCTAGTCCGCATGCATCCTGAACTATAATACTCATAAATCATGTCATGTTCCATAGTGCACATTATGAAATAAAAACCTTATTATATGTATATACATGTTGACTTGTCATTCTTTTTGAATATAACGTGTATGACTCATTAGCCTGTGTAACCAGCTATACGACATATACATGTTCTTAGTGATTATTCAAATGTTTTAATTCAGGTTTGCCCTTTCTAAAGAAGTTTGAAAATTTCATTTCTCGGGCATAAAATGCCGTTGAAAAGTTCTTTAGACAGGATACGCAGTGTCTACTGTGATGCAAAATGTACATCTACGGTACTGAATTATCTTAGCATTTTTATACAGAATAAGTTCTAGCCCAAACAATACATTTTGAAATGAAAAGAAAGTAACTGTATACGGTCGCTTCGACTTTATCTCCATGTCAATTTATTTATTAGGGAGCGAAGAAAGTGTCGGTCCTCAATCGCAGTCTAACGATGACGCTCCAAAGAACAGTTCCTATTACAGCAGTGTGAGCTAGAAAGGGATATTTTCATATAAAATGGTGGCGAAAGTTTATCAAAAGAAGTGGGGCTTAAAAATAGCTTCCATCAGAGCCCTGAATCATTCTATGTACAGCCTGGTATATAGATTTCTATTTTTTTTTGTAAAGTTTGTTTTAATCATATTTATTGCATGACTGTGCAGTTTTGCAGTCTTTAGTCATATTAGCTGGACTTTCAAACACACTGTTCTAGTCATTATTGACACAGTTTTGCTTAGCTCATGCATGGTAGATTTGACCTTGATATTTATAAGTTAGTCCAACTTATTCTACTGATTGTTTTTGTTCTCTGTTCATACATGTAACCCCCTATATTTATAGATAGAAGGCCATATTAGAAATAAGTTGTATGTATACTAAGTACTTTTAATATGTCACCTCAAATTAAAATAATTATTACTTATCATTTGAAAGTACTTGAGAAAGAAACATCTTTTTTTTTACAGGTGATGTTTTTTTCCAACGAGCGTTAAATCCACAGCGTCTTTCTAATGTTCATATTTTCCAAAGGATCTCAATTGTAAGAAACTGCTGGTAATTCTTAAATAAGCTAATCTGAAACAAAGATTTTTCTCCCAACAATGTCACGTGCATGTACTTCTATAATTGTTTATTTAAATAACAAACAAACAAACAAACAAACAAACAAACAAAAATGGTTTGAATTTAGGAAAATAAGTCAATAAGTGAAAAAGCTAAAAGAACAAGATTACAAATGTATTTTTTGGGAATAAAAATCCAGAAATTAACAAAGCATGCCATCTCTTTAGATTCTTTTAGTAGTCATTAACCCTAAGTAGCGCGTTTTTGTTTTGGCGGGAATGCTCACGTTGACAGTCTATTTTTAGACGTGACCCACTTACGCCCAACGTATCAAAATATGTTTATTATTACAAATTAATGTTATTCAACGATTAAAGGGGATCAAATGTGAGAGCAATATAAAACATTAATCAAATGAAACAATAAAAACAAATTGTCATTTTCTCAATCCCTCGAAATCCCCAACTTTAATCGAATTCCCCCAATTGTTGTAATGTTCTAAGCGACTCATAATTGGTTATTTTTGGAAGTAATCATGGCGAGGTTACGTTTTCCTGGCCGTCCTGGCCATCGCTTTGATCGTTTAAGCCTTCGGTATTTTGCAGATGACATTAAGAATTCGCAGGATCCATCTTTAGCATTTTTGCCACAATTCCAACACGGTCTCAAGTCATTTAGAGACATCGTTGGCTTGTCGGATGAGGTAAAACATATTTGTATTTCCATCGGCTTTCAAAATGGCCGACATCGCGAATAAAAACAAGCGTATGAATTGAAAAAGTGAACGTATTTAATGCGTAGAAGAACAAAAATAGTTATAACAATGATTCCCGTAATTGTTGATTCAAGCTGATATGCATCACATCTGAAAAATAGTAATTGATAACGTGAATTGAGATTATTTACAAAAATAAGAGGATTCCTTGAGCATAGCATAGCATTGACTGATGCATTTGTATCCTTACCAACATTAACAATTTTGTCAACAAAAGCAGGCCATACATTAGTGCTTTGAAATTTGCAATTTATTTAATTATGATATCACAATCTTATTCAAACAATATAATGTCAGTGCAGTATAGATAATGTGTAACATATTTGTAACAATCTTAAAAATTCATTTGATATCAATATGTAGTAACATATCTACTTCCTGTGATTATAAAAGATATTACACATTTACTTTTGTCAGTAAAGCATGTATGCATGTAGTAAAAGCAATAACCCTTACACATGGATTGATGGAATTGTATAGATTTGCAATACAGTAATTTTATTAACCATATTATACATTGAGGTATAAATGCAGGGTTGTCATTAACATTTTTTGCAGAAGGTTTGTTTTGAACTTGAGGCGGTCATTTCTGTCTTTATCATGCATAACAAAGAGTGTTTTCTTAATTTTGAGGCGGCCCATAATGCATTTGAGACAGGCAGTTTGGCCTCCTGCCGCCTCTTAATGGTACACAAACATATTTACAGGTTGCCCATTTGCAAAAAAAAAACTTCTTTGATACACTGAAGAGTAAGTAAAACCATTTTCTGCTGAAATTATTGTAAATTGTGACATGTGTAATTGTGTACAATAAAAAAAAGGCAATTGGAATAAAATTCTGTCCAAATTATATTCAGTGTGTTGTGGATTAATTGGTACAGTAACATTATAATAAACAACTGTTTTAAATGCATCTTCAGCAAATGTTTACTGCGACTGTTAACAGTTAGGTATTTTGTGGTTGGTTTTTTGAACTTTTGAATTCTTGTTTTTAACTAGAATCATTTCTTGTCAGCAGAAAAAGAAGAAGCATTTACCCACCATGAATGTGTTTTGCAGTTTTCTATAGAACTGAGTTAAACATTTGATTTTTTTTCTTTCGTTCCTCTATAATACTTAATTATTCATCAATTTAATCAGTAAAGGACATTGGGCTTCTAACCTTAATTAATGGAAAAAATTGATATTTGACAATTTGCCTCTAATAGAACTATTCACATTCTTTTATGTCTCCTGTACATTTTTATTTAGCCATTATCAGGTTCAGAATTTTGCTAGTGACTTTATTTTTAATGTTGGAACAACCCATTTCTTACATATAGAGGATTTCAATATCACGAGCCCGCCGTTAGTAATAGTATTGAATATGGAATCTGATGGTATTGCATAGAAATTAGATGACAAAGGGGATTTTAGACTAGTCATTATTGCGCTACTGTTAAGAGTAAGAATATGGTTTAATTAGGAATTCATAATTGACACTCTAATTACAGGATGATGAATTTGAAGGATTCAACTTGCTAAAAGAACTCAAAGATGGTGAGAAGAAGCTTACTTTGTTTAATAAAGAGCAGCAAAAGAAAGAAGAAATGGAGGCACAGATGTCAGAGCTGGGCGAACCCGTAGAATATGGGGGGGAAAAGCTC